TAGCAAATAACTTTGAAAAACTTGTTCAAACTAAACTTTACTTTAACCTAGTTTAATTTAACCTCAGTGTATTTACAAAATATATTATGACAAAAAATTTATTTGTTAAATGAATTTAAGTATAGACATTTAAAAAAAAATAGTTTTTTTAAGCATTCACAAATAATTTTTTTTATAAAAAAAGTATACAGTTATTATATTAAAATTATAAAAATATAATAAATACTTATTTTTTTAATAAATTTTTACTGTTATTAATTATTTATGCTAAAGATAACAAAATCTTTAAAAAAATTATGATAATATGAACATTTTTCTACTTAACTCACCTTATACTTGTACATTATGTCATCTATTAATTTTAAAATAACAATCAATGTTGCGTAAATTATAATGTATAATTAATTGTGTTATCTTGAATAATACTACTCAAATGACTATATAATAAGAAATTGTTTTCGATTATTCTAATTTCACAAATCATTGTCCTTAATATTGATATATAATTTTGGACATATTTTGAATTCTGAATGTTACATAAATTAGATATATTATTATGTTAGTTTTGAATTTGTTCAATTAATTTTGATTCTTACAAGTAATGAGTGTATTTTAATTAATTTTTATAATTTAATTTAAAAGTTCATTGGACTATTGAATTGGGCCAGTTTAATCTTTTATATTGGACTATATTTGCATGCTGAAAGTAATAAATACAAAAGTTAAAGACAAAGCACAGAAAGGGTTTAAGAAACTAACTTGTTGATGGGTTTGCATATCTATTGGTTTATTTATTAATTTTTGTCTGTAAAGGATATGTTTTGTTGGTTAAACCAAAATGGTAAAGGGTGGCATGGGTTTAGTTTTAGTTAGACTTGTGAATATCTGAAAAATGGGATTGGTATGCGTATTCAAATTGGATTTGGTAAAACGCTTCTAATTAAACTTGATTGGCTTGGATTGCGTTTTTAGTTGATAAATTTTGAACCTATCCACCCCTAATCAAACTCGAATCCTTACTCTTTTAATTATTTTATTTTCAATGAAAAATATAAAAAATTATATTTTTCATGTCCTAATGGCCTACTCGATTATACAAGTTGAATGATAATTTTATATAATAACCAATCTGACTTAACTTTATCTCATTTGATTGGATTTTTTTCCCCTCAAACTCACTCACGGTACCTTAATTTTTTTTTTTTCTCTTTAAAAAGGTTAAAGTAATTTTTTAAAGAAAATATTCTTTTATATATATATATATGATAAACGGTAATTTTCAAATCTTGTTAAACATGTGTAGGTTTCACGAAATGAAAGAACCATGGTTTTGACTTATTTTTTAATATAATATTTAACGTCACACTTATAACCCGGGCTTCTTTACTTAAATAATATATTTTTTAAAACAATTTTTTAAAGTAAGATTTTTTAAAATTAATTTCTTGTTTAGTATTTTTTTTGACCATGTTAATAGCAATATCGTCTATGTATGAATAATAGTAAGTTAATATTATTATTTTAATAAATTATCGTTTCCCAATCATTAATATTATCTAAAAATTGACACGTATTATATATATATCAAACAAAATAGAATGATAGTAATTTTTTTTATTTTAATAAGTATCAGAAGAATTAAGATGATAGTAAAATTTTTTGTATTTTTTTTAATATATTATCATTCAGTAATAATCGATACTATGTGCACATTGTCAGATAAGCTTAGCTGTTTGCTAGTATAGACTAAAAAATTACCCATACAATCATACTGAACTATATGAGAGAGAACGCTTGGGTACAATATTTTAAATGTATTTAATATTATTATCTAATCAAAGTTACATAGCAGTTGATATATTTATTATTGAATTTCTGATATATCTTTTATCTATTCGATTAATGTTGTTACTCTTATTTATTCACTATAATTTAATTAAAGTTAAGTTAAATTACTTGTACAGAAACACATAAAGTAATGAAGCAAAGATATATATATAAAGTAGTGAAACTATAAAAACTGCATTTTAATTGAAGTAAGACGGGTTGAAACACTGAAATATTTGCATGCTTTAAAGTGTGAATATAGAATGCCTAATAACTCAAAATATTAATATAGAAATGACAGTTTGACCTTAGGCAACAAAATTACTTGGTAACGCATTGCAACATCAATCCTTTCTAGTGACAAATATTTTTTATATTTGAATGCAGAATCAGCCATTTTTCAGATGATAAGTTTGGTCAAATAGTTAGATGTGCAATAGTATTGGTTATTACTGGACGATAACATATTAAAAAATAATAAAAATTTTACTATTCTCTTATTCTTTTCATACTTATTAAAATAATAAAAATTTTGATACTATCATTCTATTTTTTTTTATACATATGATACGTGTCAGTTTTTGTATAGTATCAGTCATTTAAGGATAATAGCCTATTAAAATAATAATAAAACTTACTATCGTCCAGCATAAGTGATACTTTTATTGACATGGCAAAAAAAAATACCAAACAAAAAATTAATTTTAAAAAAATTCTTATTTTAAGAATTTTTTTAAAAAAATATATTATTTTTAAGTAAAAAAGCCTATAACACGTTTCCTATGTAAATGCATAACTATGATTTATAAGTCCTAGTCGCATTTATTTACTAAAAAAATGCTAATAAGTGTCATTATGGTATTAATTAAAGAATACAATTAAAAATGAAAAAAATAATTATTTCCATATTTTATAATGCATTATAACATAATTTTAAAAAAGTAAAATAACAAGATACTTATTTATTTAAGTAAAATCTACTGTACTCCTTACAAGTGAGAGAGTTTAACATCCTTTCTTACTTGTAGAACAATCTTTATTATTAATTTTATATAGATAGATAATAAAGTTAGTGATTTAATTAAAAAAAACATTAACATTCTCTTATCCTTAAGATATTAGAGAAATCACTTAAAGAAGGTATAAAATACCTTCTCAAATTTATAGGTATGACAACACTTTTAATTATTTGATAGACACTAAACAATTTTTGTTATATTGCATAAATTTATTTTTTAATTAAATAAAATAATTTTTTAAAAACAACAAGACATAAATTATTTTAATTTATAAAAAAATTATTTATTTTTATATTTTTAAATTTTTAAAAATTAGCCAATTTAGTCTTCAACCATGATAGTAACTTGGGTTTGGAGAGGGTACGGATGGAAGCTGGATACACGGTTTCATATGCACAAAAGTCAAGTAGGGCAGATGAGGCTTCTAACAAGTTGGTGATACCATTAAAGAATGTTGATAATGATAAGTTATATCATCACTGCTCAAAACAGTAGATCAAATTTTGTTCCACCGGAAAATCTTGTATTAGGAATACTAGTTCGTGAATGCAAAATTACAAAGACTACTATTATTAGAGTCCTGGTTTAAATAGACCTATTGAATGACTTAAAAATTGTTTCTAATATCTTTAAAAAAATAATCTTATATGACTTTTGTGTTTGTAATATAATAAATCTTTATTTTTCATTAATAAATTGTAATTTCATTTAAGTAGTATTTGCTTAATGGTTATTAAAAATGTATTTAGCAAAACTAATAAATCAACTGACTAAAAATTAAAAGCTGAAGAATAATTGATTAAATTTAAAATATTTGAAAATACTAGCCGATAAATATTAAATATCAAATATCAAATATCAAATAAATACATCGTTAAATTTGATAGTGATACACAATAAAATTTAATAAAGTCAACTTTAGTCCTAGACAAGTAACTTTCAAATTTCATTGCCAACATGGGAATGTGAAACATGTGTAGCTAGGAAGGCTGTGGGTTGGCAAACCACGTGGCAGCTAGCATTCTTTTTTTAAAAGATTATATAAAATTTATGAAAATAATTTATAATTATCACAATTTTTAAAATTTATTTTAGATATTTTATTCAGTATTATTTATTAAAACGAACATTTTAAACTTATTTATAATAAAATATATAGCATGAATAAATCGAACAATAAAAAGCTTATTCCAAGCCCACCCTATTTCTCTGACTTTTAATCATACAAGTGAATAACAATTATTGGAGTAGTAGTCATCTCAGATGTCCAAGAATTTTAGCAAGGTTCCGTGTCTAATGTAAATTCAAGTTCTTGTTTGAAAAATGATGAGCATAGATTCGGCTTTTTCATTTTTTTATTGTTAACTTTTAAAAAAATTATCAGAATATAAGGTTTTTAATAATTAATTTTCTACCTGGGATTTTTTTAACCACGTGTCATAAGAATTTTTTTTGAAAAAAATAAAAATTGCTAAAAAATAACGAATCATTTGAAGTCGTATCACGTATCAAGAATGCATATATATATATATATATATATATATATATATATATATATATATATACAATTAAATTCATAATATTTAAAGTAAAATTGTCGTTATCAAAGCAAAACATAGTATCTACACATAACATTACCTCGAGTTTTAATATAATTGCAGGAATCGCACTACTTCGAATCCATCTCGCAATGCAATCCAAAGTGATAATGGTTGGTCAATTCAACATTTCCACTTGTCCTGTTCTTTAGCATCAGAATACACTTGGTGTTCGTTAGGGGTCAATTCAGTGATAAGAATCTTCTAAAATATTAACGAGTGGTAATTGAATCGTACAATCTAGAATCATATGCGTTTTGGTAATAAATATAATTGATAAAATGAAAATAAAGACACCAAAGTAAAATTAATAAACTTTACAAAAGCACTAATAAGTCCTGTCCTATATTCATTTTCTTATTTTCCTTTCTCATACGATTTTTGCATGTCTCGTGTTCGCAAGAAACATGCGCTGAAAGACCACCTAACTGTGCCCCACTTGAGCACGTTACCATCATTGTCTACATATGTAGGAATCAAAATAAGGAAAATTAAATTGCCATGTCAAATTGTAATTTTTCTAATTCTACCGTTAAGTGCTTTAAGACACGTTTGTTGATTTACTCTCTGTGATTTTAACCTTTGTAGTAATGGCTCCACTTGATGAAAAATTGTTGTAGCCCATCTCTATCCATTAGCTATAGACTTCTAATGATTAACACCATTAGCACTTCTTTCAGATTGTTTTGTCACTTTTTCAAGTTCAATAGAACTGCTGCTTGTCCCTTTGTACCTATACCACCTTGCACATAACACAAAGTAGGCTAAATTCATAGTTTCTAAAGCAGCAATGATGCAGTAGAAGTTATCCAATCTCCCTTTGTTCAAATCCTCTGGCAACCAATTCCCAGTTTCAGATCTGGCAGTGATTTGGTGTATAACTGAAATAAGCATGCTACTCAAATAACTTGACCCTGCATGGCCACAGTAGTAAAGAGAACCTGCAATGCTTCTCATATTCTCAGGAAACTGTTTGTAGTAAAATTCAACTTGTGCAACAGACATAAATGCTTCTGCTAGTCCAGCCAATGTTAGCTGAGGAATCAGCCACAGACCAGACATTGATGATATTGCACCTTTTCTTGTTTCCACTCCTAAAGGTTTAATCAGAGCCAAAGTTCTACGGTTCTCTTCAACTTTAGCAGATACTAGCATGCTGAGTATAGAGAAAAATATGCCAATGCCCATCCTCTGAAGGAGTGTGATGCCACCCTCTTTTCCAGTGAACCTTTGGAGTAAAGGTGCAACTTTTCGGTCATACATGGGTAACCAAATTGCCACACTAATCATCAGGAAGACATAGTAGGATGCTCCTGGGATCATGAACTTACTTTGTCCAATACGCCTGTCAGATAGAAGGGCTTGGAACACCAAAATGGTGTGTTGTTGGACGATAACAACATAGTACAAAATGCATGAAACCCATATAGGTAACACTCTCAACAAGCATTTAACCTCTTCCACTTGCTGCATGCTGCAAAGATTCCAGGGATCAATAGCAGATCCATTGGGATTTATTTGATCTTGTGGAGTCATGATTGCTGCTTTGTCGAGGAACCTGGCAATATAAGCCATTTGGTAAACACTTTTTAACAAATCTACCATAACAACCACCAAATGTTAACTGCTTGACATTTTTTACCTGAATTGGTATGTATAGGGAAGTTTAGAATTCATGGACTTGGGAGCCACGTAGTTGAAGAGGGAAGGATATATATATTCTGGGAGCTTCAGCCTTCTTTTCTTCATTGCTACCACTATAACTTGCACTATACTGGTTAAAGGACTACCACTAGGCTTAACTTTCACATACATTTTGGCCCCAATGAAGAAGATTACAGAAGATAAGAGCATCAAAGCTGCAGGAATTCCCAAACCGACTGCCCAACTTACATTTGACTGTATATAAACAATAAATGTTAAGGATACCAACTGAGCAATAGTGAAAGTGAAAAAGTACCAATTGAAGAAGCTATTTATCCCCTTTTTCCCAGAATCTGTGTTAGGATTAAACTGATCAGCTCCAAATGCTAAGTTACATGGTCGGATCCCTGCAGCTCCTACCATCAATAGTCCTAATCCAGTCTTTAGAAATGTCATTTGTCCCTCTGTTGGCCCTTGGCATATGGTGCTTTCTTCACAATGAGGTGGATGCAGCTTGTCAATTGCCGCTGTCAGTTGTATTACAAGCAAACCCTGAATGAAGCAGGGAAATCAAGGAGTCATATTCACAAATTAAATGAGCTAAGCTTGTCAAAGTAAAAAAACTGGTAGCTTTCTTTGTAAGGTTTTTAAAGTGGAATTAATTCTATTGGTGATGATCTCAAATACTTTTTTATACTTTTTCAATTTCATTTGTATTTTCTAAATTAAGATATCCATAACTGTATTGTGTTTCTCAATAAACAAATGGAATGAATGTGAGTGATGAAGGCACTTGGTATTAGCAATTTACCAGAAAGGAAGCCACTGTACAGAATGCCAGTGTCTTGTAGCGACCAAAATAGGTATCAGAGGAAAAAGCTCCTAGTAATGTAGCAAAGTTGGTGCTGCCGTTGAAGATGTTGATAATATTTGTAGCTGTGATGTTTTCCAAGTTGAATACTGTAGTAAGATATACCAATAGATTGGATAAAGTGCCAATGGCCCCTAGCTTCTCAAAAATCTCATTTCCTGCCAGTTTTACACATATGAATCACTCAAGATTTAAGGAGAAAAACTAACATGAGAAAATGAAGCGTATAAAAACACAACCCTCCTCTCGCAGTCATGCTCACCAATAATGAAGGGCATGACCTTCCACCCTCTGTAGTTAATCTTAGGTTCATCATCTGTTCCACTATTCTCATTCTTCAATAAACTTTCGTCTTCATTTTCCCAAATCTCTCTCTTTGTCATTCTTTCTCCAATTGAATTCATCATCATATGCTCCAAATGCTAACATGGAGAAGGATAGGAGGGCATTAGTTGAGTGAGGGGGATCATCATAAATGGACTTCAAACAATACAAACCACACTTCATTGCTGATTTGCAGATCTAGACTCTTCACTCCAAACCAAATTTTCACCTATATTTCTGTTTTGATTTCCATTTCCACTCTAATCCTTTTTGTTCCGATTGAATGTTTCAGTTATTGTTTTTTGTGGTTTGGTTGAACACACTAAATCTTCAATGGTGACCAACATTTCCTCACCAATTTAAACGATTTGGTTGCACCCAAAAAAACCAAAACTTAAACAAAAAATAATCACCATACAAATTTCTGAAAAGTTTGATCAAACCCAGAAAAAAAAATTCGAAATTTAACATAACAAAAAGTCAACTCAATATATTAAGATGATCAGATGTCTTCAAACAAAAGCAATGACAAAACAAAAGCTAATGAATACCCAGAAATGAAATTACATAAAGATTGAGATAGGAGCAGTGAATCAATGGAAATCCATCGTAGCAGTACCTGAAAGGCTTGAAACGAGAGAGTTGTTGCCGCTTCAGAAACATGAACTGTACTTCAAACTGCAACTTCAAGAGACTAGATGGGGAGAGCTGAGGAGTGGACAGCGTGGCCCTTTCGTTTAGCCTTCGATCATACGTATGTCTCGGAACATTAATTTTTATTTTAACTTTTTTAAATGAAATTCATAAGATAAAATAATTATGTTTTGTAAAATAAATTAAATTAAAAACGTTTTTAAATTTTTTTTACTTATAAGATTATATCATGCGTTAGATTTGTGTTATATTTTTTATGAATAACTATATCAACCAATTCAATCTCATGTAAACTGTAAAAATTAATTAACCAAAAATTATATTAGATTAAATCGAATTCCAGATCTCACTTTAAAAATTAATCCAATTTAAATTTATCTTTATATCAACATTTCAATCATACCTTTGTAACTATATATTTATGAAATTTTAATATTTAATTATAGTTTTTTCATTAATTTAATTTTTTAATATCTTAAAATAATATAGAAAAATAACAAAACAATTTATTTATTATTTTTGGTAAACTTAAATTAAAATAAAATTTTAAAAACTAAATCATTTAATTTAATACAAACTATTTTTAATTGGATCAGATTGACTTAAAATTTTATTTAAATGTGCATTTAGAAGCTTAATAAAATTACGTTAATTTTTTTTTTCAATATAAAAGTTAAACTTGCAATGTTAAAATATATTCACATTCGAGTGAATTTGATGGATATCAAAACATGCTATAAATCGATTCAAATCAAATTATAATATATTTTTATAATCAAATTGAATGAATTTTTATTTAAGAAAAATATTAGCAATAGATTATTTAACATATTATTTCTAATATACTCTTAATTATTAAAACTTATTAAAAATACAGAAAATATACGAGTCTTACTTTTAATTTAATTATTTTTTAAAAATTACTAATTTTTTTCATACTTTTATAATTTTCAACAGATTTTAATCGATAAATAAATATATTTTAAAGAGTATATTCTTAACTATCTTCTCTTATTTAAAAATTGATTTAACATGTAATTTTTTAATATAATTGAACTAAGGCAGCAATATTAGGAAACATCTTTTTTATCTCCTAATGTTTGGTACAGCCAAAAGTACTCTAGACCAAACTTTAAAGGTGACGCCTCTGCTTTTTTCAAGTTCTAACATTACTATTCGAAATGCATCTCATTCACAGAATATTTATGTCCTAATACTGCAGCAACATCTAAATCAAAGCACATTTCAATAACTATTTTTTATTATTATTAAAGGTAAGCTATCAATAATAAAATCAGAATGTTAACAATAAATTTACTTTCAAATGCCATCCTAACCTGAAAAATAGCAAAATCAACATTCACTTTCTTTTTTATGACAAAAACTAGCTTATTTTTCTTGGTAAAGAAACAACATTGTAAAAACTCTATTTCAAGATTTAAACATCATTAACTATGAACCTAACCATTAGACACCATTAACAGTTCTTTCAGATAGTTCTGATACTTGAGCAACCTCAAGGCTACTGCTGCTAGAACCAGCCCCTTTGTAGTTATACCACTTGGCACATAAAATAAAGTAACCCAGATTAATGACTTCTAGGACAGCGATTATGTAATAAAAGTTATTCAATCTCCCTTTGTTGAGATCCTGTGGTAACCAATTTCCAGATGCAGATTTGGCTGTAGTCTGATGAATAATAGAAATCAGCAAACTACTCAAATAACTTGATCCTGCAAGGCCACAGAAAAATAGAGACCCTGCAAGGCTTCTCATGTTCTCCGGGAACTGTTTATAGTAAAATTCAACTTGTCCAACCAATGTAAATGCATCAGATAGTCCTGCCAGTGTTAGCTGAGGAATAAACCATAGAGCTGTCATTGATGAAATGGCACCTTTTCTTGGTTCTACTCCTATAGGATTAGTCAAAGCCATTGTCCTTCTATGCTTTTCTACCACCCCAGATACGATCATGCATAGGATAGAGATAAACATGCCAATGCCCATTCTTTGGAGAATTGTGAAGCCACCCTCTTTTCCAGTGACCCTTTGGAGTGAAGGCACAACTATTCGATCATAGATCGGTAACCATATAGTCAAGCTCAGCATTTGGAAGATAATGTAGGAAGCTGCTGGGATCTTGAAACTGCTGTTAAAAATGCTTCTGTCAGATTGAAGGGCTTGGAACACTAGCATTGTGTTCTGTTGGACAATGGCAACATAGAAAAAAATGCCTGAAACCCAAATGGGAATCACTCTAAGCAAGCATTTCAGTTCCTCCACTTGTTGCATGCTGCAGAGATTCCAAGGATCAGATGCAGACCCGTCCGGGTTTATTTTATCTTGCGGGGTTATAATAGCAGCTTTGTCAAGGAACCTGTCAATTTCAACATTTTGAAACCAATCATTTTTATAAACTCATCAAGACAGCTGGAAATATTAAACATGAATGGAGATAAGCTTATCACATAAGAACTTATCGTAAGTTTAACAACATTACAAGTAATAAAAAATTAATAAATAATAATTTTTTATTAAAAATTGTAATATTTAATGGTATTAATATATTAATCTTGAGATCCTAAACATTAATTCCTTTAATCCTTCATTTTATAAAATTTTATTTTACTTTTTTATAAAAAAATTATTTATTTTAAATTTTTTTTTACTTCATTTTGTTTCTTCAGAGTGAACAATGTTTTATAATAAAAATAACCATTTTATAAAATGTAAAACTAAAGTAAGTAGTATTTATAATTTCAAAAACTAAAATAAAAATTTATTTATATGACAAAGTTTGTCATAATTGGAAGACCTTATAAGGTGATAAACTAAATCTAAATAAGTTGTGTGTAAGCTTTTACAAACGGCATCTACATGATGATGGTACCTGAACTGCGATGTATGAGGTAGCTTGGAGTTAATAGACTGGGGAGAAATATAGTCAAAGATTGGAGCCAACAAAGGATATTCTGGTACATCCAGTGTTCTTTTCTTTATAGCCACAACTATAACTTGAACTAAACTTGTTACTGGACTTCCTGTTGCTTTAACTTTGACATAACAATTGCTTCCCAAGAAATAGACTATGCAAGAGAATAGCATCAAAGCAGCAGGAATTCCCAATCCCACAGCCCAGCTCACATTTGACTGTACATAGACAATTAGTGATAAAGACACCATCTGAGCAAATGTGAAGGTAAAGAAATACCAATTGAAGAAACTGTTTATTCCTTTCTTTCCAGACTCAGTTTTGGGGTTGAACTGATCAGCTCCAAATGCCAAGTTACATGGTCTAATTCCTGCAGCTCCTACAATTAGAAGTCCAAATCCTACCAATAGAAATGCCATTTGCCCAGTAGTTGGACCTGTGCATGTGTTGCTATCTCTTCCACATGGAGGTGGATGCATACTCTTAATCCATGCTGTTAGTTGTATAACAAGCAACCCCTGTTCAATAACCAAGAGGATATAAAAATTAGATGCATGGTTCAATTGAAACATCCATATTCCCATAAGGTAGTATTTGGATAAAGGATTTCAAAATTCTAAGAAATTTAAAATGCATTGAAGGTAATTAATTGTCCTTGAGTTGAGTTATATCAGATAAGTTATAAAGGTCTTTAAGTATTATTCAAAGAATCAATAAATAGTATATTTTTCTTGAAATTATATGTATTTTCAACACAAAATTATACTTCTAATTTCTTAATCAATGTTCTTAAGGCATTGGTTAGCATTTTTCAAAATTGATAACTTTCATGCTTGTTAATGCTTTCATTCGGAGAAATAGTAACTTTTTTACAAGATATTTAGGAAGCTGGCAAAAGGGATAAAGTAAAAATCTTGTTTACCAGTATCCTTAGAATAAGATTAAGAAATTAAAAGTGAAAAATTTTATTAACAATTGTGTTGAACTAAGTTAAAAATCATGGGAAAGGGACTTATTGTATTTTTCTGACAAAAAAATAACTATTTTTAGTTCTTTAATCGGTACTCTAAATTGGCTGACATTTCTCAAAAAGTAATAATTTTTTTAAGAATAAGTAAATTCAAACACTTGCATAACTGAAATATTTGCTTGTGAATGAGTTAAAGTAGTTTCATGCTGTTAAATAGTTTTCAAACAGAGATTGAATATACCAGAAAGGAAGCCATAGTGCAGAATCCGAGCGTCTTATAGCGACCAAAATATGTGTCACAAAGAAAAGCTCCAAGCAAAGTAGATAAGCTGGCACTGCCATTGAAGATGTTGATAATATTTGTAGCTGTAATACTGCTCAAGTTGAAGACTGTTGTAAGATACACTAACAGGTTGGCTAAGGTGCCAATGGTTCCTAGCTTCTCAAAAGTTTCATTTCCTGCATGAGGTATAGTAGATGACTCACTCAAAATTCATGTTCAACAATGCAACTAAAGAAGGGAAATATAGAAAGTAACAAGGAATTATGAAAAATGTACAAGCCTTCTTTTGCTCACCTATGATAAAGGGCATCACTTTCCATCCTCTGTATTCAATCTCTGCTTCATCAGTTGTCACACTTTTACCTTTGTTTTCCACACTTTCCTTTCCATTTTTCTCTAGAGTCTCTCTTTTATTACCAAAAAGTTTCATGATTTTAGCAAATAATTAATGCTGAAGAAATATATATCAAGTTAGAGAGGGAACTAATAACTGTTGATAATTTTTAAAGACTCTGAATATCTTCAACCCACCATCAAACATCAAACCATTCTTTCTTTCTTTCTTTCTTTCTTCCTAACAAGCACGGGTACAAGTGAGTATTTAAAGTGTGGACGTGATTATTTTCTATCTTTTGCCTTTCAGTCAAAGAAAATAAGTGGTGGAAACATTTTGATGGTTGCTCATTACAAATTCGTGGTATGCAAGGGAGAGATAAGAAAATTGATATATGTAATAAGATATTGTTACTGATTTAAATTTAGTAAAAACTATAAAGATAAATGAGAATTATAAGATTAAAAGCAAAATTTATTTTTAATAAATTTTAACTAATAATAAAATACGTACTAATAAATATGTTACTGGCATTTTTTAATATATATAAATTGTTATAAACATTTCGTACATGAATAATATTATTTTTAGGTTCTATTTGGATGCATGAAAAAAATATATATTGAAGTAATTTTACAGTGGATTTTTTTATTACTTGCTGCATTTGTTTTTTATTCCTCAGAAATATCAATGAAGAAAAATTTCTCACTATTTTGGCCGTCAATATGAGTGATAGAGTAAGTGAGTTTTTTTTTTACTTTAATTAATTATAGTGTTAAATTATTTTTAAAATAATATAAGATTAATAAATTTTTATATTAAAAAATACAATTATTTATTAAATTAAATAATTTTATCATTATTTTAAAAATATTTTTAATACAAAATGAATAAAAATAATTTTTTATTTTATTCATCTAAAAAATTCATATTTTTATTTTATTTTTATTTATTTATTTGTTTACTTATCTTTCATTTCATCCAAACAAGTTATTAAATTTTATATAAACTGAAAAACCAAGCATAACGTTTGAAACAAATAATTCACACTTATACTCCCGGTCTTAAACATTAGCAAATAAAAGCTAAATTATACTAATTAAGAAAATTAATTAAATGTATTTATTATTTTTTAATTTATTTAAAAAATAAATTACATTTTTAAAATACTTTTGAGAATATTTAAAATTTTTATTAATATTAAATTTATTAATTAAGAATTTGAGCTTTGATACTAAATGTCAAAATTAAACTCTAAAAATAAAGAATCTCTTTAACATCCTAATGTTAGAAATTTAAATTTTATTACCTAATTTTAAGGATATTTTTTATTTTAAAAGTTATATAAAATTATTAGTTTATATCTTTAAAAAATTGAATTATTAAGTAAAAATAGATGGAAAATAATTTTATGAAATAATATAAAAATAGCTAAGATTTATTTATATTTTAATTAAAACTCTTTTATAGTTGTGATCGGGAGTACCAATGTCTCACGCCTCTCATAGAGCCTTACCATTTTTAAGAGTTGTAGTTCTTATTGAATGATAATTGATTCTGATCTAAGCTTATCCCAATCACACCAAAATTCTATGCACCACACGCTTTACTGCGCAACAATAATTGTCCCCTCTAATCTCACTCTATCTGTTATCTCTTTTAGATTTTCCTCAAAATTAAACCACACTTCCAAATCTAACTTCACTTCAAATATCTTCCAAGATTTTAGTCAAACCAGATCCAGTTGTATAACTCAGATAATGACAATACATTGTTTTACCTTTTTTTAAAAAAATTTGCTTGATTATTAGCTTATTTTTTTACGTAAATCCTGTTTAATATTTTTTGTTTACTCGCTATTTTTGAGATTAAGACGATATTTTACCTAACAATAAAAATTGTAAAAAAAGGTGTGTTTCTGCATTTTCCTTTTAACTTTAATAATAACCCGTTAGTATATATATGATCATTAATTTGTATTATACTCATCATTTTCCATAGACAAGTATAAACCCAAGTGCATTTTGAACTTTTTTAATGCAGCAACATCACTTGGCATCAACGTCAGTTTTAATTGCGACGTGTTTGATGTTTCTGAGTTTTATTACTGTTGCATGTAGTCACACTAAAAGTTATAAATTTATTATATTAAAGTTATAAATTTAATAAATATTTTTATAATAATATTATATTATTGTTATTTGTGTGGGATATAGGTGTTTTGGAGAACGTGCTCCAAGTCCCCTAATATAATTACAATTAATCCGTAGAGTTGACTCATAGCATGAACCATTATCTTCTGTTCCACGTGAAGGACTCAAGGTTTGTTTGTATCTCATTCTTATTAAAGTGTCAAAAGTGATTAATATTTCGTTTGAAAAGATTGAATGAGAATTGATGTAACCTTCGTCTCAATTATTTTCCAAACAAGCTGATGATTGAAGCTAAGATACAACTTCCAGTTGCTGGCAATAACTAGCGTTCACACTTTGTAGAAAAGAATTATAGCTTACTTCAATTAATGGGTTATTTAAATAAGCTTCTTGTTTTGATGTGAACGCTGCTCGCAATAACTAGCATCCACATCTTAATGTAATAAATAGCTTGATTAACCAAAGCAAATTAAGTTGGGTTCAATACTCAACTAACTCTTAATTCAGAATTGGATTAGCTAGCCTTTGTTTTGATGTATTTCAAGTCTTCAACTTTCAAGTAGAAAAGAGCAAGTTGAGTAAGGAAGTTTCAGAAAAAATATATATATAGGCTTTTGTCTATATATTGCATTCCGTTTCAAATTCAGCACACTAGTATTATATTTCAACTCTTGAATTATTGAACTGTATTTTATGGAAACTACAATTCCTTTACTTAGAAATCACTTCCACTAAAGGCTGAAGAAGAAGGCATGCTTCTTTGTTGCCATCTATGCATCGCTTTAGGAGAGTTACAATTCATAGGTTTTGATTTTATATATTGATGAATAACATTGATAGAATGTTCAAATTTGTATGGGTTAATGTGCGTGTTCCACACAACTTTTGAAAGGAAGAAATACTTATGATGGACGTTAGTGTAGGGTGGGGGAAGGGACCAGTGCATAAAGTCTTAAATGGTTGGAGGGTTGATGTGGTGGTGCACTAACACTAACACTAACCCTATCAACGATGGGTCAATTTTTGTACGAAGGAATCATGCTTGCCAAGCGTAAAACGTAAACTGATGAGACAGAATCAAGATAACGATGGTTTTCCGGATTCTTCTTTTATACATTATATTTAAAAACAATATATACTTAAATATGGTATTCTTTTCAAAAAAAAATTACAAAAGATATATACTTAAAAAATTGTCTTAACGACTTTTGGTATAAGAACAAAAATTTAAAGATAAAAAAATAATAAAGTCTCAAAAATTGTCAATTTTAAAAAATATATTAAAAAATCAAAACTTATTAATAACAATTTTTAAAATAATATTAAATATTTGAAAAGCATCATTATCGATTTTTAACAAAAATTTATATTTATGTAATTTTGTTAAAAAATTATATTTTTGTAATTTTAAAAATATAAAAAAGCCATGATTTTCCCCATTTTTTCTTTTTATTGCCGACTTCAAAAATTAATTACTATAAAAAATACAAACTAACAATTTTTTTGTTTTTAAAATTTATTTTTTTGAATTATAATTAGTTTTGAGATAAATAAAAATAATAACTTTCTACTAAACATAATTTTAAATATGAGATTTATAGAATATAATTATATTTATATTATAAAAAAGCATGATTCTGTTTTATTATCAAAACAAAATCAATTCGTCTAAACTATTTCGAGTATCAATCCCAAATAAAAATTAATATCTTAATCAGTTCTGCATGTTAAAAGTTCTTAAATTTAAGTTTACAAATGTAAATATAATTTAAATTTTGTATTAACATGTTTAACAATTTTATAATAAAATAAATTTGTCTCTAAACTTACTTTTGAGTCAATGTGATTAATTGTATCTTTTACATTAAGTTTATAATTTATATTAAAATTTGTTAAATAAAAAACTTTCAAATATAAATCACATTATTTTAAATTTTTTTCTAAATAAAATCAATTTTACAAAATTAAATTTATTTAAATTCAAATTTGCAAATGATCATTTAAACACACACTCAAGATATCAAACAAATAAATTATCACTTACGTAAAGTTGTCATTATTGCTACCAAATCCATAAATTGATTAGTATAAAATTATTTTAATTTAACATGGATTAAATTTGAGTTTTAACATCTAAGTTAAATATTTTTAAAAAATTGAACAAAATTGATGACAGTAATATTTATCTTAATAAAAATAAAAATTTTAATTGAACATTTCATTTAACTTAAATCCAATGTATTATAATTTATTATTTCACCAGCCGTTAGATGTAAGTTAAATAAAAAGTTAAAATTAAGTGTAAGAGTTTTTAAATTTATACTAGTGTTAAAAGATTTTTCTTCATATATATATATATATATTTTAATTAATTAAAAATAAATATATTTAATTCAATAACTTTAAAAAAATTGAAAAATGAGTGATCATTTCGTATTTTAAAAGACTCATTCAAAATCAAAACATTTTGCACAATTATTTAATCAAAACATGTATGTTTAATTGAATAGTTGAGAAAAAAAATTATTCAGTCACAAACGAAGGTTAATCTAAATGACAAACAACTCAATATTACTTAAGTAAATTCTCAAGTTTGAGTTAATATGTATATAAAAAATCTTTGATAGTAGATTCACTCACCACATCCAGGTGAGCGACCCGAGTTTATATATTTATATATCTTAAAATTATATTCAAAAGGACAAAGAAACCCATCTCTTAGAGTTGTTAAAAAAAATTATTTACCAATAAAAAATAAGGCACCATATTTATTCCATCACGCGTATATTTATAATTACGAATATGAAAATGCATATAAAGATGCCAGTTTTCAAACTAAATAATAAATACACTTGTAACCATGATTTCTAAACTGCCTTGCTATCTAGCTGGCACATAAGTGTTGTCAAAACGACTGCAACTAAAACATATACAACAACATTAAAAAGAAACGGCATGGAGCATCTTTAAGCCAAAAAGAAAACTAAAAATCTAACAATAAAGAAATGCATGGCATCAAATAGCAAGAAGAGAGTGTGATGAATTCATCATGTGTTGCCCTTGGTCTAGTGCCTATTATGTCCATTGTCCAAGACCCTCTCCTCATCTTGTGGTTTTGCTGCAGCACTTGAATGCACTGGCTGCACCTCTTTTCTCCTAGTTTCCTTGCTACTGGTGATAAAACGGCTAGCATAGAAATTGAAGTAGACAAAGTTCAAACCTCCCACGGCAGCTATGACATAATAGTAGTAGTCAAGCCTATTCTGATTCAAATCATGACCACCTAGCCAAGGTGTTTTTCCTCCTTGTGATGTTGCTTTATGGACAATATTGACAATGAAGGATCCAACGTAGTTTGCAATGGACAAGCTCAGAAAAAAGACTGCCCCAGCAACCGTTCTCATGCTCTCTGGCATTTGCAAGGTGAAGAACTCCATTATAGCAACAGCAGCAAAGGCTTCATTTAGGCCTGACAGTGCAAACTGTGGCAAAAGCAATGCAAAGCTCATTGGTGAAATGAACAAGGCATGTTTCAAAGCTGAGTCACGCCGCTTCTTCTCAACAATTGCTGCTACCAACATGCATAAGATGGATAACAAAATCCCAATTCTTATTCTTTGCTTCATGCTCAATCTTGGAGCTTTTTTGGTGATTCTTCTCACTAGAGGAATATACACACACTCATAAATGTATATCCATAATGAAAGTGCTATCATTGATATAAGGTTCATCCACCCAGCTGGAATCTTGAAGTGAGGTCCAAGGGACCTTTTGGTTTGCATGACTTGAAGGACCCCAAAAGTGTTCTGCTGGTCCATCACAATGAAACAACAAATTCCTGTTACCCACGCTGGCAGAATCCCTATCAAACATTTGAGATGTTCCACTTGTTGCAAACTACAAAGTCTCCAAGCATTCCTTGGCATGCCTTGATCATTCAACTCACTAGGATCAGCTATTATAGCAGCCTTATCAAGGCATATGAACCTATCTGTCTGAACAATTCTACTATTCTCCAACGTTAATTCCTCCGTAGTAGTGGAAGGATTGTAAAGGGTTCTCCCAGAAGGCTCTAGTTTGCGTTTTCTATATGCCGCTACAATCACCTTGCCCATGTCAGAAAAGATGCTCCCTTGAGGTTTCTTGTAAATGTAAGTGTGGCGGCCAAGTAGGAATATGGTTATTGAGAAAGCAAGGCATAGAGTTGGAATGGCAAAGCCCAAAGTCCAGCTGAGATTGGTTTGAACATAGACAACACCAGTGAGCGCAATAACAAGTGCAATGGTGAAAGTGAAGTACCACCAATTGAAGAAGCTCTCCAATTGTCCCCTACCCTTCTCTGTTTTGGTGTCAAATTGATCAGCACCAAAAGCAATGTTGCATGGCCTAATGCCCCCAGCTCCTATGGATAACAGTGCAAGACCTGTGAAAAGAATAGCTAGCTGCCAACCTTCTGGCCGTTCACAATAGGGTCTGTCCTTGCAGGGTTGGGGCCTCAATCGATGTATACCCGCTGTTAGGGTTATGGTCAATATACCCTGTCAAATACAATACAAGCTTGTGAGGTATATACATTCTCCCAGGTTAAATATAAAGAGATAAAGTGACTGAAGCAATAAGGGATTTCAAACCTCAGTGCAATGCTCAATTATAATCTTCACTTGTCATTTACCTTTGACCAGCCAAACCAATATAACTTAAGTGACCTCTTAATAAGTCAGTTAATTATAATTTGTTACAGCTTCCAGCGTTTACTTAATGAAATAACGCTCTCAATTAACATTATCCCGGTGCATCAGTGAAACCTTACTTCATCCGTGAATCAATGAATAACAGTATTTTCTCAATTTCAATTTCAATTTCAATTCATATTGAGAGGTACACTTAACGAAATTTCAACACATAGGACAACAGAATGAAAAATTGACAATAAGAAAAATCTGATTCTGAAATGAAAATAGATATACAGTATATATATAAGTCATGTGCATGGCAAGAATGTGCAAATCAGGAGTTAGATGTTAATTTCATTACCAGAAGTGATGCAATAGAGCCGCAGAGGAGGGTCCTGAACCTGCCCAGATAAGTATCAGAAATGAAAGCACCGATTATTGAAGTAATGTTAGAGGATCCATTCCAAATTTGCACCACATTGACCACAAATATGGCACTTAGGTTGTAATTCGTGAGAAGGTACACTGTCAAATTCGATATCAAACTCATGGATGCCAATTTCTCGAACGACTCGTTACCTGCAAATCAAATCCATCAAATTAAAAGCAAAATAAAGAAATTAACAACGTGCATTAGTGGTACAGGTTGTTAGAACAATGAATATTGTTATTTAAATTATGAAATGTGGAGAGAATCACCGATGATGTATTTGACGGATCTCCACCCTCCTGCTTCTCTTCTTCCTGAAGCAGGAGAAGAAGAAGAGGATGGCGCAGGATTTTGCTCATGTTCTAACTCAAGTGCACAATGAGAATTAGTACTTACATTCTCCATTTTCAAGTTATATCTTGATAACTCTGTTCAACTATTTCATAGTAGGTTATCATACAGCTTTATATGTTCCCTTTTGATAAGGCCACGCAAGCAAAAGAGGAAATTTATTGTTATTATTTTCTCCTAATGTTCTACGGCTGATTCTTTCAAAGCGATCAAAATTTTGAGAAGTTTAAGGTGGTATTCCTCCAACAACCTAGGAACCTAGGATTAGTTGCCGTGTGATTTCTACTTGCATACAAATTAACACACCAGATTTAGAGATGGATTCCCACGTGTCTTTCATGCCTTCTATTTTATTTACTCTTTCGGCGCGTAATTAAGTGAGTGATGAATGGTTCTTAGTTGCAAGACCCCACTGTTTCATATAGAATTTTAATAACTGGTTCCCTAATTTTGCGAATTATATATCTTAATCTTAAGTCCATCCTAAATGAGACTTAAGGCTTAATTGGATTCATATTTTAATAGTCGTTAACTGAGAGTAAAAGATGCTCCCTTTAAATTAATACATTAGTGAACTTTTTCTTATTTTTGTTCATGAACCATTCAATGTATACCATTTTATTATCTTTTGGTCTATTTCTCATCAATCATTTTTTGTCATCGTAAATTGTGTCTTTAAATTAATTTTTTATCATTTTAAAGTTTAAGTTTAGACTTGTGAATCTTTTGCAATTAAGTTTCAAGAAACTAATTTTTACAAGCTTTTTAAGATTAAATTTTTAGAAAATCAATTTTTATATTTTCAGAATTTAATTTTTAGAAACAAAATAAAATTTTTTAAACGTGATTATTCCAAAAGTCTAATTTACAAACTTTTTGAATTAAGTTTCCATAATTTTTAACATTTTTGGAAGTTATACTTTAAAAAATATAATTCTAAAATTATAATTTACAAACTTAAAAAATTAAAGGTTTTTCTAAATTTTTTTTTTCTATTTTTAAAAATAAAAAACAGAAAAATTTGTTTGTTAATGTAAGTTCTAAAAATTATTTTTAAAAGTAATTTTTTATTTTCAAGTTTAAAACTGAAAAACAAAATTACCATTTAAAAGTTATGTTTTTATTTTTGCCCTGATTTTTTAAAAATTAACATTTTCAGAATTTAATTTCTGAAATAAAAATAGACTTTCAAAATATATTTTCAGAATTATAATTTATAAGCTTTTAAAATTAAGTTTTTAAAAATAAACTTTTGTACCTTTAAATTTTAATTTCTAAAAGTATAATTAGGTATATTTTTGAGAGAAAAATGATAATAAAAAATATGGAATGTAAAAATGAAATACAAGAAAGAATAATTTTATTTTTTTTTAGTTTCTCGTTTAATTACTGGGTCTTAATTAGGCTTTCGTTCAATTTTATCGCCCGTCTCATTTGTAGCCTATACTTGTGAATTTCAGACATAAAAAACAAGAAAAAGAAAACTAATTAAACAAACCTTTGAAATAATTACTGAGCAAAAATATTACGTGTTAATATCAGTCATAAATACTAATTTTAAACATTTAACAATGATAACGTATGTAAACAAATCAGACTCCCAATCATTAAGTTGATTATGGTTGGGCTGAAGTAACTAGTTCCAACGTTAAATTTGAACATCCAATGCGTTTTTATATTATATTAAAAATTAAATATAATTTTAATATAAAATTATAATTATTAGCATTGAAATCAACGTAAATATATAACAGTAAAGGAAGAATTAAACATGTTTTCTATCTAACTATCACGTTGATAACTTGATACTACATTTTTTTTTTCTCTTCGATTTATTTTTTGCCAAATATTCACTTAGATTACAGTGAATCACTATAACTATGGATGATCAATTTATCACGTTATGGTTCCATTTGTAGTTGCTTTTTCCATTCATGCTTCTCCGGGAAGAAACTAACTACCGATTGATTGGGCTTTAGAGCATCATTATTGAACCCTTCTTTGTCTCGTTGCCCTTTCTTACACCAACCAAGAGAACGTTTAAAATTATTTATTTTGTTACGAAAACAACTTATATTTGAGTGTACACACGTAAATATGATGTCTTAATTAGTACGTTGTATTGTCTTTAACAATTGATTAGATCTATAATTGATTATATAAAATAAGTTTTATGTTTAAATATGTCAAATAGAAAGCGATTTTAAAATAATTGATTTATGTTTCAATTGTATAATTAATAATAATAATTATTTTTGGATAAAGTTCAATAAAAGATAGGATTATGTTTAACACTTAATTCTGTATTTAAAATAGTTTATTTCTTTTTATAAAAAATCAGAAATTGTAATTTGATTTTTTAGCCAGTTTCATACAGGAATGAATAATGTTTTTAATCATATTAAAAATATTATCCAAAAATCTGTGTCAAAGTTTATGCTTATCATTATTATTAACTCATTGTATATTTACAAATGCAATATTTGCATGATTGAAATGTAGGAATTGAAGAGAAGCGGGTAGAAGAAGAAGCATGAAAATAGAAAAGCAGCCTCATCCCGCCATAAATGAATGAAAGATTCAATGTTAATATACCCCATATGCTTCTTCTATATGTCTGCCGTCTCTCAGACAAGCACCATTATACATGCTACGCGCTACAGTCTCACTAAATCCACAACTCCCCTTTGCGGATCCTACACGTGTCATCCACTCATGACGTGGCAGTCAACACATCTTCCTATTGGTTCTTACGTATTACAAAACTTGTGACTCACTGGCGAGTACCTTTTACGCCCACACAACCGAGTGGTAGAAAAAGGTTCTCTTTTGAATTTGATTCTGACCAACGGCTACTTCAACCTGCATCACTTTTCATACCAACTTTCAAATACTTGTCCTTTTTCATAGAATAAAATATAAAATATTGGAGTGAACTGTAAGCACACTCTTTTTTCATCCATGCTTGAAATTATTATTTTTTTTAATTCAAACTTCAAAAAGTTAAAATCATGGTAACCCTTGGGTCTACCTTGTCATCACACTATAATCCCAACCTACTGAATCATCACTTTAAAGTGGCACTCTCTCAGTGTGTGCTGCCAGTGACTGGTCTCCTTTCCACCCATTGAACTTCAAAGTTCAAAGTTCAAATCTGATTGCAAAATGGCAATGGGTACTGTGGCATGGGTTTTCTTGGTGATTATGACAACAGTTTTCTGCACTTGCTCTCTTGCTCTCACCCAGGATGGTAAGAACAATGAACCCCTTTTTCTTTTTCTGCATCAAATCCTCTTCTATATTGTGTTGGGTTTTTTTCTTTTTTCCTTTTTTGTTTGTTTGGGGAGAATGATTGCATTCTGGGTTGTTTTTAAATTTTAACTTTCCACTCCCCATTTGGGACTTTTTGTTTTCTCTCTCCAAACCTTGCTGAAATACTTCTCAATAAAAGAAATGGAGTTTAAAGTTCTAAACTTTAAGTGATTTCCATTCTTATGTTAGGTCTGACGTTGTTGGAAATGAGGAGCACTTTGAATGACACTAAGAATGTTCTGAGCAACTGGCAAGAGTTTGATGAGTCTCCTTGTGCATGGACTGGTATCACTTGTCATCCTGGTGAACAAAGAGTTCGCACAATGTATTGCAAACACCACATTTTCTTTATTCCATTGATTATTTTCCCATTTTCTCATCTGAGTTTGTTACTCTGTATTGTGTTCTTCAGAAATCTGCCGTACATGCAACTTGGAGGAATTATATCTCCCAGCATCGGTAAACTCAGTAGACTACAGAGATTGTAAGTAGAAAACATGTTCCTTAGCATTTGGAAACTTACATTTGACTTTTGTCATTCTTATTCTATTCACTGGCTTGCAATGAATCAGGGCACTTCATCAGAACAGCTTGCATGGAACCATTCCTAATGAAATTACCAATTGTACTGAGTTAAGAGCACTGTAAGTTAAATAATTCACTTCTTTTATTAGCAATTTGCCATGTCCTTTCCCTAAATAACTCGTTTTAACTAATTCTATTGAAAGGTACTTGAGGGCTAATTATTTCCAAGGAGGCATACCATCAAACATTGGAAATCTTTCATATTTAAATATACTGTAATTCCTAATCTCTTGTACTTGTCACTGTTCCTTTGTAATGTTTTGAACTTGTTTCTTGTTTTTGTTTCTCAACTGCATTTTGTTATTTCGGATTTTAATACAAAGTCTATAAATACAGGGACTTGTCAAGCAACTCTTTAAAAGGTGCTATACCTTCCTCTATTGGCCGTCTCTCGCATCTGCAAGTTTTGTAAGTCAATTTAGCCTAAACCTCTGTGTTATAACAATGATAATCATTACTTCAATTTTTAGTATATATGCTGATCATCCTTGTCTTAGGAACTTGTCTACCAATTTTTTCTCCGGTGAAATCCCAGACATTGGAGTGTTGAGCACCTTCCAGAAGAGCTCGTAAGTATTCTTGCTTGATATAACCTTGTTTCGCTGATTATTTGTAACCTTTAGACCAAACCGGAATTGAATTTTATGATATTTATTGATAATAATGATTCAGATTTCTTATGCATTACAGTAGGGTGATACGCCAATATATTTACAAGCTTAAATGATAGCAATTGAGAGTTTAAAGTCATTTCAGGTCAAATAAATCTGCACGTGTTTTTGTATGTTTATACATGTATTTATGAAATCATTGCATTTGCATATGAATAGGTTTATTGGAAATTTAGATCTGTGTGGGCGGCAAGTCCAAAAGCCATGTCGAACATCATTTGGTTTCCCTGTGGTGCTACCGCATGCTGAAAGTGATGAAGCTGCAGGCAAGTCCGATGCATGAATTTTATTTCCAAATACTATTTGAATGACTAGATGTATAACCACTAACATTTACATCTATGCAGTCCCTACCAAAAGATCTTCACATTATGTGAAGGGGGTGCTAATTGGTGCAATGGCAATTATGGCTCTTGCACTTGCAGTAATCCTTTCATTCCTCTGGATTCGTATGTTATCAAAGAAGGAAAGAGCTGCTAGGAGATACACAGAAGTCAAGAAACAAGTTGATCCAGAAGCAAGTAAGAAGGGTGGTGTTTTTGAGATCTCCTATTATGCAACAAAAGAAATGAAAAAAAGATAAGATCCTCATTTTTTTACAAATGCTAACGTAATCTGTATCAGGTACAAAACTTATTACCTTCCATGGTGATATGCCATACACCTCAACTGAGATCATAGAAAAGTTGGAGTCTCTTGACGAGGAGGACAAAGTAGGATCAGGAGGATTTGGTACTGTTTATCGAATGGTGATGAATGATTGTGGCACATTTGCTGTTAAGCGGATTGATCGAAGTCGTGAAGGGTCTGATCAAGTGTTTGAAAGGGAGTTAGAGATCTTGGGGAGTATCAAGCACATGAATCTAGTAAATCTGCGTGGTTACTGCAGGCTTCCTTCTTCAAGGCTCCTTATCTATGACTATTTGGCCTTGGGCAGCTTAGATGATCTCTTGCATGATGGTATGATTCATTTTATAGGCACCAAACTGTGTATATCTGTTTCCTAAGGACAAGACAGAAATATTTTGGAGCATTGTACAAAAATGCAATTTAGGTGTGGAATCATAGGCTGTCCAGTCCTTCAAGTGTATTCTCTAGTGGGTAAATGTTATAATTTCAGTCAATTCTTTCATACACCTGATGCTGATACAGTGAAACTGAGCTTGGCAAGTAGTGGTAATCAACATAACCAATTAGCAAACAGAATTACATTAAGCCTTTAGAGTAAGACAAATCTTTTAAAGTTGCTGTGTCATTAATCAGTGTTCCCAAATGTATACAAAAATGACCTAAAAAGCTACTTACAACTTTAACATTGTTGGGAAAATTCTAGAATGGTGGGAGGTTTGCATTTATTTTACCTTTATGACGACTCATCTTTCAGTTGTGCCATTCTCTAATTTTCCAGCAATTCTTTCTTCAGAAAATATTGAACAACCACTGAATTGGAGTGATCGCCTAAAGATAGCTCTTGGTTCTGCCCGAGGTTTGGCATACTTGCACCATGAATGCTGCCCAAAAATTGTGCATCGTGACATCAAATCCAGCAACATCCTCCTTGATGAAAATATAGAGCCTCGTATCTCTGATTTTGGTCTTGCAAAGCTTTTGGTTGATGAAGAGGCCCATGTTACAACAGTGGTTGCTGGAACATTTGGTTATTTGGCACCAGGTAGGCATTTCGTAGTTCTGGATACCAGCAGTTGACCTGGTTACCTTATTCTTTTTCAAAGTCACCACGTGACATTCATTACTTTTTTGTTTCCAGTGACCTATTTGAAATGTGATAAAAGATTGGCAGAAAGATGTTTTGTTTGGACTAAACTTTGTGTTGTTTCAGTGAAATAATTTCCTAGCTATAAATATGAAGATAAATAATATTGTCAAAACTATATTTGAATTAATCATCAATAATTTCCTAGCTCTTGGAAATTTCAAGTAGCATTTTCCTAATCTGTCTAAAGAGCAACAGTAAGATATGTTTGGCATTTTATTTTGAACTTTGTGATTTGGTTTTTGAGTCTTTGATCAAGCTCAATGACATTGTGGGATAAAGCTTAGTTGTTGTTGTTGTTGGGATTTTTTAATGTCTTCAGTGAATTACTCTCTTTCAATTGTGCCTGTTTAAATAATTATGTCAGAACTTAAATCCTAATTACATTTTATAGCATGACAATGAAATCGAAATTTCCACTTTCTACTTACAGTTTTGCATCATTGTTCTCTATGAAATGATTCGAAATGGTTTATATATATATTTCAGTAGCGATTGAATGATTGGTGGTTTATTATTTTTATGTCAACCAGAGTATCTACAAAGTGGGAGAGCCACTGAGAAGTCAGATGTGTATAGCTTTGGAGTTTTATTACTGGAACTTGTAACTGGAAAGAGGCCTACAGATCCTTCCTTTGTTAAGAGAGGTTTAAATGTTGTTGGTTGGGTAAGCTTTTACTTTTAACCCTCAATGCACATCTCAGTAACATGAAATTTTTTCGAACACAATGCACTAAACTTTGGGAAATTATTTACAGATGAACACATTACTGAGGGAAAACAAATTGGAAGACATGGTAGACAAAAGATGCACTGATGCAGATGCAGGAACTCTTGAAGTAATTCTTGAACTAGCATCAAGGTGCACTGATGGAAATGCGGATGATCGTCCATCAATGAACCAAGTGTTACAGTTGCTGGAACAAGAGGTCATGTCTCCTTGCCCAAGTGAATTTTATGATTCTCATTCAGATCACTGCTAATGGATGTCGTTGCAAGTGCCACTGCACCTAATGGAAATGGACATTTGAAGTCTTGTGATTCCATAACAGTGTTTTGTTAGTGAACTCTGATGTTTTCCTGTGGCTTTTGTAGATTATTTTTGTAGCAAATGTGCTGCTACAATCCCTTGTGAATAGATTAGTCATTTATGTGAACCACTTGTCCCTTTCTGCTGTTTGTGGCCAAATGAAAAAAAGAAAGGGATAACTTGGACATTGCAGTGGGTTTTGGTATGTGGAATGACCTCCATTCCTGCTATTAATTGTTATTATTAACATTTAACTTATCAAAACTTTGTTCAGTGATTTTGTTCTAGAAGCCCCCACTAGCTTTGTGTACTTCACAAATAGATCTTCTGCGTAGACATTATCTCATTTAAAAAATAATAAATACACAGAACCACTTTAGTAATCTTTTCTGAAGAAATATATCCAAGTTTTGTATGATACCTAGTGTGTAATTTTCCTCTGTTTTCGGGTTTATGAATTTGTCAATGAAACTTTGGCCAAACCAGAATGTAAATCTAAAGAACATTTAATGAAACTACTCGGATATTTTATATAAAATCAAATATCTAATTTATATTTTTTTTATAAATTTATAATATTAAATGGTTAAATTAGTTGTTTATATATTAAATAATAGTTATATAAGTAATAGATGAATGTTTTATTAGCATAAATTTATAATAAGAGTATAAAAAATTTTAAATTAATAATTGTTTATATTAATACGAATATTAATCTAGGTAATCGATGCTTTAGTCTCTAATCTCTAAGCATTGTGGCATATGTCACTGGCCAAGTAATATGCCTCCAAACTTGAACTCCCTACTTTCCAAGAATGTCACGATTCCCCTTCCCAACCACCGAACAGTTGCCGAAAGAAACAAAATTCTTTCGTTCATAAGCCTTGCATTGGAAAGGTAAATAGGGCCTTTTAAAATCTTATGCAAATCAGTTGAAAGTTGGTACCTGCTTGGGTTACTATTTTTTTTGGTCTGAACTTGGGTTACTACTTAACTAGTATCTTGTGGTGCCCGTTTTCAGAAATTATTATATAATTTGATTACTCTAGAATATATTTTTTTCAATGATATTTGATTATTTTATAATTTAGTAATGGGCTTTTAATTTGGAATTATAAAATTAGTAACTTTAAAAGATTTTCTTGTCAAAAATCGATAAAACCTGCTCTCTTTTTTCTCGAAAAAATCTCAAAGATGGCCTATGGTTATGATTTTGGGAAAAGCCCAGGAAGTGTTCTATCCACAAAGTGAAAGAAGGTTGAAGTAGTTGTTGTGACGGATAGATAAGACTTTGTCTTTTATAGTTGTATTCTATTTGTCTACTTGGGTTTAAAACCATCATGAAAAATATTAACATTAGTTAAAGTAAATAATTAAAAGTGATAAATTTTTATTGAAAAATATTTTTTATTTTAAAAGTATACTAAAATTATTTTTAATAAAAAATTACTTTCAGCCCTAACAAAGCCAAAAATTTAATACAAAATTTTGTAGTTGTTTAAGCACAGAAATTAAAGTATTATAAAAAGAGAAAGAAAACAGGTGCTGTGTCTTTGATGTCCGACCTTTGGTGTCTTGAAAGGCAAAATTTCAACTCTCAACAATCATTTATTTGAGAATTTAAGAGATCAATGAAAGGTTGAAGTGGAAGAGTTTAGAAATGAGTCAAATTTCATCTGGAATTGTTTGTGGTGGTAACATTGGCACCAACTATATGGTACCATTATCGTTACCTTCATCATCATTTGCTTCTTTGTCTTTTAACAGCTTCATCCAGCACAAAGAACTGGTTTTGGGATATTGGGCACCTAGCAATCATAAAAATGGCCTTAAACGAAGGAGAAGAGAACATGGGGTGGTGGCATCAAGCAACGTTGCTTCACCATCCATATGGGATGATTGGAAACCTCTTAAAGCCTCTTCCACCCCTTCCCTCAGTGACATTCTTTGGCCTTCTGCTGGTTAATTCCCTAATATCTCTCTCTCTCGTTTATTACTGTTTTTTGGATCAGGCAAATAGAATTCGTTATTTGAATGGAACCCACTTGTAGGATCGTCCTATTATGGTAATTAGATTTGGCATGACATAACGTTAACAAGTATGAACAGTGTGACTGTATGTCAAAATTGATGTGCTTTAAATGTTTTTCCTCTCTATTATATTAAAAAAAATGAACAGGGGCATTTGTAGCAATGGCAATATTAGGAAAGCTGGATCAGTTAATGGCACCAAAAGGACTCTCAATCACGTTTGCACCGTTGGGGGCAGTTTCTACTCTCCTCTTTGCCTCTCCCACCGTCCCTTCTGCACGGGTACTCCTTCTATTTACACCTTAATAAGATAAACTATTTATACAATTTACTGTATAACCAATGTTGGGTCTTAATTAAGTTTGCTTGGTACCTCGACCAATGCTTCTGTTTTCACTTTTCAACTATTATAAAAGTTTACAAATGTTAATTTTTAATTAACTATAAGTCAAAAACAATTTATATTTTGGTGGAGAAAACGGGTAAACTAAAAATTAGTCTCCCCAAACAACATATTCTTATTCATTTCACTCTCACTCGTTATGTTAAGCATGAATTTGGATATTCTCATGGAACTAACATTATATGGTCATGTTGGAAAGAAAGACGATTTTTATCAAACACAGACTTACAATAATTGGTTGTAGGACTCACTAATTAAATTTGATTAAAATTGTGTCTCTTGCTCTTCAATGTGACCATATTTTGTTATTTAATAACATGATAGGAAACAAATCAGTTAATTATTAATACAGCGCTAAACCACCCACATGTGATTATGCAGAAGTACAGTGTGTTCATGGCTCAAATAGGTTGTGCAGCAATTGGTGTTTTGGCATTCACAATATTTGGACCCGGATGGCTGGCTAGGAGTGCTGGCATTGCGGCATCTATTGCTTACATGATTTACACCAACAGTGTTCATCCCCCAGGTATTTTTGCTTTAATGTTCCTTTGTTGTTGTGTAAAGTGAATCAAGTCATTTGTGCTACTTGATGTTATTACAATAATATATGCAGCCGCAAGCATGCCATTGCTTTTCATTGATGGTGCTAAGTTCCATCACATGAATTTCTGGTATGCTTTGTATCCTGGGGCTGCAGGATGCATTCTGCTTTGTTTGATGGTAAGCAATCTATTTTGAACATTTTTTTTGTCCAAAAATGATTTACTCATTGCAAGTTTACTAATTGAAAGACATCAACTGTTTATTCAGCAAGAGCTGGTTGTGTATTTGAAGAACAATTTCAAATTTTGACCACTGCTCTTCACATTGATACATCTCTCCTACATTGGCAATCTCTTCAAATTTAATTTACTAAAGATCATTCTTTGATCAGAATCACGACTGTAAGTAGAGGGCATGCCATGCTCCCAACCAAAAATAAATTTGTCCTAGATTTTTCTTCCAGAGGCAAGACTTTGATGGAATTGGATGGATTTTTAAAAGTTACAGCATTCTATTTGTATTGGAATGTGTTCATTGAGTGTATTTGATCCGAAAATTATTTGACAATAATGCCTTGTAAACATTGCATATCAACTTGTGTCTCCCTAACTTCTAACTTATTTTGACTAAGTTTAAAAGTTTGTTTGAACAAATTAGACTTTTTTGATGAAGTTTATTTCAGTATCCTATAGCATTTTGGTAGCTTATTTTTTCAAAATGCTAATTCATGTAGCATTTGAATTTATAAGCTTCTAGATTTTATTTTCTGAGTTTTTATCCTCACTGTGGTGTCATAATTCTTTTTCATTTTTTTTGTCTTGCTACGGTACGGAAGGCAATTCGTACTAACTGCATATATAAATTTTAAAAGTCAAATCTTAATATGAATAAAATTAGTTAATTATTTAGGTTGAAATTTAAGTACATATTTTTTTGTTTAATTAATATCATTTTAAAATATTTTAATCTTTAAATGGCTTAACTTGTGAACCAACCTCAAAAGCAAGGTCGATGTTTTTTAATCTATAATTAAAATAAAGCAGTTTGAACTCCTAATCCATTTTTTATATGGGTTCAGAGCAGGACGGGATAAAATAAAATGCATTAACCTATTTTTGGTTTTTTTTTAATTATTGTAAAACAAATGATTGGGCCACTATGGGAAACCCGAAAGTTGGAGTTGCATTAATAACGATTGACCGTAAAAAAAAAGGCATCATCAACGTTAATGCCATGTAATCCACAGGCCCAACATTTATTGGAATTTGGAAGGAACAACATTGGGCTTCTTGTCAGGGAATTACTCTGTTGACCAAAAATAAAATTCCTCAGAAACTTATTTACAAAACACTTTTTGAAATAAACTAATTTATAAAACAAGGTAATCAAAACGTATACGTAAAGAAAACGAAGAATCTTATATTGGCTTAATTTGGGTAAAGTTTTGCTGAAGCATCGGTAGAAGAATAAATGAATAAATAACATTTTTCAAAAATTAAAATAAAGTATCCACTTCGTATTTTTAAAAAATTAATTAAAAAAGTTTATAAAAAGTAAAAGAATAACTTATTTTCTTACTTCTGTGTAAACTTACTAAAACTTAACCATTGTAAGTCTCTAATGAAATATTTTTTAATTAAAAGAAGAAATAGCGATTGCAAAAGAACTTGATTTTGATTTAATTTGAAAGTGAATATGATAAATTCTTGCAATGTTTATCCGATACCCGTGCAATTTGAACAGAAGCAAAGGGAAAACAAGAGTTGAACGATAAAAGCAAAAGTGACCACAAACAAGAACCCACTACCCAAACTACAGCACCCGTGGCATGGTTTCCTAAAAGTTGAAACACACGACACATAAACTGGCTTTATTTATTTGAGATACCTGCAGCTGCCACAGTGCTTCATATTGACTATAAGAACGTCACTGAGCCAAAATGCGTGTTGATTCTCTTCTGTTGCACAAAAATGGGTGGTTGGTGATAAGGTTCCTCTACTATATCTGATTCTGTAATGTCCCCATTCTGATGTTACGTTCTTAAAGTGGGATCTTAAACATCACTCATTCACTTCTCTCCTTTTTTAATTGCAAATATACTCCATTAATGCCTCGTAGTTATATTTAATATCTTAAATGCTATTCTCTTTCAGTCAAAAAATCTAATGATTAGGGTCCCTTTTCTCAAGTGATTTTTGTTTCCACAACTTCATCTATACGCTTTCTTAAGTTTTGTCTACACCAGGAAAGAAAAAAATGAACCAAGTCCAAAGCACAATTTGAGTTAATGCGGTGCATGATGGATCATCCATCACACACTAACATCACCTTCTCAATCCAGCATGTTATAGTAGTGCTTTTACTTGTTAAAATTGGAAAAACTGTATATACACAATGTAAGTTATATGTAATTGGTCGGGAATCTCAAATGTTTTTTTTATTACAAATAACTTGGTTTTGGCATTGTCGATGAATAGCAACTCATATTAATTAAACCGAAACATATTAAACCTAATTTAGGGATACAAATTGCTTTTAACCAATTATTTTCATTTAATATGAATATTTTTTTATGTTATTTAAGATTATTAATACCTAAAAGTCACTTTCAACTCGACTGATTTGAGTAGAGACAAATGGAGTCGTTTAAAGGAGAAAGCTTCTCTTCACACGTATTTTTACCTTACACGGGACTCAAACGCATTATATATTTTTACTCAAGATAATTTTATATTTGATTTGATTATTGACAATGTTATTGAACACAAGCATATTCCTGTGTAGTTGTTACGTACGTGATTTCATTAAAATCTTAAGCTTAAATTTCATTATTATTAACTAAAAATTCTTTTATTATCATTAAAGTATATATTTATACATATAAAAATTAGTTACTTAAATAGTCAACATTATAATTGGAGTTTTTAATGATGTGATGATATGATATTACGTATATGGTATTAAAATTTTCAAAAATTAAACCGTAACGATATGATCAATACTATTTTTTTTAAAAATGTAGACATGCTACTATTTCAAGGGAATGGATCGAGAATAAAAAGAAAATAGATTTATTAAACTAGCAATTTGATCGACATTTTTAAAAATATTTTTTTCTCGAAAGATATCAATTATTTTGTTAAACACCTCTAAACCTTCTTTTGAACGGATTAAGGAAGATCCATTCCGCTTCTTCAACTTGCGTTGATGACGAGATACTTTGGAGCATGTTTTTGATAGCATTGATGATCAAAATCTTATATGCCTTTGTAGTTTCTGGTATGTAATCATGTATACTCCATGATATCAAAGTGATATGCATATTGTGAAACAGTGTATGTCGTTGTTGGCTTTGCATGAATGTCAACGTTGTTTGCCTTATTTTTCTGTGGTTTCCTTTTTCATTTGAAAAATTCTCACTGCCCTCATCGTTAGTTTCAAAGCACCTTCAGTGTTGGGCCTACATGAGGCGCCACCCTTAATTCATCGAGTTTCCTTCACAAATGAATGGCACTCACGTCTAGGCAGCTCCTGTGGACAAATGAGAAATTTTGAAATCCCTAAACAAGTGCCTATGACACCTATACGAAGAATAGAAGAATGGTTGATATCGATGGCTCTCTTACTCCTCATTGTACCAATGATCACACGATAAACTTTTTGTCGTTAGTGGTTGATTGAGGTTTATTTTCACACACACACTCAAATTACCCGTACGTATCTACAAGGTAAATGTGTAATTGGAATTATACTTAAATAATTATGTGTTTTGTCTCTAAGTTTAAGGATGTTGTCTAAGGACAGAGTCTTATAGACGTAGCTTCAATGTTGTAAGCAAGGGAGCAGTAAAGAGAAAATGACGGAAGTGTTCCTACAATAAACACTACAATGTTCGAGTTAGTCAAAATTTGGATAGAGAAGTTATAAGTGAGGCTGAGAGGGAATAATGGAGCAGAAGTTTGGTATCCTACCCTTTATATTGTGCGATAGAAATTATTCGATGAATAGATGATAAAACTCTTTAATGATAAGGGATTAATAAAGCACATAAATTACGTTGACTGATAAAATAGGTTTCGTGAGTACCTATTTAACACATTATTAAGTAAGAAATTTTCATCATAATAATATTGACGCCATGAATCTTCATCCATATTAAAGTTAATTTTATCGACTTTAGCTCAAAATGAAATTAGCTCTGGGTTCTAAGTTTTAATTAATTGCAAAAACATGATGGAAAATCATTGATGAGCCACCAACTCTGACTTTCTACCTGTTTGCGGAAATATCGAACATAACACTGAAAAAACCATTAACCATATCAAGGATTAGCTTCCACAATTTCTTTATCCTATACATCTCCCTCATAATTGTAGTCTGAATTTTTCTTCCAAAGGAGCTTCACCACAAGGGTATCTTGCCTGGGTTTGAGCACAGATTAAGAAGCAATCTATTTCCATTTTTTAGATTTACACGTGCCAAATTATAATTGGTGAGATCTACAACCTTGTCTTTAAAATAAATGAACCCTTTCGTTGCTCATTCTTTATCGTTGCCATCTGGCAGTTTAGCTAATGTTTAAAATTGTTCTCCTCCAATTATAGAGAAAGAGAATCAGTCTTTAACATATTTTTTAAATATATTTGTTATTTATTAAAATTTATTTAAAATTATAAAATTTATATGCATTTTACTCTTAATTTAATTAATAACTAAAAAATGTATTTTTAACATTCTTCTAAAACGAAACCATACTTGTGTACGGTCATATATTTTGCATCAAATTATGTGTAATTCATGTAAGGAATAAACGTGTCAAAGTAATTATGAAAAACATTAAATATATAATATTAATATTTTATAATTTCATAATTTGTGATGTACTTATGCGTATTCTATCTTAATACTAATAATTAAAAATCTCAATACATTTTTTTATTTCAAAACGTTATATTCTTTAAAAAAAAAAAAATAGGTACCTGCGTTGTTTTGTGAAGCAAAAATTGTATGACTGGAGGCCATCGTGGGTGTGGGTAAGAAGACACTCTTTTCTTGAAACAGTAGCAAACAGCGTTAATGTGGGTCCAGCGAAAGCAACCTACACGTACGTGTAACGTCATGTTTGTGGTTAAAAGTTAAAACGTGGAATTTTTTTTATATAAAATATTACTATTCTTTCACAAATTACTTATAATATAGTTAATTAAATTAATTAAAAATTTTATTTGTTCATTTTAAAGACGAATTTACTTTTTTGGATTAATAAAAAAAGTGGTTATTTCGAACTTATAAACGTAAAATTTCCTGTTATGATTATTTTAATATTTTAAAATTTAAAAAATATTTATATTTGTTTAATAAATCATTAATTATCACTATCTATTATAAATATTTAAAATAAAAATATAATTATAATTATTGTACATATAAAAATATAAAATATCCTTTTAATATTTAAGACATCATAAAAATTACTTAATAAAAATCAAATTCACTTAAAAAAAGGGTACACTATCAGAGTTGCTTTTCAAAACGAAAAGATATATAAAATAAAAAGAGAAATATATATTTTAGTGAATATTTGTAATTTTATACTAAAAACAGAGGATGTTTATTTATTTTATTCTACAATAATTTCACTTAAAAAAAAGGAATTGCACTGAGAAGGTTGGACCCACTTTCCCTGGACCTCCCAAGTACCAACACCTACACCGTCCATAACCCCTCAGTCTTATCTGTATTTGTATGGTATCACTGTATGAATGAACGTGACTACTTCCCTTCCCTATGCGCTATGTCACCCCCTTCCTTGTTTACTCCTCTCTGATAAAACAAAATGCTAGTTTATAAACTTTGAATGATTGGATTAAAGCTTTCAACTGTTACTCATCATGCTAACATCTCTCATCCACCCATCATATTTCAAACATTTTATAAAATAAAACAAATAAATGCACCACAAATCAATGCCAGTGATGCTGCTCCTGCTACTCCGTCCAATCATGTGTTTTGATTCCCTCCCTTTTTCGGTAAACATTTTTATTCCACTTTCCCTGTATAAAATTTTCTATCCATTTCTTATCAAATCTAAGATATTTAACATCTCCGCAATTACAATCTTTTTCAATGCGATATTTATTATATAAGATAACTATAGTGTTTGAATTATAAATAAATTAATATTACTGTTTTATTATACAGACATCTTTTTAAAATAAAATAAATTGAGTATGTTTTCAAACATACTTTATCCTTGTGTTGAAAATATGTTTATATTATACTATTATGATGATTATCAATCTTGCTTGTCTTTAGGATGTGTATAAATATTTATAAATAATATGAAGACAGATTTTTTTTATTTTGGGGTTTACATATGATCACAGATTAAAAGCCACGTTGCGAGAGGTCAACGTCGAATGGACCCAACATGATGTGTAGATTCCACTGCGGAGTTTGCTTGGGCATTTGGTGTGGTTGCTCTTCAATCTTGCTTGCCCCTCTTGATTTTGCCTTTTTTTGTTTGACCAAAGGGGGAGAAAAAAAATGCTCCCACGTGGTTTCATTCTGGCCGTACACGTGATCCCAATCTGGTGAAATATTAAGTATAAAATAACCATAGAAAAATGAGTGTTGTTATTTTTAAACAACGAAATATATAATAAAATTTTTTAAAAAATAAAAATAAATGTAGATTAGGGTTAAGGACGCTTTGCGTTATGAGGAGACAGGCCATATGGCATCTTGTGAATGGAACTTTCTTGGTACGCCGTAAAGAATGGACCTATCCTTACGCCATTTCCTTCCAAACATCAATTACATTGATAATATTAATAATTTAACGATTGCAGTGAATGTGAACAACACAGGTTGACCTTAATTCTAGCATTCTCAGCCACAAATATCAGTATTAGTACAAATTATGTGTTACTGTCACCACTCATCGGGGTATGTATTGAAAATAATCATATTTAATACCATCATCAGTGGACCCGTAATTTTGATAGGGATTGTTTTAGCGTTTTACCTTCTTCTTTTTTTCTTTTTCTAATATTAATATTTATTAATCGTGTAATATAAAATACATTCATGTGACTAATATCACTCCCAATACAAAGAAGAAAAGCATCATAATTGATAGGAAATATAATATTATTTTTCATTAAGCTTAAAGTATTTTAATTTTGTCTTAAACATCATTTCTTTCTTACACTATCATTTCTTCTTTTAGCTCTGCTTGCCTGTAACATCCGTTGATAATCAAGATATATAATGATTTAATGGCACCTCTTCAAATCCGTTTTGATAACGTTATAAGGCAATCCAGATTCTTGCGTACAGAAGATAATAGCTTATGTGATCAAATTATTTTAAAATATTTTAGATTCTTGCGTTTATTCGTTTAATTAGTATTTCACTTGTATAATGGAATATTCGAATCTTTATCTTTATGCTAAACATTGATTAAATAATAATCTGCACATTACCGTGGATAACATTAATCATTAAAAGAACCCAGCGAGAGAAGATCAACTCAATCACAGCATCACTTCGACAATAAATTTTACAGCCCTCTTCATATTCTATGTCCTGAACATATATGAACCACATTTATTATAAATTTCAAAAACAATAATAGATAAATGTCCATATTATAAAATTTTCAAACCTCAAAATGAGTTGGCGACCTGGTTTAGTAATTATTTACTACCGTTTCAAAAGATGTGATTATTTCCAGGAGTTGAAAAAAGTTGTTAGGGATGAAATTACATAAATTGCTTATTCCTCCGAGTATGCACCGAAATTTCCACAAGGGCAATAACTTAATATATATATATCCCATTGGCTCAAAGAAATGTACAGAAGGTTCTGCGAAATCCTCATGATATCATCACTCTTGGGAAGTTTTTTAGGAATCGAGCAAATAAATGAGAACAGAAATCCGTGATCCTCGTCCCCTGGAGAGAGAGAGAGACACGAGGGTCATTTTTGGGGCCAATTCATAACGAAAGCGACACCCCTTTTGTCACAGCTTAAATCCTCTCATTGTTCTGAACCTGGTAAGGAAAGTAATTCAACCATGGCAGGTCAACTTCGTCATGCAGGGGCTACTTACAAATCAAAACTACTAGGCCTCAATCTGTGCCACTCTAATTGGCCTTCCATGTCAAGCTATATATGGCTTATCTTTATTTCCAATTTCATCAACTTTCCAATTTGAATTTCCTCAGAAATTAAATCCAGAGTTACATTCTCAAGAAGACATTATTTAATTACATTGGAACTAACAGTTTCATTACAAGTAACAAATGGGGGGAAAAGCACCACCATTTTCTATCCTAATAAAGCCATGATAAATAGAGTAGATATATAGCATATCCATTTTGGGTAGGGTGCCATTGCTCTGACTTATTAGTTAACCGGTCACCCATTTTACAAAAAGTGCAAATACTAGACACATAAAACACAGATGAATGGGGGAAGAAAACTTAGAATGCCCAAGTCCAAATGGCATGATCTTCCTCCGTTAATCCAAAATTACAACTTTCAGGTGGGTCGGTGTAGTCCACATCTTCAAGCTTAGGAAAGATATATGGAGGCAACAGGCTCTGGCTGAAGTTGTCTTCTTCATCTTGTGATAAGTCTGATTGATCAGGCTCAAACACATAAGAAGAATCACCTGCCTCTAGCAGTGCAGAGTGAACTCCATCAGTGTAATGTGGGCTATCAGAATCCAAAATGTCACTCCTTGCTGAACTAATATCTTCCTGTTTACAACCCCCAACTGAGACTTTGGATCCCTCACCCTCTGAAACTGAATCAAGCAAAGGTTTTTCGGGTTGTTCTTGCAACCCCTTTGTTTCACTCTCACCTTGCTTAAATCCCCCCTCTCGTGTCTCTCTTGCAAGCACCTTTTCCGTGAGGCTTGTCACCTAAAATTAATCAAACACCACAAACAAACACTTTTAAAAATAAAGTGGTATAACAAGACATTCAAAATATAAAGTTGAAGTGGCATTAATTAACCAACCTCAGCTTTTAACTTGTCTTTCTCCTTGAGGAGGTTATCATAACTGGCCTTAAGAGTCTCGAAGCTAGCATGCAGAGACTCATAATCTTTTTCAAGCTGTTTTGTCTTCCACCTTGCTCGACGATTCTGGAACCAAATAGCAACTTGTCGTGGCTGCAAACCAAGGTCCTTGGCTAGCTTAGTTTTTCTCTCGGGTTCGAGCTTGTTTTCCTCCTCGAAGCTTTTCTCAAGAAACTGAACTTGGTCCGCAGAGAGACGCCGCTTCTTCTCCGGTTGATGAAAGTATTCGTCCATACCATCATCCCCGTTTTCGTCCACATCAAATGCGCCAAAGAACGACCTGTTACACCCCTTCCCTCCTTTAACATCTTCAAAACTCACCATCGATCTTGAACCTAAACCACATAATTACAAAATTATTAGTCAAACCATCATGCTCCCGTAATTGCCCAAGTTCAGTAACAATACATACAATTTAAGTGTGGCAATAAGACTAGCACAACTTAAATTTTATCTATAACGAAAAAACCATGCCCCCTTCTATTTTATGTTTTTATAATAATGTTCTGAACAACTTGATTAATTACAACTACGAAAGTTGGAGAAAAATGAAAGAAATATGAGAGATTGATGAGAGAGAGAGAGAGATGTGTAACTGACCGAGGAAAGAAGGAGGGGTAGAAAGGAAAAGAGAATCAGAAGTGGGAGGAGGAGTTTGATTGTGTAGCAAAAGAGAGATATTGGAAGCGTTTGAAGGAACAGCGCTAAAGAGCCTCCCACCAGCCATGTCACCAAGCTTACTCCGACCAAGTTCTTAAGGAGCCATGAAAGTAGGTTAAAGAAGCTGAATTGAGGTTAAAGATCTAAGACTTGTGGCGGAAGAAGCTGGTGATGATTATCTCGGTGATGTGGGAAGTGTGGGAACAGCGGCAGGGCATACCCATCACTCAGAAGAAGAACAACCTGGGAAAGCCAATTCCAACACCAGAGAGAGAGAATCTAGAGAGAGAGTGAGAGAGAGACAGAGAGAGAAGCAGTGGCAGTGGCTGTGTTTTCTCTTTGGGGTTCGGAGATGAAGAGAGTGTCTCGGTGGGTTTATAACAAGACACTTAGCTGGGAAGGGAGTGTCTACTTACTATCATGCCCTTTCACTCATTCACTGTCTAATCTCATGTGAGTGGTTTTGTTGGTTTTTCCCCACCAAACTTTACTTCTGATATTTTTCTCTCTTGTGAATGGGTAGATGAGACCACGTGAGTTTCTGGGAAAGGTTTTCCCTTCTGTTTCACTATTTTTTAATGTGTACTTATATACATATAATAAAAACTTAATAATTTTTTATTAAAAATATTAAATATTATCATTTTTTAAAAAAATTATTACTTTTTAATCTTTTACTATATACTTTTGAATACTCGTAAAACCTTATATTTTTTCGTAATAAATTTCACAGTTGGTAGTTGGCGAATTTCGATGACATCCGTTTGCGTTAATACGCTGATGGACCATTTTTTTTAATTGAACAGAAAAATAAAATAAACCATTTAAAAAAAATCTCTTTGTTAGATTTCTTTCATTTTAAATTTTGAATTTTCTTTTCTGTATTATTTTTTAAAATATTATTTTAGCTCAAATAAGAATAAATAAAAGCCTTGTAAATTTCCTTGTATAATTTAAATTCAGTTTATTTAACACATTTATTTAAAAGTATTTATTGCGATATTCTCTCGTTAGAGGAAGTATATAATGCTTCTCGTACTTCACTTAATATTATTGATTTAATTAATTTATAATTTATTTTTATTATAATTTAAACAGACCATTATATGTCTCTTAAAATTAGTGTATCGTAGATCTTGTTTAAAATAGACTAATAAATATATAATTTTAAAGACTGAATTTAAAAACTATTTCAATAATTATTATTATTAGTTAATGCGATTTGTCTAAAAAATTTTAAGTGACCTAAATTTGGCCTCTTAACTAAGGTAGTGTTTGCCCTAAATCTTTAAAGCTTTTATTAATTGCAAAGATGCTACAACTGTGCTTTGACTTAACTTTTTTCCCCCTTAAAAATGAAGAAAAGCTTAACAAAAACATGCTAAATATTACTTAAATATACTTTTAAAAAACTTAATTTTTTTAATAATGGATTAAAAACAAAACTTAACTTATGTAATAAATGAATATAAGTCTCGTCTAACTTAAGTTTAATGTAAATTAAGTCATAAGAATTTAATTAGCCATCTGACTTTTTTTTTATTTCTAATAATGAAAGAACTAACTTTACCCCAGACAATTTGAATTGAAAACATATGTCTCTTCTGATATTCCTTAATCCATCTTTCGATATTAGATCCAAGTCTGTATTTTTAAATAAAAGCTTTTCCAAAATTATCTTCTAAAGAGAGTATCTTTAGAAATTTTTTACATCTTGTTACACAATATAAGTTTTTCTACATTAAAATATTTATATATTTTAGTTAATTAACATTCCTTTTAAATATTAGTTTTTATTTTAATTTCAAATATAATTTAATTTATTTTTTAATCTTGGAACAACATATCAAATTGAAGATATATTTTTCATATAAATAAAATTTTAGAATAATTATAATTTTAATTAATATTAACTTGAATTTAATCTTATATTTATCAATTTTAACACATCATGCTCATAAAGTAAAAATATATTTTAAATCAAACTTCTTTATAAGTTATATTTTTATTTTTTATTGTCAATTTAAACAATATTTATTTAATTCTATTTAATATATTGAAAATTTATTTTTAATTGATAGTATTTATTATATTTAAAATTGATAAAATAATGTATCTTTAATTTTTTTTATTGTAAAATATTTTAATTTAACAATATCTGTCTGATATAGAAAAATTTCATCAATATAAAAAGACACACGATTAAAATAGTAAGATTTATTTTTTGAAGTAGCACCACGGTAAGATTAAATTAAAGGTGTAAGATATATTAAATTATATATTTTAAGTTTAATATAAATTATTATTATTGTTGTTGTTAAATATATAACGTGTGTGTATAATCACAAAGGTATAATATAAGTCTTACTAATTATAGCACAATTAATTTTAAAAAAATATTATTATTATTATTATTGTTATTATTATCATTTACCTTACAATGAACGTTTTATACTATATTTTAACATGAAAATTTGTAACATGATATTTAAACTATGATTATAAAAAAGTTCAAGTAATTTGTATCTTCATTTTAAACTAAGTTTATTGATAAATTTATATCATGCATCAACTGTATAGGTTAAGAAAAAGTATTTTTTAATAAAAATTAGTTATTATATTTAAAAATATTTTATTTTAAACAATTAATGTTTTTAAACATATTATATTTAACGCTTTAAGTTATGTATCAAATACACATAATAAAAAAGTACTAATTGATTAGATTTTATTAAAAATATTAAATAGATATTTTTCTTTTAAAAAAAATTCAACTATTGTTTTTATTGACAATTATTTATCAGTCCAAGTGTATAGTTAAAATTATTTTTTTATGATATCATCTGATTAACTTTTATTACATAATAATCATACTTATTTTTTAATTTAAATAATATTTTTATGCTTTTATTTTATAATTTATTCAAATTTTTATATTTTTAGTTAATATAATATGGATAGTTAAGTAAATCTAAAGTTATAAATATATATATATATATATATATATATTATTTTTTTAAAGTAAAAAAATTCTATCCCAATTAAATATTTTAAAACTTATAAGAATAAGACTAAAAGTAAACAAATTTAAGGGTCACATATAAAAAAAAAGGTAAACAAATTTACAAATATTACATTAAAATTTAAGAAAATTAAAATGTTCTGAAATTTTAGAGAATAAAAAAAAATGTTTAAGAAGAAAAAAAAGGTAGTCAATGTCTAACGAAAAGATAAACATAAGATGCTGTAGCTAAGCGACCACTGATCCAGGTGTCAGAACACTACAAAATTACAAATAAATTAAATGTATTTGATAAGGCAGCACACCATCTATCAGCTAAATATCAATCATTGAAGATGGAAGCTATGAACCCTCATAATTTGCATTCGTTTCTAAAAATTTATGTTATTTAAACTTTTTTTTAAACATCTACATTCTATATTTATATATATTTTTCCCTTTAAATTACATCAAAGATTAAGAAAAATAGACACCATGGGGTATCTCTATATGGTGTCAACCTCCAGAAGTGAAAATAACATTTTGGATGCAAAAACATGTGCGAGCTTTAATAATATGTTATTCATTCACTTTATGATTAATTTCACTGTAAAACAATCGTATTCACTAATTAAGCATAAAACTGTGGGATGGTTAAAACCCAAACACAAACACTAGCATCGACCACGATTCCTGAGTTTTCTGTATTATCAATCGCTTTCTTAGGCGAGAGGAAATGGACAAGAAGAATTGAAAAAAACAAAGGTTTGAATTAACATGAATTTGAACGCAGAAAGGATAACTATAAATGAACAAGTAAGGAACATAGTGACATATTTTGTGGGCTATCACTAGTTATAATATTTTATTTCTTCTACTCTGACATTTTCCTCACCTGCTCCGCTCCATTCCTGCTTCCTTCACTATCGTCTCCACTTCAACGCGTCTCATTGGGCCACTTCGATCCAACATGTCATTTTCAATGTTACATTTTAATAGTTCTTAATAAATTAAAAAAAATCATTTTAATTTTTACATATACATTTATTTTCATTCTAGTAAGATAATATTAAACATCAATCACATGTAGATGTTTATTAATTGGTTTATGTATGTTTCTTTTTAGTTCCCTTTTGCATCGAGCCGAAGACTTTTGATTCTTATTTCACTTTTGAACATGAGAACCTCACTCTTTTTTGGGGTTGAGGAAGATGGGAATCTCTAAACAAAATGAAGCAAAATAAATCATATTGGGCTCCAGTTAGAAACGCTGAAAAAGCCCAATGTTGACTTAGATCCACATTTTCTAAAGCGAATGTACCAAGACTTAGTAAGTCAACATCATCCACTTGGCCCAACAAAATTCCTTCATAACCCACAAAAAAATTCTCATTCCTTGGTTCCCTGCCATGGCTTGTTTCTTTATTCAACCAAACAGTAGAAAAGGACTTCAAAAAAAGAAGAAAGGATAGTATATGAATATAAATAGCTCTTCTATTTAGAAAAAAAATTAAGCGATGAGCACACGCATTTTAATAAATTTCAAAGATTAGTCAACAATCACATACACCTTGTGACATGGCTACTTTAAAAACTCATTTATACTTATGTTTTTTTATATTAACAATTATAATAAAATTGAATAATTTATTCTCATTTTTTATAATTATTATTTTTCACTTAAATAACACATTTTAAACATAGAGGTTACATGACATTAGTTATCCTTCATTCAAGGCTTGAAGCCTTATAATGAGCAAGACTTAGATAATATCTTTGTATTTTATATTATTCCAAAGGGTATTTTGGGAGGGTTTTGACACTTTGATACCTTCCGAACTGACCAACCAAATTAAGCCATTTGTGACTTGTGAGTGGACCACATAAGACATTTGGCGAATGTTCCAGTGGACATGACACTTCTCATCTTGGACCTTCGACATTCAAGTTCAAGCTAGAAAGGTTGAATTGCCCTATTCTTCATACCTACCATTGTCCATTGTTGTTTCAATACTATTCAGTGACCACTGTCCACTGGCATATATTTTGACAAATGCTACGCACATGTTCTAGTTTTAATTCAGCAAATTATTCAAGGGGAGACAATAAAACATAATACCTTAAATACTTTAATGTTGACATGGAATGGAACTTTAAAATTTAAAAATATAACATTTTTCAAGTGAATTTATTTACAAAGCGTGATTGGATAATTTTATCATATATTTTCTTTTATATATTTCAAAAGTATATTGCTTTAAAAAGAGTGCTGTTTGTTCTAGTGCCACCTACCAGGATGAAAATTCTAGATGCACGTTTTATGATCCACTCCACATCTCAAACTCATGGCCCCAATTGCAAACCCGTACAAAAGGGCATTAGGCCAATGTCTGACCAAAAAAAGCACTTAGAAGAAAGTTTATGGGCCTCAAAAGTCATGTCCATTACTGTTTATGTACAAGACAGACCAATGTGGTCTGTGGCATAATAGAAATGGCGAACAGCCAAGCCTAATTAAATTAAATTGTACTGCTTCGTTATCGATATTTAATACGAAATTACCCAGAAAAGAAAGAACCAAAATATAAAACTCTAAGCTCAAGAAAATGTTTATGTTCTTTACCCGTTTATCTTACCAATGGTAATATGTTAATGTTAGAGGAGTGTTCACATTGATTTTGAGTGAAAAAATAATCTGATATGATAAAGTAAATATATTATGACTTAGTTTTAATCGATTTATAAACAATGTGATTTAGATAGCATTGGATAATTCAATTTTAAATATATATAGTTCTGAAATAATAGCAAAAAAAGAACTTATAAAAAAAATAGGAAACACAAGAATAAATTTCAATTAATCTAAAATGATAAAGTTATAAACACAATAAACTGTAACTTTGAGTGCAAAATCATAAAAATTAATTGAGTATTACAATTTTATAAAAATATAGTTTATTAGTATAAGTAAATAGTTAATTTTATAATTAAAATTTTATGCAAACAGGTTTAATTTAGATTAGTTTTCAAAATTAAATTTAAAATTTGATCCAATTTTTTATAAAAAAAAATATCCCTGATACGGTAAGAGCATTGCTGGTTTACAAAGTATCGTGCATAATAGCCATTCTCAATGGTTAATGACATACTGATAATGAAAATAAATTGACCAAGAAATTAGTTGCTCACAGAAGTTGTTGAAGGTACAAGAAATTCTTAATCTACGATAGTTAATAACGTGTCCGTTTATTTATAATTGCTGAATATAACGCATATTACTAAGAACTGAACGAATGTAATTTATTTGGACAAACATTCTAAATATGGTAGATTGAGAAATATATACACTGAACATGTTTGAAAATTTAGAAGTTTATTAATTAATATTTGATTAGATTATGGATAAATTCAAAGGGGAAAATCAGGATATAAATGAGAATAACGTGAAGCTGAAAATGAGCAACTTTCAACTTTTAAAGTGTTTCAGTACTAATTAAATTTTAAGTAACTTTCTAGCTATCTCAGATTTTCTGCCACCTCATATGGTATCTTCTGATTTTCAACTCAACAATATCTTTCACAGTTAATAATAATAATAATAATAATAATCATAACTTGCTTTGTGTGGACAATATACTTTGGCGAGGCCAATCTGCATTATTCGCTAGCAAATTGCAACATTCTTTCTGTAATGCTAGTTAATCATCATTTGAACTTTTTGTTATTCCAAAAACCTCAAATGGCGAGTTGTAGACAAATGGAGATGCCAACTTGAACTTCAACTATTTATATCTAGTGTGAAGTGTTATTCAGAGTCACAACTTCAAATGAAAACAGTTCAAACGTTCAAGATCACTGTTCCTTACATATTTCAAGGAAAATGCTTTACCAACAATTAAAGGTTAGTCTCCTTTAATTCTATAGAGTATTTTTTAGATGTGTGTGTTAAAAAAATTAAAATAATAATAAGAAAAAATAATAATTATATATAGATATTACCTATAATAAAATAATTTCAAATTTCAAATAACATAATTAATATTTCAAAACCATATTGGAAGCAAAATAATACCACTATGCCCTTATGCTAAGGGGGGTGGGTTCTCAACACTCAAATCACTCAGCCTTCTGATCAGAGGGGCAACCTAATACGAAGCAACGATTGGTTCTTATTTTCTGACACAACAAAATATTGAGGACTTGGGTTAATTTTAGTATTTCAAAGTTCAAACACTCTGGAATTAAAATCTCTGTCACTTCAATTCTCAACTCAAAACATTTTATTTATTAAATATCTTATACTATGTATCCACGAGATTCACTGATGAACTGTTGAGTCAGTGACTTGGATTCAAAAGACCCACGGTATAGCATCCACTACACTGCCAAAAGTAAAAACTATAGGAAGATAACTATTACATGACATTCACCTGCTACCTTCTTATATTTTCCACCACAAAATTCCATACTTTTTTGAGTCAAAAAGCCAATGTTTCCAGGACTTGTTTATTCAAACTGAGCATGGAGGAGGAACTGCTACATAGTACCAATAAATGGAGAGGATTAAATGGTGGCACGAGCCAGTTGGACCCATGAATATGGTGATCCTAGCCACACAAATTGGAGATCCCATAGATGGAACAACCTTCCACATTACTCTGCCGACCTACATCCACATATTTTCATGATCCAGGTGAAAGGGTCTACAAAGTGGCCCATAAAAGGATACCTAGATACTCTAACCATCAGGGAATACCATACAATAGAATTGGTACTACTAGTGTTCTAATGACCCCAGAGAGATGATCCACACTAAGTCCCATTCAACTTGAAAACTCTCCTAGCCAATTGAAAAGAGACAAAACTCACATGACCAACAGAACCCTCCAATTTCTTCATCTGATAAATTACAAGTAATAGTCACTATCAAATTCGAACATTAAGCGTTTTCAGGATTGTATTTTAAAAATGGTCCCCCTTTGTTTTTTCTATTGGTCAGGAAGGATTGAACATAAGATGGTTTACAGAGATAGTGAAGTTGGCAAATCATTCATCTGTGGTATTAGCATATAGACACAGTGGACTAACCACTATGTGGACCAATCATGGGTTGCTTCTGGTTCTGGGAGTAAGAGGGGTGTGGGGTATGCTTGAGAAAAGCTTCTCTCTAACTTTACCTTCACGCTTACCATCATGCAACTATGACCCTTTTGTCAATAATATTGCCCACTTGCTTCTTAAAATTTGTCTCACCTTACTGTGATGCCCTATTGTCCATTCCTTGCTAAATATGTGATAGTACAACACACTGCATGGTTTACTCATGCAATTATCTACCGCCACCTTTAATTTTCAACATGCATACCAACACCTCAGGTTTTGAAATTTCTAATTAAGTTGGATTGATTACCATCATTATCATTTCCATTTATCGTAACCTTATCAACAAGCAACTTCATAAACAAGAAACATATAGAAGAAATGAGAACATTCACACAAATATAGGGGGAAAAGTTAGTTCCTAACTTACCACTTTTAATTGGGGATATACTGCTTTAACCAAGAAAAGCCTTCTTTCTCAGCATCCCCACCTCCTTGTTCTCATGTAGAAGTGAAAGGAAACCAAGAAAGACAGTAGAAACCGTCAACATCAACATTAATGTAAGGTAAAAGATCCAAGAGAATGAATGGTTGCTTTCTTATAGTCTAGACCTTTCCTCCTCTATCAGAAATTCCATTTCCCCCGCTATAAATGCAGTTCTGTTCGTCACTTCCAATATGATAGAAAGCGTGCTTGATCAAGTATTCTGCCACTACAATCCCACTCCCTCCTCCATAACCAAATTGAAGAATAAGATAAATGGTACAAAATTTTACTCCATAGTTTCCACTGTTCTTTTTTTCTATACGAGCTTTTAATACAGTACTACTTTCACTGAAAACTGTTTTAGGATGAAGCACAAGCGCAGGTATGGGAAGGATATGTTGATTGGAGGAACAGACCAGCCATAAAAGGACATCATGGTGGCATGCTTGCCGCTTCCTTTGTTTTGGGTAAGTACTGTCTCAGCACATTTTTCATGTTTCTCTTATTTGCTAACTCAGAATGTTATATTAGTTATAACAAACCAAGAAATCTTGTTGCTACATATAATTATTTTACTATTCCATTTTTAAATCTTTGTTTCTTCACAAAAATACTAGATATGTTAAGTAAACATGCATGCATAACATTTCTATGTTCCCACATCACAGCTGTGGAGGTATTGGAGAACCTAGCATACCTTGCCAATGCAAGCAACCTTGTTTTATATCTATCCAAGTTTATGCACTTTTCACCGTCCACTTCTTCCAACATTGTCACCAACTTCATGGGAACAGCCTTCCTCCTTGCTATTCTGGGTGGATTTCTGGCAGATGCCTTTATCACTACTTATTCCATCTTTCTCATGAGTGCTGCAATAGAGTTCATAGTAAGTTCCCATTTTATTTAAGCTCCTATCTTTCCCTTTTAAGTGTTTAAATTGGTGTATTAACTTTGCAGGAAAAAGCTTCAAGACTTCCAAATTAATGGAATCCGTGCTTAAATATAACTCACATGTCAATCGCAAAAAGTGAAGCTAAATTTATGATGGCTACCGCATATTATACCATAATTATTAATCACAGTCATCATATGTGGAAAGGAAAAACTTTTACATACTGTTTACACCTGTAGAATGTGCTTCTAGGTAGTGTAATTACCTTAAAAGGAAGGAATCTCCAACAGAATATCTTGAGGGTAAATTCTAGATGAATGAGTCAAGCAATGAAACTCGTAATCACAGGCATGAGACAAAACACATGCATGGTCAAGATTTTGATAGATTTTCACATATTTAGTACAGTGCTAGTACCCTCACATGATGGGGCCCTTTCCCCATCATCAACCAACTCAAAAACAAAAATGACAGAAGAGAACAAAGACAATTGAAGCATGATCATTATTCAATGCGATTAGATGCCAGTACACAAATCTGGTCGGTATTAATGTTCTGTCTGGAACTGTGCTCAACCTTGACACAGCCAATCAGTTTCTCTGAGATACATATCGCAATTCCTTTGTGTAAAAATGGTGAAAAAATGTATCTCTAACTGAGCCAATTTTCAAAATAGCTTTCATAATATCATCTGATGATTTATCAAACAAACAACAAATAAAAAAACTTGATCAAAGGAGCATGGATTTAAGAAAATGTTGAGTTCAACGAATAAGCACATGATGCAATAACTGTACACTAGAAACATTTTCATGCTGTTTAGATAATATATTTTAAACATGAAACTACTTGATGGAAGCAGGGTCTATTACTGCTCACAATACAAGCTCACATGCCATCACTCAAACTGCCAAACTGTGTTCTGGGAAACACCAAAAGTCTATGCCAGAAAGCTCATGGTGGGGACACAATTATGCTATTTGCAGGCCTCTATCTGGTGGCACTGGGAGTAGGGGGTATAAAAGGTTCTCTTCCTCCTCATGGAGCTGAGCAATTTGATGAAACTACCCAAGAGGGTAGGAAGCAAAGGTCTTCATTTTTCAATTATTTCATCTTCAGCCTATCATGTGGAGCATTAATTGCAGTAACTTTTGTGGTATGGATTGAAGACAACAAGGGATGGCAGTGGGGTTTAGGAGTCTCAACTGCATCAATACTGCTCTCTATTCCAGTTTTTCTTCTTGGTTCACGCACATACAGGACCAAGGTTCCAGCAGGAAGCCCCATCACACCTATGTTAAAGGTATACTTAAAATAAGTAGCATCTACTCAAAGATATGGCGAGTTGACTAGTTGAAAAAAAAAAATGCTTAACAAGTTGCTTTGATTTGAATTTCCTGTGCTGACAGGTTTTGGTTGCAGCAATTAGCAACAACTGCAAAGCTGGGAATTCAAAAAATGCTATCATAAGCATGGCCACAAGTTCATCCTATAAAATTGAGAGGGAAAGTAACACTAGAAAAGAGGTGCTAGGCCAAAACCAAACTCTAACAGAAAGCCTTAAATTCCTTAACAAGGCAGTAATGGAACCAGTTCACCCAATGTTAGAATGTACAGTAAAGGAAGTAGAAGAGGTCAAGATTGTGTTAAGGATTCTTCCCATATTTATGTCCACCATAATGTTAAACTGTTGCCTAGCTCAGCTATCTACTTTCTCAGTCCAACAATCAGCCACTATGGACACCATGCTTGGTTCCTTCAAGGTCCCACCAGCTTCTCTACCAGTATTTCCTGTCCTCTTCATCATGATCCTTGCCCCAGTTTATAACCATATCATTGTTCCATTTGCTAGAAAAGTAACCAAAACTGAGATGGGTATTACACATTTACAAAGAATAGGGACAGGGCTATTTCTCTCCATTGTGGCAATGGCTGTGGCAGCTTTGGTAGAAACCAAGAGAAAGAAAACAGCTTCTAAGTTTGGTTTGTTGGACTCAGCCAAACCTCTTCCCATAACAATTCTTTGGGTGGCCCTACAATACGTATTCCTTGGTTCAGCTGATCTTTTCACTTTGGCTGGCATGATGGAGTTCTTCTTCACTGAGGCACCATGGAGCATGAGGTCTTTGGCCACAGCACTTTCATGGGCCTCACTTGCCATGGGATACTTCCTTAGCACAGTTCTTGTGTCCGTCATCAATAAGGTGACAGGAACTTTTGGACACACACCATGGCTCTTGGGTACCAACTTGAATCATTATCACCTTGAGAGGTTTTACTGGTTGATGTGTGTGCTTAGTGGACTCAACTTCATTCATTTTCTCTTCTGGGCCAGTTCCTACAAATATAGATGCTCAACAAGGATTGGATACTAGAACATACATATTTAAATATATATATATATATATATATATATATACTATTTCTTGTAACGAAATAATGAAGTAATGAGAGAGAGAGAGAGAGAGAGTGAATCCTACTCCATCCTCATTTACCTTTATCATGCAACTTGCATGGGCCAATGTTGATGCATGCATTTACCTTCCAGTTTCCACTCTATTTTTACATCACTTTTTATTAATTTAATCAGTGTACCGCATTTTAACGTTAGAGTTATCCATTTCCAATTATAAATATAATGAAAGTAGAGTGATTATATTCAGATATGTTTGGGGATGTAAAATGGAATGGAATTATCATTCTATTATATTTTTTATGATGGAATAAAGATGTAATTCAAAACAAAACTGTCCCATATCCTCAAATTAAAAGAGAAGAAAAAAGATATACTAATGCATTAGGTTATATTTCGTTTCATCTTGTTTTAAATAATATAAACAACACAAAATAATATCATTTCACTTTACTTAATTTATTTTCTCTCTTTTTATCAATCTAAATTTATAGTTAAATACTAATTTTCCATGCTTTTAATCAATTTTAATTTCTATGCATGATAAAATAACTAAATTAAGAAAAAAAAAATGTACAAACATTAATTTCAAATAGTTTTGAAAAAAATAAAGTAAAAATATGTATCATGCATAATTAAAATTTTAATTAATTTAAAAATATTTAAAACATACAAATATTCGTTAAAAAAATCATTAAAAAAAGATGATATAGAACAGGAAATGCGTGTATCGTTGATCACTTTCATACTCTTACTATGTACAATATCACTTTTCTATTTTCATAAAAATATTTTAGGTACATTTGGATAAATATTTTTTAAAATATTTATTTAATAAATTATTTTTTAAAATATGATTTGTGTCTTAAATTTAACATTGAAATTTTTAAATAAGTTAAAAATAATTTTTTAATAAATTTATTAAAATAAATTAAAAGTAACTTATAATAGTCATAAATTAATTTTCATCAATAATTTATAAGTCCTTTGAAATACAAATTTTATAATTTTCGTAAATTTTGAGTTGATAACTATTTCTTGAATGAGATATTCCAAACGAATGAGAATGATGCTCTAGGAAAGCCTCATAAGTAAACTTTAGAGAAATAATATTCTCAGAAAAGTTGTTTTATAACAACTTACGTAAAAATATAAAATGATAAAAAAAAAACTCGTAACTTTTAACATGTAATTTTTTAATTAATAAAATAAATAATGAAATAGTTTTATTTTATTTAATTTTTTATAATTTTATATAAATTGTTGTAATTTTATTTGGAAAAATATTGCACCTCTAAAGGTTCTGTAAGAAGCGCTGTAATGTGTTGACATTTACCTCTGTAAGTTTGCATTTGATCTTACGAGGTGCAATCGCCTAAGCTAAAATGTTACATTTATTTGTTTATATCATTTTTTCTTGGTAAGATTTATTTCATGTTTGTTCGTAATTCTGCTACTAGTTATATTTACTCTACACTTTTTTCCTACTAATTATATTTATTTTAGGCTTAATTATAAATTGCTTTTATATTTTTTATTTTTTTTAAAATTATTTATAAATTACTCTTGTGGTTTATGTTAAATTTAATCGATCGTTTTTCATTTTAATTCTTCTCTATAAAAATTCTTCATTTTAGTATCTACACATTATTTATTATTTTAATTCTTACAAGAATAAGTATATTAACATCATTCTAATTTTAATAAATAATAAATATTAATTTATAATTTTTTTATAAAATCTAAAAATAAAATATAGAATTTGGACGTTGCTTTCTTCCTTTGGGCTTGGGCCATTTTGTTCAAACAAAATAAAGTTTCGAATTAAACTGGTAGACCAAAAACGCAAACCAAAAAATATATATCATGTTAGACCAAAAACGTTGACTAAAGAACAAAAACCTTTATTTGATAATCTTTCTTTATTATGTGTAATTGTGCATTATCCCATTCATGTTACCCCTTTTCTAACGTTCTTCATAAACTGGTTTGTCTGAAGTCGTCTTTTGTTGACTTGCAGTTTGTGAATCCTTCATCTCAATATTCCAATCCTTGCGCTGTTTTGGAGAGCAATTGATTGATTAAGCAAAGCTAAAGAGTGGGTATGTAATTATTCGTAGTTCCCTTAACGCTCCAATTCAATTTCATAACGAGGGATTGTTTCACTCTGTAGTTTGTGTGCAGTGTAGAATGTAGATGCATGAATTTAGCACTTTACCTGAACCCATTTGGCTAATTATTTATATATTTTTATGGTTGAACATCGTGTTCCCTTGTCCCACAAATAAAGTATATATGCTTTTCTAGGTCTTATCAGCATGACAACTTTGATTACAATTCCTAAACGAGGTTGTGACGTACAATATATAATTATATATGTATATGCCACTGTAATATATACGATTAGAACAAATGGGTCATAGTTAATGTTGGTGATGAATATATCAAGAATAGCGCGTATTTAACTGCTCTCAGTGTTCGTGAGCTACTTAGATAGCAAGAGCTCGCCCAAGTCAGCTTTGCTTTTTGAAGCCTATCTTTGGTTTGAGGTGTTATTCTGATCTTTTTGAAATTTCGCTTGTAAGTTGAAATCTTTTTTGCCTCTAATTCTCTGTATTTGCTAGGGTGCATGTGTCGATTGGATGAAGATTGTGTTTCTAAATTATGTTATATCTTGGAGGTTTGGGGTGAATTCTTTTGTACAAACATGGCTGTGGTTATTTATTGTTAAATTTTGGAATTGTCATACCTTTGTTCTACAATTGCTCATACCATAGATATATATATGTTGATCAACGTAGTCTTACTAGTGAATTTGATTTAAGATAAAATGATTATATGATCTTACTACATGGTTTCATAACTGGTGATGCTGGTTTCCAGATAGCTCAGTAATCTTTTATTTATTTTGCAAGATTTTAACACTGCCTTTGATTTGCCCCTTTGTTTTCAACTTTTTTTTTGCTTCTTTCAAATGATTACTTGTCTAGCTCTTTCCCATTGACAATGATTTGGAGACAAATGTTGGTGACAGAATATGGTTGCTAAGTTTTACTGTCTAGTATTAGCGCATGCTTTACTTCAAATTCTCAAATTCTGTTGTAAAAAGTATCAAATTTGATCATCCTCTCTAATGGTTAGACATACTCTTCAACTCTATTCATTTTGCATACCCTTCATTGAATACCATGTAGTGATAACTCACTAAATGTCTCCTTGATAAAATACTTTAGTTACCGAAACTTTTTCACCCTCAATCTTAGTGCGTTTCACTTCTAGAGCATGATTATACTGGGTGAACAAGAAGAACTGTAGTAGAGGTTTGTTGGACTTGTGTATCAATATATTTTACTATTGGTTTTACCATTTGAGTGTGTTAAAATAATTGCAGTTAGCACTTACCAGGGTTCTACAGAGACTTGACCTTCGACTATATATAGCTTGTATACTTGTAGTTAGTGTTTGATCTAAATCCTACAAAGTTCTTGCATTCTGTTCATGTGTGCTATAATTCTCATCCTCAAACTTGTATCCTATATCTTGTTGAGTTAAAGATACGCTCGCTGATATATTTGAATATTGCAGTTAAAAGCAAATGGGGAATCTTTTGTGTTGCGTGCAAGTTGACCAATCTACAGTGGCTATAAAAGAAAGATTTGGACGATTTGAGGAGGTGCTTGAGCCAGGATGCCATTGTGTGCCCTGGTTCCTTGGAAATCAACTTGCTGGTCATCTCTCTCTTCGGCTGCAGCAATTGGATCTCCGATGTGAGACCAAGACAAAGGTTTGTTATTGCATTTCAATTATAACCTTTTATTTGAGTCATTTCATGCTTTTCAATCACCATGAGTATTTTCTTTTGGTGTGTAAATTTTTTAATTTTATTAAGTGTAAGATTATCATTCTTGTGTTTTGTTATTTTGAAACCTTTATTGTTAGATGGAGGGTATCTCTGTATACATAGTATACTATTAAAGCATTATGGCATCATTTGCTCTATGAAGTTGACTTCACCTAGTGAAAAAAGACTTGGCTGTTATTCTTATTGTTGTTGTATGTTCATTGTCACTTTCACTAGAATTGGCTGCTTTCAATCTATCTATTTATGTATACCATGTTACTCTGCAAATGTTTCTTATATTTCTCCAGTAAATTAAAGTTGACTAGTTTTAATGTTTATTTGCTTGTAGGATAATGTTTTTGTCAATGTTGTTGCATCTATTCAATACCGTGCCCTCGCAAACAAGGCCAGTGATGCTTTTTACAAACTTAGCAATACAAGGTCCCAAATTCAAGCCTATGTTTTTGACGGTATAAACCATAATACTGCTTAACAGTACAGAACATGCAATATGTGGTTTTTAGCATATTTTATTAACTAAGGTAAAATTTCTATTCTCAATGCAGTGATTAGGGCAAGTGTCCCAAAACTCAACCTGGATGATGCTTTTGAGCAGAAAAATGAAATTGCCAAGGCTGTGGAAGAAGAACTTGAGAAGGTTTTGTTTTGTTTTAAAAATAATATTATTTACTTATAATATGAACTATGAATTAATGTAAATTTGAATATGATACTTTATTGTCACAATAGGCCATGTCAGCTTATGGTTATGAAATTGTTCAAACACTGATTGTTGATATCGATCCAGATGAGCATGTGAAGCGAGCCATGAATGAAATTAATGCTGGTATGCTATATGAGTAGAACTTGTATGTTCAATTTCTGCCCATACTTTATTCATTCCCCTGAAGTGGTCAATAGTAATATGACTAATATCTTTCTTTCTCCTCATGGTACATGTTTTAAAAACTACTTGGGGCTACTTAGTTTGCAAGCTCTTATTCTTTAGTATTAGATCCTAAAATCTAATTTCGTTGCAGAAATTATTTAGGCATTACCTTTTGTTATTTTTACTATATAATAAGGATCAAGTTGTCTTTCATTTAGTCAACTCAGTCTTGTACGACTTGTTTATTAACTATATATTGTAGGCAGTGTAATTTTAGATTCAAATGATTATTTGTTTATGGTTTACCTAGTTCTCTGCTGATTGCTGTATGCCAACATTTGAGGAACCTCTCCTTTGATCATGAATTGACTTGTATTTTTTGCTGCTTTTTTTCCTTAATCAGCTGCAAGATTGAGGTTGGCAGCTAATGACAAGGCAGAGGCAGAGAAGATCTTGCAAATTAAGCGAGCTGAGGGTGAGGCTGAGTCTAAATATCTCTCTGGACTTGGTATTGCTCGCCAACGTCAAGCCATTGTGGATGGTTTGAGAGATAGTGTGCTTGGATTCTCAGTTAATGTACCAGGGACGACTGCAAAAGATGTCATGGACATGGTTCTTGTCACTCAGTATTTTGACACTATGAAAGAAATTGGCGCTTCATCCAAGTCTTCTGCTGTGTTTATTCCACATGGACCTGGTTCTGTTCGCGATGTAGCTAGCCAAATTCGTGATGGACTTCTTCAGGCTTCTCATCAGTAGCCTCGACTCCACCTAGATCTTCTATCTGGTTTGAATGGGAGTATGATGATAAGCCTGTGGTGTTCGGTATGTGCAGTGTGTTTTGTAATTTTGTTTGAGTAATTTTAATTTATACTTCCAATCTGTCAAGTATTACTGTAGATATGGGTTATCTACATTGTGAAAGATGCATGGCTAAAAATATCAACTATCCCTGTATATACAAGTTTTCTTGATTGTGCAAGTTGCGTATAAGAAATTTGTTTGTGTTTCATGGTAATTGTTAAGTGCTATGCTTTTTTTAAAATTTTCTGGGATTTTTAACCTTACTTTTTTAGCAAAAATTAAAATTGTTTCCAGTCATCACTGTCTCCATTAAATTAAAAAATTATTGAGGAAGTTATGTTACAATATATTCCCGCAGAATCTGAAGGTTTGTCTGCATTTTGAATGTCCATTTTTACTAAAATTGTAAATCTGCTTCCCTCTTTAAGAATAATAAAGTCATCAAAACTAAATAAAGAGCAGAAGTAACACGGCAGCTATCCACTTCATTCAAGAAAAAAAAAAAGGGTAATTCTGGAGCTATTTGTTTCAGAGACTCGACTTCTATATGAATAAGCAGGAGTTAATTTAAGCTTAAACAGGTAAAAATGATAAATAGAAATCTGTCACTAGTACTATAATAATCTTATTCATAAAAATTGTGTATGGGTAGAACTAGACGTGGTAGTCATGCTGTTGTTGAATAATGAAGAAAATGGATGGCAAATATTGAGAAGTTTCATCCAGTTTGAGCCATCTTTCGAAAGTCTCCTTACATCCAACAACCTCTTAATTGGAGACAAAAGCTTAACTCGTTGGCATTGACTAAGGTTTTAAGGCTACAGAGACTCCAAACTTGGGAATCAGCTTATTATCAGTGGTCCCAAATTTCACTTCTCCAGCCATAGTTATAAAGCATCTCTCCCAGAGCCCTTGTTGAATAAGAGCACCTGCCGTGCCATATGTGTCAAGTCGAGCTTTTACCAACGTTTGGGGGAAGAATGCATGCTGAGCCCCAATGGTGAGACCAGTCTCCCCCAATGACAAGGTATGCTTCAGCTCTGCCGCAATGGCACTCTTGGTTAGGGGGTTCACTTCATGATAACAGGAGGCTTTCAGAGTGTCAAACCTGTCATGCCTGCATAACACCAAACTTCAGCGTGACACAATCATTTCTGGCTTGAAGAAAGAAACAAGAGGAGAACACTAAGCAGTAATGATTAAACTGATGTCACAAATTGATGTGTCTATGCATTTTTGATAAATTTAGTTTCGACTTTTTGTTGGTATATCTCACAAGGTCAAGGAAGCAACAAGGAAGGGAGTGTTGAGGCTTAAGCCAGCATTCAGCTTGTTGATTGTTCTTGTAGGTAAGTCAAAAGCAACATTGCCTCCAAGGGACAGAATGTTTGTTCCTACAAGGCCCGAGAACTTCACAATAGGATCATATCCTCTTTCTAGGTTTCCTATTAATCCAATGCATCCAGTAATCCCTGTGTAGTTAGTCAAGTGTTGCAGTTCCACCTATGAAATCACCGTGATTCCGGTAAATAGTCAGATGCAATGAAAAAAATAGAAAAAATTAAAATGATTAAAGATGATCTTAGCAGTATATAGGCAAATAAAAAGTAGTTTTACCTTCCCGGAATCAGGTATGGAACATTTGAAAAGGCTCCTAAATCCAGGTACAATTTCTTCTACTGCAATGGATACCGCAGCAAAAGCACTAAAGTCAGACATGCTGCATTCAATTCCATTGCTTTTTCAGGATATTAAGAAATTTACATTGCTCTCTATATTGTGGACATCTTTGAGGACTAATTGGTGCCTTACATATCTATGTCAAGATGGCATGATATTCACGTTACCTTGACAAGAGAGGTCCACATTCCAGTCCATGATTTGGTAGTGAAAGTGAATTGGTGTTGGATGAACATAGTCGTTGTTAAGAACATCTAATACAAAAGTAAACAAATTTGTGTTACAACATTGCTGGGAAGACATCTTTAAGATCCCAATGTCATAATTCATTCTAGCGAAAGATTAAAAAGCAATGAAAACAAAATGAAATATATCAATAACGAGTTGATGAAACCTCTAGCCTTCTTGCCAATATCAAAATAAAACCCAGGACAAGTGCTCATTTTGCTAAAATGAACGATTAGAAATCAAAATTTTTGTGGGTTTCACCTTTTCATGATTTGTTGGCATGAGAATTTATTGGGAGGGAAAGAAAGGCAAAGGAAGTTTCCTTTTGTACAAAAAGGCTCACTTTTTTGGTACAAATATAAAACGACTCAATAGAAACCTGCATAAAACGAAATTTCCATAAACCAACTGGACCTATCATTTCATAACCCAAATATGGTGACAAATAGACAAGGAGTAAAACTTAAGTTACCACAGACAAACACTGTTACTGCTGCTAGACAACCCTGTAAGTTCCCACATGTAAATTTAATAATTAAGGTGTTATATGTTTCATTTGAAAGGCAACCGTTACCATTTTGCATTAAAATCATTGTTGCTTTATGCTTAAGCTGACTACAATTATTAGAGATTTGTCACATCTTTGGAGGCATTTAATTCCGTTTATCTTGTCATTGTTCAACGACTGTATTAAAGTCTAACTCAGATACTATCATTTTAAGCTCCACGATATTCTTATGAATGGACAAAATTCTCAGGCATTAATATTCATTTTCTCTAATATTTCTCTTGTTAACCACGGGGTGCCTTCTCTGATGTTCATTTACTACTCTTTACAGTCTTCTATAAAATTATTTTAATTAAATCTCGCAGATTCAAAAAAGTTATTGAAAATAATTGATCTATTATTTTTTTTAAAAATATTTCTAACATTTCAAGTTTACTGTAATTAAAGTCAAAATCTATTATTATAATATTAATTGTCAAGAAGTTAGAATAATAAATGCTCCTAATTTTTTAAAAGAGTCTCATGTTAAGGATCGACAAAAATCTTTAAATGGTTCTTGTTAAAAAGACTAAAGGAAATAGTTGGTTATCCTCGTAACTTGATCGTTATTTTAGAGAGCAAAGTCTCCACCTTTTCAACCATATCATTAATTAATCAAATCTTTTAATATATACTTAATGACATACAATAAAAAATCAATAAATGGTCTATGGGGGGGGGGGGTCTAGGGTATGTTTTTATTATATATAATGATACATAATCAAAAAAATAGTTAACTAATTTTATTTTAATCCCCGACCAATTGCGTTGAGCACTTCACTACAATTGAGACAATTTTCTATATGCAATGAGATCTGAGAATTGGAACATCCTTAAACACAATATACTAAAATAAAATTGGTACAAATCGTGCATGTAAGGAAGTGTCTACTGCCTAATTTTCTTTTTTCAATACACTGAGGAAATTAGCTTCCTTGGGTTTATTTCTTTTTTTGTTTTTGTTTTGTCTTTTTCCGGTTTATTTCATTACAGTCAGATTAAGCAGCTTGCACGCCCTTAATCTGTAGATAAGCGGGGCTTTCTAATTTAATCTTTTCAATAACCATTTACCTAACATTAAAATTACCCTTTTCCCCCCCTTAAACTTATTTTACGTTCGGTGTAAATAAAGAAAGAAAATAAATGGTAAAACTCAAATGAATGGGGAGAGATGGTATATAAAGCCCTTATGATCTTGTTTGATTATTGTAACCCATCTCATTCAATTAAAAAGTGTTTGGTTTTTGTTTATAGATGATTGAAGGAGAGGATGTTTAAAAAATGGTAATTGGTGACAAAACACGGAGAGTTTCAGATAATTATAACTAAACATGTATCATTAAAATAAATAAATTTTAAGAGAATATGTAGCGGAATTAATATATAGATAAAGAGATCCAACTAAACTTAAATGGAGGTTATAACACTTAAAAGCGTGTGTTTAGATAGGAGTTTAATCAAGTGTTTATTTAATAAATTTGTTTATATGAAAACTTATGATATAAATTTTATCATTAAATTTATAAGAATAAGTAAAAAAATAATAATAAGTTTTCAGATTTTTATCGGCATAGGTTATCCTTTTATAGTTAAAATTAACCACAAGCATGAACCTAACACTAGCAAGATTACAATACAAAGCCGTATACACCCAAGCTTGTAAATGCATACATAGTAAATGCACAGTTATACACCCAAGCTTGTAATCAACTTATTTAAATTTATACCCTTATGTTATTCTCCTAGATTTTTCTACTTTTCCATAAGCGTCATAATGTTTTTCTTTCTTGTCCTTTTTATACTCCTCCTCAACTTTACCTTCATGCTTATCTTCTTATCCTCACATATTGAAACCGAGAATTGCAATAAATTGAGTGATTATTGAGCAGGTACTATAACTCAATTCAATATAAAAATGTACAAGGTTGGACAATTCATGTTAAGAATGCCCCAATTTCTAAAGAATGTCTTTATGCATATCAGCAGCTGAGTGAAGTATGCTTAAGATATGATCTTGAAAGTAATACATATTTGAGTTTCGTTTAAGACACTTCTTACTAAGAAATTAGAAGTAATTTAAAAAATATATATACATCTGACTGCATTAGAAATTATCAAAAAAATGTTTATTGATTGTATATTAGAAAAACTATTTTTTTATTTTTTAACCAATACAATAAGAATGCACAACTGCACCAAGACAGTGTTAGTTGGTCTTCGTTGAAATTTGTGGCACCCAAATTAATTAGTCACACTCCATGCGATGGCTCCACGAAGTCAATATTTTCTGAAGAACTTCATGCCTCAAAAATTGTCCCAAACCAAAAAAAAAATTTGGTTTAAGATATCTTCTTCCATGTCAATATTTTCCACCCTTTTCAAATGCGCTCAAGACAAGATATCTTCCAATTTTTGCGATGGTCCCAAGAGATAAATAAGGGTTTGATAATCGATGTAATTCTTTCAGAAAGTGCATCTTTTAAACGAACGTTGTTCATTAGAAAGCCTTTTTCTATTGACTCAATGAAAGATCATTTTAAAGTGCCACTCGTGACTTGGGTGTCACAGTTTAGATGATTAAATCTCCGCTTCAGAGAGATTGCATGCCCATCCTCCTATAAACCATATTATTTACTGATTATCCAAAGAATAGGTAGAGTTAACCAAATTTTAAAGGAGAAAAAAAATAGAGGAAAAGATAAATTAACAAAAGATTATATTAATTTATAATATTACACAATCCCAAAAAAAACAAAAATACCCATTATAAGTTGAGAAAAAAATATGGGCCTTCCATTTTCTTACGCGTGTCAGTGTACTTCCATTTATGGCATGTGTGTGAAAAAAGTGCTTGTGACATCTCTGTAGGTTTGCTCTATCTAATAACATACTGAGATTGTGATAATCAGTGGCACCCATATTTGGTCAGTCACTCCATGCACTGGCTCCATGAAGTCAACATTTTCTGAAGTTTCTGCCTCAAAAACTGCAGCTGTCATGTGGCTACTTTTTTTGGCCCCATACATATGTTCCCATTACAGTACTCTTCATTCAGTTCTTGCTACCGTCCTTCCTCAATTTGCAGAGGAATTTTTTGACTTAGTATAACCAACCACTCGTATATCTTATCTATTATCCTTAACAATTAAAATAAGCATTAAAAGGTGACACTACAAAGTAGTAAGCTGTACGAATTATAATAAATAGAGGTAAGAGCCGGTAATAAAATAACGATGAAGTCGTGTGATTCCAAAATCAGTAAAAGTGCTAATTGAAATTGAAAATAGACAACATGGAGAAACAAACAGTAAAGGAGCTGTTTTTGCAATGGTCTTTTTGTTTTTTTGGATGTGAAGAAGATACGAGAGGCACTATTATTATTATATGCCTTCCCAAACATGTTGATAGAAAGAGGCGGTACCCAAAATTTCTCCCACAATGTTTGTCTCGTCCCCAACCTTACACCTTTCTCTTATTTCGAGTTTTGAACAGTAGCACAGTCAATCCATTTGATTGCAACAAAAAGAAATGATGACAACCAGCCACTTTCCACCCCTTTTTCACTCCTTACAATGTTATTGAGGACACCTTTTTCAAACACCATTCCAACAAAACAGCTGCTTGTTCCTTTCCTCTCCCTCGCCACCCAAGCCCAATGGAGTAAAATAATTTTTTATCTCTAAAAAAATTGTCACCTTAAAAGAAAACAAAAAATAAATAAAAAAAAGTGGAAAAAGTAGAGATTGAATTGGAATAATCTACATCAACCGATCAGACAAGCTGGGAAGTCGCCGGAAAAAGTTCAAGCTGGCGGAGGGCATAGGGTTGCGGAACATAGGGTGGCGGAGGTAGTAGAATCCTAAGGCAACGGCAACCATTTTGGGGGGCACAGCATAGAGTGTAATGGTTATAGCAAGGCAGACTCCAATGAACAACTTGGTGGCCCTGGGGTCCCTCCAACTGACCAGGGCCTGAACCCTCTCTCCCTGGGTTGCAAAATCACCCAACACCGTTTGAACCCGCGCAGCCAGCATCCTTAGCCTGTCATAACGAAGGCGAATAATATCGGGTGGTTTGGAACTGGGCATGGTGTCAAATTCCTCATCCAACTCATCCGGGTCAACCGCTTCGGCCTGTGACAAGCGGGTATCCATTCCAGCGGGTATCTTGGGTCTGAAGCGGTAATACCATATCCCAATAAGAACAACGTATAAGAAGCCAGTGGGAACAATTAAATCTGGGTACCAAACAAGCACCAAATAAAGAATATGGAGAAGCACTGTGGTCACCGGGTTTTTCCATCTTCTGATGTCATCTAACCACTTAGCCAACCCAATGGCCCAAGCCAAAACCGCCACAATTCTGAACCAATTCGCCTTGCTCTTCCGCATGCTCCAAGCGTGCGAGTCGGCGTCCAACATGTACCGAACCACCTCGTAACCCAGAGGCGGCTCCGAGCGCGCAAGCCACTGCGCCACCATCTTAGTGGCTGCCCCGCGTAGAGCCTCCTGCTGGGCCACACCGAGGGGGCGGAGATAGTGCATTCTGGGAAGCAGGGGCTGGCCGTAAACGGCGCACGTGTCGGGCAGCAAGGAGGGGCAGGCGAAGCGAACCGCCAACTCGATTTCGCCCATTTTTTTCAACCCGGTTCGGGTGAGGACAAGGAGGGGGTAGGAATTGGTGTAGACTCTGTTGCTCTCCAGCGTGGAGACACGTATGCGTACCTTGCCGATGCGGCAATCGGGTCTGTCCTTTGACACGTCAGCGAACATGCGCCAGTTGTCGAAGACGCCGAGGGTCAAGACCGTGCAAGGGTCGTACACCTGCCACGTGTACTGCTCGTTCCACCGTGGATCGAAACTGTCCGTTACGGTGCGGGTTCGGACCCACTTTTTCCCATACTTTGCCACACAGTATGCATCGGTGGACCCCTTTCCAGTGCCTTTGGATTTCATTGGGAGTAGCCCGCGAGCGCCCAGAATCCCCAGCTCTAGAATTCCGACCGCCGGTTTCCACAGCTGTTTCGCGGTGGGCCGGAAGTCGCTGCACACGTGCGCCGCCTCGTCCAGCACGTGATACCCGCCCTCCAGGCAGAGGCGCAAGTGCAACCGCCCGCAGTAGGACCCGCCCTCCAGGGTGAACCATTTCGCTGCCACGTGACGCTCGTCGATTCGTTGCTCCACGGAGTTGAGCGGAATTACGATGTGCCCTAGCAGCGCCGCTTCCTTGGTTGTGCGATCTTCGACGAAAAGGATCACGGAATCCTCCAGAGGGTCCCCGGCCACGAAGAGAAGGTCCTCGTTCCAGTGGAACGATAAGCTGCGGTGGTTCATTGATCCTCGCCTTGTTCGCTGCGATTGGAACCCTAGCTGCACTTTCACTCTAACTTCCGGCGCCGTCAACGGAGGCAGATTCGGAGCGATGTTTAGGTCTTGGGCTTCGATCACTGTCACGCGAAGGTACCAGAGCTTCGGGGACTGGTAAACCTTCGACCGAGTGTGCGCCACGTACGGTGCGTCTGAGATCCACGCTTCCGGGAATGCCTCGTCGGATTGCGTGCCGATCCACACGGCGACCTGAATGTCGCCGGAAACTCTGCCGGGATTTTGATCGGCGGTGCCTCCTTCGAGGCGGTACCATTGCGGCGCCAAGGGGCTGTCGGGAGGGTCTCGCACGGGGACGTCAGAGAGATCGAAGCAAACGCCGCCGAGGAAATACTCCGTCGGGGAATCCCAAACCGAAATCTCTAGCGTGGCGCTGTTTGCTTCTGTCTTGTTGTATCCCAGTGCGAACACCTCGTTCCACTCCGGCGAGTCTGGGTGCTCGTTGGGCCGGTAGGTCGCGGGCTTAGATCTCCTGTAGTCGCTCGACGTTCGAACCTTAACGAATGGGCTTTCGCTTGGAGGAGCGAGCCCGCGAGCTTTCACGATTTTCACGAACAGATACTGCATTGGCTCCACCAGATCGAAAGGATGAACCCTCTCGGACTCAACGCCGGCGTTCTTCAGGGAGATATCCTTCGGCGAGTAATCGCCGTTCGGCCTCTTCAAAATCTTCACCCTCTCCCCTCTATTGGCCTGCATTTTCCTCATCTCAGGATGAAACTGCATTTCCGAAACCGGAGGTTCACACATTTCCGGCAACGGCGGATCCTGCGGAACATGAACCACCGGCGGCGGCGATTCTTCAACAACCACGACACGCGGCGAATGAGGAAGAGGCACGCATTGCTCCATGGGTCCAGGAGCCTCGAAAATCCTTCCTTCCTCGACAACAACCATCCCCGGTGGCTTGTTCTTCTCCGGCTCTGCTCCGGCAACTGGCTCCTCCGGTGGCGGTGGTTTCTCTTCTTCAACAAGCATCTCGTCGTGGTAATAAATCTTGAGGCCAATTTCGCCCCTTATCCAACTGAAAACGCTCCTCTTCTCGAGCGTGTAGTAGACGAGAGCTTCTTCTCCTTTCCTTGAGAACTGCGTTCCGTATAGCTTGACCCTGCCGAGGAAGTGATTCTTGCGGCCACTACCGTTACCGAACTTCTTATCGTTGTAGACCTCTACCTCCAGCTCTTCGTACTCCATGTTTTCGGGGTCAGAGACGATGAACTCGAGCTGTTCATTCCAGACGGGGTTCAGCTCCTTGAATCGGGTGATGGTTCGCTTCCTCTGCCCGTCGAAGTCGGCCACCACGTAAGGGCTAGAACTTCCTTGCCCATCCTTTGGAAGGAGGTTCCGCGCGTCCACCACTTCCACGACCAGTCTCCTAACGGTTTGGGGTGGCTGCTGAAACGGCGTCGTCATCATCTTCTCATCTCGGTCTTGGCTTGATGAGTGTGGACAAACGCACACACACACACACTTTCCCCGTTGATAGCGGTGACTGACTGGGATCAGCGTCTACCAGAGAAACAAAGGTTCGTTTTTTGTTGTGCCTTGTTTGTGGGGTGCTTTTTGTTTTTAAATAATTATATATTTTTTGGATAGTTTTGAATTTTGTTGTGATGACAGAACAGTGGGCAGATTAGATTCCATGCTCTCTCGCGAAGGATTTCTTTCCAACTTTTCCAATTCCCTCCACTACGGGTTCGTTATCCACCTCAACCCTTTTTCTTATTTTTTTAATATTTTATTTATTTCAATGGCTTGCTACAATGACACAAGCACCTGTTCCTTTTCTATTTCTAACTCTCTCTCTCTCTCTCTCTCTCTCAACACGGACAAAAAGTCCCCATTCTAAATTCTACATGTAGGTTTAGGACATAAATTGCTAATGCACATGTGCGCCTGCTCATCATTATATTATATTTGAGTTTAGAAGAGTTTAATTTATGCTTTTCTACAATGATATTTACTAATATCTTCTCTATATCTTAATATCATTTTCACACTCAACTCTTTTTTGTCTTCCCCTTCTTCTCCTTCGTCGACAAGTTGAGAGATTGCCAGAGAAACTTTACTTTTGTACACTGTTTCCCCCACTTTAGTTCTCTTGTTTTCGCCTTCCATTCAATAAAATAATTAGTTTATACCTAATATTTATTGAACTGTAAAATAGTACACTTACATTTGAGAGGAATTAGACGCATAAAGAGATGAGACTGAGAATTAAAAGATACAACTAGCCATATCTAGGACCTGTACTTATGTCCATGTACATCACTCTTCATAACAATGTTTGAACATAGGCATGTAATTTATCAATTAACCCTCCTTAACTATAGGCTATATAGCCAATAACCATATCAAATTGTCAAAGGAAGGTTAAAAGCCTTGGCAGGAAGCACATGATACCGCGTCCCAACGATGGGCCCTTCCTTTTTGTCAAAAAGCACCTACGTTTTGAATAAAGAGCGACGACAAAGCATCACCTTTATACCCCCCGCCCCCCCTCCTTTGGTTCCTTATTCTTTCCCATGCATCGCTTGTCAACATCTATTCCTCAAACTTCAAGCACCTTTCCTTTTCTAATTCGAGGAACTATTGTCTATTAGTTATACTAGTGTTGTGGAAGCTCCCAGAGGTACAATTCCATTATATCCCGACTGTGTTCAACAAGCTCGTTCTTTTCAGCATCTCGGGATTGGCTCGTTAGTTATTTTTTGTATAATTTTATCCATCATTTCCCATTGAATAAAAAATTTGAAAACAAAAAAAAAAGTTTGGAATACATTGATACATATTTAAAAGAAAAGTGGGAATAGGAAGGAAAATAGATTATGTGCCAGACAATTTAAGTTCTGCAAGCTAAGTGCCTCTCTGATAAGCTCAGGAAGGGGAAACTTTATTTCATTATGTTATATATACAAAAAACATACATAAGTTAGAAGTTAGGAACATTAGGTCACAACTTCCAACTTTATGGCACAGATGCCAAAGAAGCTTCTCTTTCCAGCATCAACATTCTATGCGGTCTTTTGCTCCTTTAAAATTGGTGCTTGTGGAATCTGATCCTGTGGGATAAAAGTAAATTTTGATGATATGATGCTTTCCGATTCAGCATAATTTGGATCAAGGAACAGGATGAGGTCAGTGAAATAACACTAGTTTAAAAAATCGTATGAAAAGGCGGTGTTGAAAAAAGAAGAGGTGATGTCATCTGGTTTATTATAAGTTTATTTTTTCAGTTTTCATCAAAGGATAGAAGCCCGTATAAGATTATTGAATAGTAGCACGAGAGAAAAAACTGAGCATTTGAGAATGAAGGAATTTGGAAGGTTTATTTAGGAGGCTAATCTTATTATGATTGTACTTCTTTAAATGAGTGTATCTTCTTAAACTGCTTCTTTCTTTGATTCTCCCTTTTCACTTAGTTGGGGGCCGAGCATTCAGTGATAGAGAAATTTTAATTTGGTTTTATATACTTTTTTTAGATTAGCATTGAAAAGGTAAGTGTACCTGATTAATTTTAATCAGATTGGAAGAAACTGATGATGAAATTATAAATGCTCTTTGACGAGACAATTAAAGCAATTACGTCCATTATTCTATGTGAATTAATTGCGAGGGGAGACTTTTCTTTCATATGGTATCCATTTGATATTAAAAAACGGAGATCGAGTATATTAAGGTACAGACCCGAACCTATCCCAATTAGCCCCCGTAAAGTTCCCTTCAATCACTCGATTGTTCTAATGTGATGACGAATTTATGACATGCTAACTCAAATCATATTATTATGGATGAAGATATTAAGATTGGAAAGAGAGAAGGATAAAGCAGAGATGTTATTATTTATGTTTGAATATCTGCATGACACTATATTCTGTATACATACATTTAAAAGGCACGTGAGCTGAAGTCTTATATACATTCATGGATTCAGGTCAAAGGCCTTAATTTATGGTGTTGTTGGGAATTCAAATTTTACGAGATATGAACACCCCCAACGAAAAGGCTATAACAGCTGTTATTACAATTCCTTTGTTCTTCATCAAAACCTCCACTGCACTTCTGAACATGGAATCTTGCTCCCACATCCTTATTACTTGCTCAGGAAAATTTCCAATGACCTGATTTTCATTTCTTTTTACTTCTTGCTCTGTATGGTTGCCATGTTGACTGGGATCTCTCCTCCCCTCATCAGCATTGGGTGCAGGGCTGTCATCTTCTTTTGCTCCTTCAACTGCACCATGTTCAGCATTCTCAGTTTCATTTCCTTTCTGCTGCTGTACTATTCCCTTGGGGACAGTTACGTAAAGGATTCCACCATCAAACCTTCCTGCTATCTTATCCACATCAGAATCCACTGGTACCGGAAAAGTCAGCCGAAAATGAACACGTTTCCTCTCATTTTCTTGCCTTTCTCCCCTTACAAGAATACGTCCATAGCTATCAACCTGAAGCTTCACCTCTTCCTTCCTGAAATCTAAAGAAGCAAAGTGAAAAGTTTCATGAGTTATTGTTGTTTTCACGGCATCAATCCTTGCTGATAACAAGGAGTCCCTGTAAATGTAATTACAAACGAAATAATTCCCGCTTAAAAAATAATTAACCTTAAATCCGAATTTAAACATCTAAAAGTAATAAATTTTTATTGGAAATAAAAGTATTCATTGCATTTTTATATCTTCAAAGTAATAAATATATATATTTTTAATTAAAGTTTACTGCTTTTGGATGCTTAAGAAATTTTAAAAAGTGGCACACATACAAAACACGAACAGGTTTTCATCAGCTGGATGATTATCAAAGGAAACACAGAAGCAAGCCAAAAAGTAGAACAAAATTAACATTTTGGTCTCTGTATGGGGTTTATTTAATTCCTTCAAAATTCATTAGCATATTATAATTTTTTCCGTTAAGAAGTTAATTAGGCGTTGATGCAATACCGGGAAGATCCACTAGAAGATAATGGCCTGCGGAGTCCTCTGTCCATCCAGAATTTGGTACTATCTCTTCAACAACTGGAGTTTGTACGCTTCCAACCCTTGTATTATCTCTTGCGCTGGCCATTGAGGGCGAACTAACAACTAATATGAACCTCAAGATTGCAAGAGATTGATACTGAAGAAACGTGTGTTATAATTTGCATGCAACCTGCGGAAGCTATATATATGCTCGTATGGGACAACGTTATAATTGCGTGCTTTGATTTCCATGTTTCCCTGATGATCAAGTCGATGGTTGGCTTGCTTTACTTGCTTGAACATTGTTATTCCAAACTTGAGCTGCTGGATCGTGAAAGTTTGGGTGATGATGACCTATGTAGCCTTGTAAGATGTGCAAAAGTAGACTCTTCTTTTTGGATTATTCTTAGTCTTGCGGTGATCCCGCAAAGTAATTTTCTATTTATGTTTAGGTTTTGTTAGATTGATGTTAAGAAAAAAAAAAACTGTAAATGTTGCTTATTGAAAAAATTTGTAAATACAAAAATCATTTATTAACAAAAATATTTAGATTTTATACCTTGATTGTTCCTCCATTACTGTCATTGCTTGATTAATACCTAAATTAACTTTTTAAACCAAAAAGATACAAATCGTTATTGGAGGGTCAATCTAATATGCTCTACCTAGGGCACTATGAATGAATTGTTAGCTGTAAAATTGATGATGAGGAGTGACTCTTATGTGATTTATGGCAGCAAGCCAAGCTTGTGGCGTTATTACACGTGACTTCGAACCAATGTCAAGAAATAAGGGATTACTTTTTTCATAAGCAATTTTTTATTCTAATCATGAATTTGGAATGTAGTAATAATAGCCAGTTAAATTATGGTGCAAAAATTATTTAAATTCTCCCCCCCCCCCCCCCTCTTATGTTCAATTCGTACAATTGCTTTTCATGATGTTCGCAATTTTTCAATATGTTTCTACCATGGTTTTCCTTTACCTCTCCGGAAACCTCCATTGTTTTGTTGATATTTTTATGGAAAGACCTGAATCACCTTACTATATAGAGTGAATATGTAAGACCAATTATTAGCGCCCAAACTCATAAGCAACGAAACTTCTTCGCTACTTCGCAAGGGGAGTTCCTCCCCGAATATCAAGAGATTTGTCACCAATTTGGCGCCATACAATTGATCATTTAAATAACGAATTTATTAATAATGAGCAAATCGAGTAAGAGGGCAACATATTTCTGTATGAACGTCGCTTATAAATAGTGAATTGTTACCGTTTACTATTTTCAAAATTTCTTCTCTTTAATTGTGTTTGCTCTTCTATTCTAATTCACTGTCTACCTTCTGCTACACCGTTCAGCCTTGAGGATACTCAAGCAAATCTAGCCCTAGTTGGAGCATACTATGTGCGCCTAATGCTAGTTGCAAATACTTATATCTGAATTGTAGACTTCTACCTTGTATTACATGCATGAATACCCAAAATCGCACCGTGCTTTTCAACGTTCATCTACCTTGTATAACATGCCCAAAATCACAGTGCAAACTTTTCGTTATGGTGCATAACATGTTTAATTGAATTTCGTAGATACAAATAATTGGCTGCGCCCAGCAGTTACAGAAAAAATCCAAGTTAGACAAACAGCAAATAATGAGCCCTTCAAAAAAAAGGCCCTTAACTCTTTCCTCACTTAGGGAAGTGCATAATCTACCCAGTTTAAAGGGTTTGTATATATATAATATCACTTAATAACATAACTTATCGACATACATACACAGATATAACTCTTAGGAGGATATAATTAATTTCACAGGTAAGACCTAGCACAAATTAGCTCGTAGAACGTTAAATATAAAAATCGAACGAAAGCAAGTCACAAAGGACTTCAAGAGAATTATAGATGCGCCTGAGTGTGTAGAGGACATGAAATTGGAGATAAGAGGGTGACTTAAATAGACCAAATTTACCAAGTCTGAAAAAGATGTCATGAATTTTTCCAAGAACTACACCACTGCAAATCTTGGAACATTTGCGTCCAAGCCTCACACGCTTTGCATGATGCACTAAACAAGCCGTGCTAACACTCAAACTACTCAGCAGATACCGAAAGACAGATCCAGGTTGTAACGGCGGAAAGCATAGTAGCAGACCTCTTAGCTCTCGCACTTCTGTGCTGCTCTTTTTTAACTTCTTTTCCCTTTGATCATAAGTTAGATGATCAGGGATGAAATGAATAGAGGATATGAAATGAAAAAATAAAGCATGAGAGCAAGCAAATTCTCTCAAGACAGTTATTTTAATCACATCGTTGTTCGTATCTATAGACTATGAAATCAACATCACGCATGAGCGTGTTCATCCGAAAAATACTACGATTTGTGTTGGTAATTTCTATATCTGCCAAAAAAAGGTGCTGATGTGAAAAAATAAAAGAAAAACTTACCCTCGACTTGACCTAATGTCAGATATTTATATTTCATACCTCAATCTTATTGATAAAATTTTACATCATTTCACAAAAGCTGAGGCTGATGACATCGTATTCTTTTTCCAGCCAACCAAACAAATCAACTAACTTTAACTAGAACCACTCCAATACATGAAGGTATGAGTTCAACCCGTCTTTGTAACTGACATCAAGTAAACCAAAATTCTGAATCAGTCTTCCACATCGGTCTGGTGACAGGTTTTAAGTCCTAAAAATAACTTCTTTGCTTAGGAGGCAAGGCTGCGTGTGTACAGCTACCCTCCCCATACCCTACTTTGGGAGCATCTTCTGCACTAGATCACCTTTTTTAGTCATCTTCCACGTCAAGTCCACCAATCCGTTGTCGTCTCCTGTCAAACACAGCTTTGAAAGATTCACGTTCAGCCCGGATTCGTTCTTGAAATATGCTATGCTTCTTTGGCTCAACACTATTTCGGGTTGGACTATCCTCTTCGGGTAATGGATTTGATTTCTGTACATAAATATAAATACAATGGTTTTATATAGGTATCTTCCCCATGAAAAAGTAAACTAAAATGTTCATCCTTGGTTAAAAAAAGGAAACTTCAACTTGGTCAAATCAGCAAATAGAATGATTAAACATACGACAGATTAACTTCAGGAAAAAGATGGAGAACAGAATAAGTACAAAATTTTGAAACCAAATAACTCGCTCATATATATTATTATCAGAAATAAGACCAAAAAGAGAAAAGGACAATTAAATAATAGTAAACGTTCTTCCTGAAATACAACATGAAGTAAAAGACTAACCAGGTTGTATCCGGCACCAGGTCCAATCACTAGAGACAAAGCATTTACCTTCCTTGCAGCGCCTATTGAAAACCCTGTGTTGCCAACCTGAAAGGATAATTGCAAAGAAAAGGGGACCGGGGTGCAGAGATTAAGGAAATGCCTATATAATGAAAGCCATTGTTGTAGCCGAGTTTCAACACACACCAAACCTAATAATTGAATTCCGCTCTTAAATATAATAACTCATTTCCATTTTTCTATATTTCAGTTCGCTCAACGTCTCAGGCAAGCAAGAGGAGTGAAAAATAGAGAAAGGATGAAAAAATGCTCATGGAACACACACAAACAAGAATTCAAAAAAGAGACCAACGAACTGAAAAGCTCACACCACCATGTTTAGCATAGCGTACATCATACGCTTTTCCAAGACCTCCTATGTAACCCAAAAAGGTTTAAACAAGAATGCAATTTTGCTATCAAAATATAAGATTGAAACAGACTTCAAATAGTACTTTCTAAGTTTTCAGATAATGACATCAAACGTTCATCGTACCTGATCACCCCAATGTACAGATTTTCGTTCCTTGCCATATTGATGAATTAACCCAGACAGAGCATTAATATTGCCCTTCATACCTTCAGTTTGATCAATGTCTTCTTCACCGAAATCCTCTGACCATTTGCTTTTACCCAATTCCCTGACTTCTGTTGGATGTTCCCCTTCAGCATCCCAACTCTTCCCATCCTTTAGGAAATCTAAATTTCAAGGGGTTAATCCAGATGAAGAAACATGATACAAATGGAAGTTAAAGGTTCAATAGCATTCAAGGGAGGGAAGGGTTGATACTAACAACATAATTTTACACATTACCAAGGGCATGACCTGAAACTAAGCTAACCCAAAACAAAAAGTTTATGTTTAAAATATGAAATTGAAAAGAACATGCAATGCAAGTAGGCAATAGGCATATGGTTAGTTTATGTTTAAAATATGAAATTGAAAAGAACATGCAATCCATTGTACAGAGGTTAGTTTTCTCTCACCTTAACCAAATCAAAGGACAAGTGAAAGTAACAAGTATTAAGCCCTTTTTGGGTAAACTTTTCAACAAGTTCTTGTAAGAGAAAAAATCAATATAAAAAATGAATAAAACTTCTCTCATAAGTTAGAAATAACTTGTACTTCTCTACTTTTTAAAAGTCTTGAGAAACTCTCTTATTTAACTTCTTTAAGTTTTGAAAAAATAAATTATTTTTAACTTATGAGAGAGAAATTTTATACTATTCTTTTATAAGAACTTCTTCACTAGTTCACTCAAACAGGGCTTAATGTCAAATTATTTACTACAATTACAAAGTACATAAAATAAAATATGCTTAATTTCCTTGATTTCTTATAACCATGTCCTCCATAAACGGAAATTGTCTGTAGGAATCATATGTTAACCCTAAAGTATAATAATCACTTTGTCATGCTGTTCTTGAGATGCAAATAAAGGGTTGAAAAAAGATTAATATGAAGAGAGGGAGGGAAAATAAGGAATTAAGATAGACACCAATGTTAGTCTAAATACTTGTCCTGTTTTTTTACAGCTTAAGCACCTCAAAGATTAAAGAAAACTATGCCAGAGTTGGATATCAGTGATTAGATGCACCACACAAAAGTGACATTAACAGCATAGGCGACACAGAGCCCCACAAACAGTAATGGATTAAAGACCCTACTTGCATCTTCCCCAACAGGAGGGTCAACAATTTTCTCAGCTTCTCTTCTGTGAACCAGAGGTAAAGCATCATCCAGATCATCCTCCATATCCATGTCAACCTGGTACATATGCCACATGAAACCAGTCAGCACAGGCAAATTGCTGGGAAGTTTTGTATACTAAATAAACAAACTGAATTTCTCATCTCAAAATATTAAAGCATCTTCAGCAATAAAACCAAATAAACAGCCTGTAGGTATTTGACCAGCACATGTACTGCATCTAACATGATAGCAAGTCAAAACCATAAGATATATTACACATTAAAACTTGTATAATTATTATCATAGCTAGATGAATAATTATAAAGAAACCAAGGGAATCCTAGATATATTTCCACTCGTTTTTAATTAACATTTTATTATTAAAATCAATCTGCCTGTGTATATTGCTTCTGTTTGGTCCACGACGCTTCAAGGGGAATGCTAATTCTGATTCACAGAGAGGTTGGACAACTTTCTTGCAATTTTCTGCTTCTTTGACTCTATTTTCTGCAATTTTATACTGTAGATTTTATCTTTCCTTCGTCATGCCTCTTCTATTTCTATAAATTTCATCTTTAACCCACGTTCCAAAAACTAGAAGAACATTTGAAAGTTTTCCTCCTAATACACATTACACACAAAGGCTAAAATGATAAATGTGTGTTAATGTTACAATTACCTCCTGTATTCTGCTTTCCTTGAGATCATCTCCATGAAATAATGACTGTCAAGTCAGTATAAGAAAAACAATGAATACACTAGTAAGAAAATATTATACAAATTACACTAATGTTATGGTCCAATAATGCCAACACTTTCACCCAAATTTACACAAAACCTTCACATCAAGCTGCAGATACAAGGACGGAGCTTCTTCCCATTGCTTAGACATCTTTTCTATGTCTTCCTGTGTGAATCCATGGACATTCCTTGCTGCACAACCCTGAATAAAAAAACATTTGCTCAGATTAGCTGAATCATCAATCAGCACCAAAACAAGTAATCATGTAAAACTCAACATACAAAATGCTGATCTCATGTGCTGAAAGGGCAACGGGGAAAAATGATGGAATAGTTTTCTGTTATATAAAATTATCAGCTGGCTTTAGGGCTAAAATGAAAAACAAAATGATACTCAATGTTGCTTGGTGGAAAGAACAAATTAACACACCGCAGGGTCCTTGTAAGTAGCTTCTAAAATGTAAACTTCATACCCCGATCTCTGAAAGGAAGAAGAATATCCATGAGCAAAGGAAACATATTGAACAAGCAAATCTCACGTACTTGTTCTTTAATTCAAAGATCGCTTTAGACATAAAATAAGTATTGATCACAATATCAGAACAGAGGCTAATGGCTTTCATGCATGCACTTCAAATGAAATCAGCATCTAATTCAAATACATTAAGGCCAGAGCTTCAGTAAGAGGCAGATCATTTCACATAAAGCAAGTGGCACAGGAAGTAGCATTGATCTCCCCATCTAAAGTTAAAACTTTGATATCCATTATATTTAACAGTCTTGTATATAACATCAGGTATACAAAGTCCCAAATGATGGAAGTCAAATGTGTGAACAGTCTTGTTGAACTTGGAAAAAGATAGGTATGTAGGTGAATTACACAAGAAAATGGTTTAACTCCATAGTCCCTACCCAAGCTGACAATACATGCCCAAACTAGAAGCCAAAAGGAAAAACAGAGTGGAAAATCATGATCCCCACAGCTAACTAACTACTACTCCACTATCGTGGACCCCACAACAAAACAGGAAATAACAGAATAGCCTACATGTCCTAGCCTAGTCTATTCCTTTGTTTCTTCTAGTGTACCTGAGAACCCTCCACATCTTAGGCCCGTCTCCTTGGCCTGCTACTAATTGAAAATTAGGAAGCATAATATATTAAGCACTTTCAATGGTTCAGCTTAGTTATTTGCAATTATTATTAATACTTAAGGTTAAATAACTTCCTACCCTCTACCCACTGTTTGCTACTTTTCCACATAAAATCACGATAAGAAATATATGCTTTACACAACTAGCTAGACAGAAACCACATGAAACATTCGTCTGCACCCATTTCTGAGAGCATATGGAGAGAGTATTACACAGATATTGAGAGTTCGTCTTGAGCACACAAGGCAAAGGTTGTGAGGAAGAAAGAAAGGTATACCTTTGCAGTTGCCCAAAATTGAGCAAAATCAGCTACCCGCAGATTGCGGTCATCCACTAAGATGAGGCACAAATACCACCAAGGAAAAGGTCAATTGCCGAACAAAACTGCATCTGTGGTTAGTAATAAATAGGCAGTGCATGGGCACTGCATCACCACTTAATCTAAAACGAAACTACATCATTTAACTTGTTAAATTCGTTAACAAGCCAGCAAAGAGCTCTCAACCATTTTTATTGACTTCTATGCTTAGGCTATTATAATTCACCTAAGGAAACTTTTTTTATTCTTTTGGTTTCCTGAATAAATGATTTAGGTACCACAGCAGATTAAGTCTCTGAGTCAGTACTTGTTGCAATTCTAGTAAGAAATCAACAGACAAGATGACAATAACAAGAATGGAACTCAAGACAAAACACAGGATTTTCAGTCCAGAGCAAAACAATGACATTGATTAAGTTAATACCCCCAGAAGAGGAAAATGTGTGTTTTAAGTGTAATTAAGCTATTGTATTTCTTTTCGTGATGCATACCAATAATGAAGGTGAAAACTCCCTCCTCAACGGTTTTCTTGAAAGCTTTCAACATGCTTGACCGATAAGCCTGCCATGGTGGGGATGTAAAACAAAAACATAAGCAGATCTGGTAATTAAGAGCATATCAAGTTAAATGGTATTCAAAGAGAACTTGAAGCAAACATTTATCACAAACAAGAGTCAAATGTTATAGAGCATTAACTTTTCCTGTATTTCTCATGCAGTAACAAATTTATAGATGGCAATGTATCCAAAACCAAAAAAGGAAAGAAAGAAAGAAATTCCCTGCAAGCAAGTTGCCATGGCCTAATTCTCCCAATTTGCTACCATATAACATGCAAAATATGCAAGCCAACTTCCAAACACATGCATTGTAAAAATTGTGATTTGAAATGCAGTTTCCAAAGAAAATTGTGATTCAACTGTCCCTTATGTCCTAGTCCTTACAGTTTCCTGATATTCTGATTTGAAATGCAGTAAAAAAAAAAAATATATGTGGACAAAAAAAGAACCGCTAGGCTCAAATCTATGTAGTCCATGTAACATGAAATTTCCCCTTGCTCGATTTTTTATATATAATTTTTTTTAAAAATTTGTAAGATAAAGAATAAATTTGGCACATTCATTAACATCATGCTCCCTCCCCCCTCTCTCCAGCCCTTTCCAGAACTCATTTCTAAGCAGAAAATTGCATGGACAACACAAATCTAGTACAACAACTCTAAACAAATGACAGTAAACATTTGAAATCTTGATGAAACAACAAATGGCAAAATACACAGTTCAATACATGCAAAAGCTACCTCCTCCATTTCAGGTTCATAACAATACTCCATGACCTTCTTCGTCACAGGCTTCTTGTTTCTGCCTGAACTTGAAGATTTTGATGCCTCGCTATCCTCAACCTTTTCAACGAAAAGTACAACTATTAATAGAGCATCTACCAGAAGTTACCGAACTCACCAAAACCAGATATAGGACAGGATAAAGATGATGTGTCAATTAAAAATAGGGAAAATGCATAATCATGAACCTTTTCAACCTCAGTCATAAAATAATCATCCATAGAATGAATTCGTGGAGCGTCACAGCCATTTTCAACTTCAAGATCACGCAACATCTTCGCTAAGTAACTCTTCCCACTACCTGAAATGATGCAAACACGCAACAAAGATCTCAACAGATGGAAACAATCAAACTGCACGCAAAATAGCCAATAAACTGCTATCGCCAGTGCAAACAAAAGAACTCAAGTGTTCTCACGTTCAAAGACCCAAAAAACAGAAAAGCAGGTGCTTCTTCAAGATGATCAATACAAATACTTTGGAAATTACTGATACTATGCACCTTCCATCACATGCATGCTGCTGATGAATTTGCAGCCATGTTATTCCTATTCCATTTATACAAACAAACAAATAGCCTATGTCCTACTAAACAAGCATCAAACAGAGTAAACTTGCACAAACATAACATTTCATCATACAACATATTTTCAATAACACTCAACAAACAAAGGCATACAATAAAGAATTAACAAAAGTCCAACACAAAGAGCACCTGGAAGGCCCCGAAAGATGATCACAAAATGATCGGGCCGGGATGCTCGATGCGGATGCCGAAATAACTGGGAAGCATCAATAAATTTAGGTCTGTCGGCAGACAATTGATTCAATGGAAAAGGTTGCGCATCTCCCAAGTACTGCTTCGGTGGTTCCTACTCAAAAGGAAGAATACACTTAGAGAAAATGCAACGATTCAAAATTACAAATCTGACAGTAACACGAGACAAATGTACAAGCATACCTCCGATGGAAAGCCAGTGGAATATTCTGGAAGGGGCTTAGTGTGAAAGTAGGGTTGGGGAAGGGGGTGAGGTTCAGGAACTTGTGAAAACGACGAAGGAGAGGAACTAACGGGAACGGGAAAAAGAGAAGGTGGTTTCTTGGGTGGAGAAAAATACGTTTTCGAGTGTGAAGAATGATTGACTGTGATGGATGGATCCATGGGAAGAGGAGGCGGTGGTGAAGAAGGAAGAGGAGGTTGAGCCCTGAAGAAACCCATACTCTCAGAAAAACTGTTACTGCCACAAGTGGTAGCGTAAGGATAAGGATGATGATGAACCACTCTTGCGTTGATGCCATGTTCATGAGGTGGTTGTGGCGGCACACCAACACCACTTATGTGTTCATGGTAAGGTGCATTATGATAATTGCCATCAGGAACACGCTGCAATGGGTGCGAAGTAAAGGAATCCGAACGGAAACCGTTTTGGTTAACGTGTTGCGGAACGGGTCTAACATAACTGTGCGGAAGCGCAACTCCGTGATCGCGAATCAGCTTTAATCTACGCTGGTCGTCGGAGAAATTGTTAGGGTTAGGGTTATCGTCAATTCTTGGTCTCTTGAAGGTTCTATCGGCGTTAGTGTGAGGAGGTTGGGGATAGGGTGGGAAATTAGGGTTGGCGGGGGCATAAGGGAAGTGATCGGGGTAATAGGCATAGGGTGGAGGAGGACAGAAAGGGAAGTGTGAGAGGGAGCAAATAGGGCACACATTACTTTGGACTTGGATTGGACGCCATTGACGATCCATTCAGTGATTTTGGAATTGAATGAGCAGAGAAGAGGAACACCGTTTTCCGCTTCTGTTCTGTTGTGTGCCAACAAAGGCCTAACCAGCCACCGTGGTGCTCTGCAAATGCTATTTCTATTACTACTACGCAATAACCACGGTTATTCATACTTCCCCGCTAATCCTCAATTAAACCCTCAATTTACACAATTAATTAATTTTGAAATTTTTTAATGATTTAAGGTTCAGATTAAAAGATTACAAGTATTTTTTAATGTCAAATTATTATTAATTAATTCTAATATCATTTTAAATCTAAATTTATTATATTTTTATCAATTTTTTATTTATTAAAAGACATTCATTTACATAATTTTTAAATTTATTTTTTATTTTTTATCTTATTTTAGTTCGGATAAGGTTCAGATTGCGCACCTAAATATACAGAAACTCAAACTCAAAACTTTATTTAAGTAATACTAAACCGTCTGACAACTTTTGTCAGTATTTTGAAATTTTTAGTCATTTTTTGCAGTACTCTTTTATATTAATATATATCAATTTTTGAATTTATTAAAAATAAGATAGACCAATCCAATTTAATGCAAATTAGGAATTTTTTTACAAATATTATTAAATTAAAAAAATTTGAAACGTGGTCTTATTCAATTTCAATAGAATTATTTTTTTTAGAGTATATTTGTGATTTAGACTAAAAAATAAAATAAAAAATAAATCATATAGTAATTTTTTAAAATTAAAGACTTTATACATTGAAAATAAAATAAATATTGTAAAAATTAATCAAAATCTTAAAAAATATTTTATATTAATTTTTTTATATTTTGAATTTAATTTTAAATTTTGAACTAATATATGTATATATTTTTTAATTATGAAACTAGCGTAATGCTAATATTTATATTTGGTTGTATATATTTATAGTGTGGGTCTAGTCTAGTTTATTTTTAAAAAATTGATTATTTATTTTAATTAAATTACTAAAAGAGTTTTAAAAAACATGTAATCATTTTTCTAAATTTTTATTATGCCAAATGTGACAGAATGAGGGCGATGCTTTATAACGCTCAAGCATAAATGCAATTGAGTCATAATTCATTAGATAAGCTTAACTCACTCAATTTGCCTTTACTTTTATCCTTTAAAATAATCGAACGCGCCTAATATTAGTAGTGTTTCAAAAGAATCAGCAAGAATAAATTTTCTTTCTGATAAATATTTTTTAATTTAATATTTTTCAAATGAAAAAATAAAATAAGAAATAACATAAATTTAGTGTTATAATAAATAAATATATATATGTATATAATTTGTTTGTTCTAATATACATCTTAATTAAAAATAAAAATAAAAAATTGTCCATTTTCTTTTTGTCCAAAACAGCAATGCTCCATTCCAAATATATCCTTGTAGACTTGACCATTTGTACAATCTACTTCCTTTTTCCTTCCCAGGACACTGACATGCCGGGCAACAACACACAAAATTCCTTTTATAAAGGCAAATCAATTGACTTCTGCTGGATATCGAAAGAAATATATAACACTAATTGATAGTGGTTCTCAATTCTATCATCCAGTAGAATATATGCTCGCATGGAATCCAAATATAAATAAATAAAAAGAACAAAGACAGTTTTCAAATTAAGTTTTTTGGTGGATATCGAAAGTAGATTGTGCGTAAACATGAATCTCTAAATGAATTGCAGTCACAATTTTAAACCACAAAATACATATATGTCTTGGATATTTAGGATGGGGAGTTATAGTGTCTCTATCCGTGGACTATGCGAAATGAGAATACAGAAATAGAAATGTGTTTTTGCTCATTGATCTTCAGTTCATACATGAGTACATCATCGCCAAAAATGCTAAACACATCAAAAGCAATAATGACTCTTCGGAAGCGACTTAATTATTTCCACCTTTTACTTCGATTTTTAGTTTGTCCACTACATCAGCCACCAAGTAACAAAATTTGGCTTCAGTAGTTAAACAACTAACCACTCCTTCAATTGATCTCAGCTCCTCGTGAAACTGTGGATGTAACACCAACGATGAAAAATTCTCATCAAGCACCACACCAAGACATTTTACAACATCTTCCAGTTTAGGAACCCAATCACAAGCCTTCAAACCCAAAACTGATGATGCTTTTGGACATGGTCCTGCTTGAGGAAACCTCTCATATTTATTCAACCACTTTGCTAAATAACGAATCAAGTTTATCAACTCTTTGCAATTCAACTTACTGAATAAGGGTGATAACATCACATCGCTGATGTTGGATGATGAAATCAGATAATGCAAACAAATCTCAGATGCAGAGAAACCATCATATGCCATCATAAGCAAAATGGAAGCTTCCTTTGCCACAAGCAAGTTTTTCCTCTTGTGGTTGCTATCACTTGCTTTCTCAATGGCTAACAGTGCTTGGCTCTCCCACTCCTTCTTCACAGTTACCATACTGTTATAAGCATCTTTGGACGGAGAAAGAAAATACTTAAAAATCGTGAGTAATTCTGTCGAACCAAGATCAAATGCATGCTTAATGCATAAACAGAGTAAATGGGACCTCTTTTTTTCCACTAACTTGGCAACCAAGTTTGAATAACAAGAATGTTCAATAATACCATTAACAATCAAAGCCTCAACCACTTCCCAAATCTCCAAAGAAACACATCCATCCAAAACCAGGCCAGCAACATCTTTACCCATGAACAGTCCAAGTTTTTCAATCAAAATCTTGCTATAACCACTACTCGATGAATCAGCCCCAATCACAATTCCTGCTTTCTCGCCGATGTTTTCTAGATAGGAATTCAAACTACCAATGAACTCACCCTTGTCCAACTTATTGGTGTACTTGAGCTTTGTCTTTAGCTGTGTAAAAAAGTTTTTGGAAATGTGAATGATCTCAGCATCAGTTTGGGAAATTTTCCATCCAACAAGAGGTTTTACAAGGGATGAGGAAGATTGGTCTTTAGGTTGGGGGTTTAAATTAGGTATTATAGTATCTGGGTTCAAAACAATTGGGTAGTCCAAAGGTAAATCAAGTGGTTTTGAATTGAGTGAAGCATCCTTAACTATTTCCAACAAAGTCATTATTTAAATTGCAAAAAATGTACCTGCAACTGCAAAGAAAGCAGAAGAATAAACCTCAGACTCATGTGGAAGAAGGTAATTGAACATAAGAAAAATGCTAGCAACACTCTTTCAAAAACACTTTTATTATTGATTAACATTTATTAGAAATCACAAAAGTCCCGTGAATCTCTCTCTTAATTTAACGATTCCCGCTCATATTTTTATAAATTTCAGGCAATAAATAAGAGTGTCCTCCTATCACTGCTCTAAAACATTCAACCTACACAAATATTTAATAATAAAAAAAAGTTCAATTTACGACTCCATGCTTCAAGAATACCCATTTTAGTTTTCTAGGTTAGGAATTGATACAAGTTCAAACAGTACCACATTGCTGCTTCCATTCAAATTAATTAAAAAAAAACAAAAAACGAGTCTCGTTAAACACAGCACACAAAACTAACATTTGCAAAAACCGAATATCAAAGACGACGACGGTGTATCATTTCATAGAACACCATGATCACGAAAACAACCTATTGACCATCCTTTCTGAAAGTCTGATTGGAAACCAACAAGACACGACAGTGATAATTACCAGAAACGAAACGAAAAGCACGAAACAGAGTATCTTAAAACTATAAGGGCATTCATCAATACCTGCTGGAAAACGGTAACACAGAGAACACAAACACACTCCAACCGGGAACACGGCACCACGGCAGCACCGGAGTTCTCAGGGAAGAGAAAGTTTTTAATTTAAGGACAACTCAACTAGGGTTTCTTACTTTGTTACGTATTAAATTAAATATTAAATAGCATGTATTCCAGCACTGGTTTTTTTTTTTTCTTTTTCTAATGACTACTTTAAAAAAATCGAAAAAAAAATGTTTTAAAATTTTATACTTTTATAAAATTTTAATTTTAGTTCCTCGTTTTTTTTTTATTTAACACTTTCCATTATTAATGACAACATAAATAATTTAAAAAATATTATGTATTATTTTTTGTTAAGTCATGTTACTATTAGAGATCAAAGACATTGACTTATAAAAAATTTGGATATTAAAATTAAATATATAAAACGTTGTATAATATAAACATAAACAAACATATTTTAAATTTTTCTTCTTTTTTTTCTTGTTCAACTGCACAGAACTCTTTTCTATCTATTATTTATTTATTTTTAATTACATTCATTCATACACATCGTAATTATCATGTTATAAGAATTTCATATTTCAAGTAATGATAAGATTTTTTTTTAATCTTACTTAACAATATTTCAAGTGTTACATAAATAGCCTAAGTATAGAAATCACAATAAATAAAATACTATGACACTCATCTATGTATTTACATTAATATATATATATATATATATATATATATATATGTGTATCCAGCTCTATATTTGTGTAAATAGTAATATTAATTCTTATATTCATGCTTTTTAAATATCTGCATATTCGTATATGTATTTATTACTTGTATTTGTTTGAGAAAAAAAAATATTTATAAAAAAATATGTTTATATAATTTTATATACGTAGTCGAAGAAGGTAGAAGCATGAATTGAAAACAAGTATTTAAATATCAAAGTGTTAAATGTATCTTAATACAATAATTTTCTAAACTAAAATTCTTAAAAATTATTAACAAAATTAAGCACACAAGTTATTTGTCAACAATGACTATGTCTCATGTGAAATTCGATTGAACTATGCGACAACGAGATGAGTCTACACAATGGATGGTTTCTTGTGTGAAATACCTTTTATGGCGGCATTAGCAACTAACTTTCACAATTCATTGTTGCTGCAATAGGCTTGAATGAGACAGACATGAGAATCATAATAGGGTTGGAGCAGAGAAACAAGTACTAAACAACAACAAGAAATATACGAATAACACATTTTTTTATTTATCTTTTGAATATGAAATTGTAAAAAAAATAACATATTTAATTAAAATAATATATATATATATATATATATATATATATACCTTGATACTAATATTTTTAATTCATGTATTATATGAAAATATTTTATCAAAAATATAAATTTTTTGAAAATTTATTTTAATGTATATAAATTTTTAAAAAATTGAATAAAAGATAAATGGTCACAATAAAAATTTGTAATGAAAAAAATATACATATATATTGAAAAAATTATACTTTTTTATTCGAAAAAAAAATTTAACAGGTAAATTGTAATAAAAATATATAATAATTTTTATATTTTATATATTTTAAAAAAAATTAGACATAAATAAATTGTAAGAATAATGTTATTTAAATTTAATATTATAATTGTGCTTGTAATGCACATGTTACATAAAAAAATATTATTTTAAATTAAAATATAAAAATAAAATTTAAATATTATCAATAAATAATAAGCCTACGATAATAGTAGGTGATTATAAAATTTATAAAATATTTACAATATGTTTATTGTTTATTATTTATTATTCACTTTATGATTTAAATATCAATATAATTTTATTAATGAAAATATTTGTGAGAAAAATATTTTGTATTTGTATCATATATAAATCATTTTTTAAAATTTAATCTCATATTAACCATATAATAATTACATTATATTAGTTTAGTTAAATGATATAAAATAGTAAATAAATTTTTCTATTAAAAATATGAACAGAAATATTTTTTTATTTACTTTATTACTAAATATATTTTTATATTAATCTTATACAACTTCACATAAGTAATATAATAATAAAAAAAATCAATAGATAGTTTTAGAACAAATTTTAAACATAAATAAAAATCCACATAAGTAACATAATTTTATATACATATATGCGGGTATGGGGCAAAATAAATACTTAAATATCTATCCCTATTAAATTTTGCGTGTATTTTTTCATACTAATACTCGTACCCATATAGTAGGTAAATACCTTACACATTATGGTTAAATTTTATAGGTATCTTCCAAATAGTAAAACTTCAATTTTTTTTTTCGTTCAAATGGGAAATGGGGAGATAATATTTATCCTTGAATAATAATCCGTATTGATCATTCATTTTAATTTTAATGACCAAAAATTTGAAATTGACATGGCAAGGAACTATAGAATATCTTGAATATTCCAGTATTTCTAACTAATTTCATAATTTAAATCAAATATGTTATATCTTATTCAGACCGATAAATAGAGTTGAGGTTATAGTTAAAAACGTTAGTGAAAAATCAAAATAACTAGTTATAGTGTATTGAGTACTTTACTCGTTCTCATCCCCATTTAAATGTGGTATGATAATAACTTTAATTAAAGATAATAATTTTTTCTTGTCTTATAGCATGTAAAAGTGTTAGGCTACTTAGATTTCATACTCAACAATACATAAATTTATAAAATATATAATATCTTATATTTTTATGTCATTAATTATTTATAATATATTAATAACAATATTGAATAATTTATTTATTTTATAAACTCATTTGTAAATATTTTTTTCATTTGTATCGTGATAATCACTATATATATATATATATAGTTATATATATATATATATAACACAATGGATTAAAAAAATAAAAATAAAAGTTTAATTATAAATTTAATTTTCATATTTAACATTATTTTTAATTTACTCTTTGCAAGGAAAAACTTATATTTTGGTATTTACATGAATTGTTTACACCTCAATCATTTTCTTTTATCAAAATTAGAATAGTATTAAATTTTACTCATTATACTTATACTTTAATTTAGCCTTTATATATATATATATATATATATATATAATATTTTAATTTCTACAATTACTTAATTTTTTATTGCAATCATGTTCTTTTATCATATTTCATCTATTTAAAATATTTAAATCCTTTTTTTTTCATTTAAACAATTCAGCGTTTATGTTAGATTTAGAAATGAAATTTATTTGAAAGATTCAAAATCTAAAATTTTGAAAAACAAAACGAAGGAATTTGCAGAAAATGACTTCAGAATTTTTATGAAAAAATTTATATTTTCTTACTCTAAGTGAAATAGATATTTGATTAATCACTTTCGAATAAAATTTTAAAATTGTTCAATTGGTTTAGTTTCTAGAGATTTTGACAAGGAAATAAACATTTGAGAGTTTTAGGTAAAGAAAAAACTTGATTAAAGACTGAATCTTTTAATTTAAAAAATAAAAAACAAGAGTTCAAGAAAAAAAACTTAATGAAAAACCAAATTTGTCGATTAATCATAATAGAAGAACAGAATGTGTAGTTAAATTTTTAAAATAATTGCTAAAATAATATGTACGTGTTTAGGTATTACAGCATATGCATAAATTTTAGGCTAAATTAACCTACCAACTCCCATAATTTACCAATCTTTCAATTAGGCCTTATTATTTAAAAACTTTTCAATTAAATCATTATATTTTTTATAATTAAATCCTCACGGCTCACACCACTACTCCTTCATGAATTGTTCACGCAATATTTCTTACATAAGATTTATTTATAATTTTGAATCATCATAAGGCATCTCACACCTAAAAGTTCACACATTATTTCTCAACGTTGCAAGGATTGTTAGCAATGTATTAGGACCATGAATTTAGAAGTGAAAAAGGGAAATATTCGGGCTTTCCCGTTATGTTCAGAAAAGTCATGACTCAGAAAATTGATCAACATACTTGTGATGTGTTATCCCTGTTTGGTTATGAGTTTGGCAGAATAAAACCTATATTCTTTCGATTTCCAATGCTTCAAAACGAAACGTTTGTAAAGGGGGTAAGAGATCAATTCTCAGGAAGAGAGGTTTGAAAGCGTTAACAAACAAGATGGTAATTTGATTTGATAACAAGATATGAATAGAATGGAGAGAGGGTATACAAGTTTAATGATAATGAACTTTGATTTCATAATTAAAATTTCTCACACAAGTTTAATGGAAAGGAGGGAGGTTATGCAAAGTTCAATGGTAGTGAGATTCCGTTACTCTTGGCCACACAACCATGACTACCCAAACCAAAACCGAGGATGCAAGTCACCATCATTTTCAAGTTTCAACCATTTTGGGGAGGAGCTCATGCAGAGAATGTCACGCCGCAGGAGATAAACAACAGGTATGAAATCCGTGAAGTAGGATAATCTCAGCATAATATTTTGTTTCATTATTTCTTTGTCTCAAAACAAAGACCAATATTAGTCTATTAACATAAACAGTAGAAAAAGTAAAATCAATAAACAAAACAGTACTCCAAATATGTTTACGTTCAACTACTTCACTCAATAATTAACAACGGAGAACATAAAGCAACAGAACAAAGCGTCAGAGATTGGAATAGATATGTAATTTATAATTGTCAATAAAGCTTATCTATTACATGCAAAATATAAAACTAAAAGAGTAAATAAAAATTCCTCGTATACAGCCATTGTCACATTCCATGGGATAACTCCCTCAAAACATCTCAAAGAAGATGTAGCATTTTACCTCTTCCTCTTCTTATTTCCTGCAGCAGCACCCTTATTAAATCCACTAAAATCATTGGTGGTGTAAGCAGTATTCTGCTTCTTAATTCCCTTTTTGCCTCCAAAACCAAATTTGGAATTCTTTAGATCTCTATTCTTTTGTTTCTTTCCTTTTCTACCAGTTTGCTTTGCTTTCCCTCCTGATCGATCACCTGGAGACACTCCTGGCCTTTTCTTCTTTGACCTCTCAAACGCTCTTCCATCTTCAAAGTTCAAACCCATGTCTGCATCATCGGCATTGTCAGCAAACCCACTTTGTTGCCTCTGCTTCCTCCATTTCTTAACAGCCTCAATATCCTCCTTTTTCTGCTTAGCCCTTTCTTTTAATTTCTGAGCCTGAATCTCTTTGGCCAATCTCTTGGCCTCCCTCGCCTTTCTTCGCTCTTCAGCCTCTTCCATCTTTCGCTTCTCTGCTAATAGCCGACCTTTCACCTTTTCCATGTGGTTATCTGTCTTCACCATTTCTGCATAATAGTCTGCAGGTCTCAGAAAAGGGCGACCCATTGACTGAAGTTTCTCAAAGGCCTGCCTTGTTCCCTCCAATGCTTGTGTGTAAAACGCAAGTTCTCGTGCCAAGTCATCGTTGACATCTACTTCTTGCTCTTGATCGACATCAAGAGAGAGTTTGTGTATCCATTCAACATCCTCTGCCCAACTGATGTCGCCAAGTTTATCTAATAGAGCATCTCGGTTATATATTGCATTTTTAGATGGTTCAGTCAATTTCACATCTTCTTCCGATTCTGATTCAGATGGTGACATTTCCCCTCCCAGATCTTCAGTTTCATCATCAATCATTGTATCCTCAAGTCCAAGCGGCATTGCCATTTAACCTATACAAACATTTAAAAGAAAGAAAAAAAAAGTTCAATTTACGATTCCGTGCTTAGACATTCTAGTTTTCTAGTTTTCTAGGTCAGGAATTGCTCCAAGTTCAATTAGCATCACATTGCTGCTTTCAATCAAAATAATTATACACGAAACTCGTTAAGCCCGGGACACAAAACTAACATCCACAAAAACTCAATATCAAAAGACCACGACAGTGTATAATTTCTTACGACTCCATGACGACGAAACCAACCTATTCAACGTATCAAAACCTAATTTCATATATTTGAGGTAGCAGCAACGAGAAGCAAAAGCACGAAATCAAAACCACCAAGACATAACAATAATAATTACGAAACACGAAACTAAAAGCACGAAAGAGAGGCCATTCATCAATACCTGCTGGAAAACGGCAACACAGAACGCACGAACACACTCCAACTGGACACGGCACTCCGGCGACGGCTACACTGCAGCGGCAGTAGCTTGAGCACTCCCTCTGAGCAACACCCGAGTTCTGAAGGAAGAGTTTTTAGTTTAAGGACTACTGCACTAGGGTTTCTCCCTTTATTAACAAGCCCGAACACTCCCGCAGCTTATTTAAACATGTATTTTGTTAACTTTAAAATTATTATTTTTTATTAAAAAACATTATTATATTAAATTTGTAAAATTGTAATGAATATTTTTATAATAAATTATATTATTATTATTTATTACATTTTAATATTTATTTATTTATTTTATATTTAATTTAAATGGACCCATAAATTTCTTTTATAATACTATTATTCAATTATGATATATTAGAATGATTGATTTTATTAATATAAAAATTATATCTACTGTGTATTTAAATAAGTTGATAGTATAAAAAAATTTATTTTAAAATTTGTTTTAAAATCATAAAAAAAATCATTTTTAAACACACGTCAGTCCTTTTTTCTATTCACATACAAAATTATAAAATAAAATATTTTTACATTATTAATTATTCCAAATATACTAATAAAAATGTTGAATGATTTGTTATTCATATTATACTACATTTGAATACATCGATAATTATAATTTGTTAACAATAATAATAAATTATTTATTTAGTGTTTAAAATTTATTTAATTATAATTTATGAATTACAAAATTATAATATTAAACTGATCCTTATATAAAGTTATAAATTAAAATAAATATTATTTTCTTTCACATATTTGGAAGAACTAATGTCATGACTTTTTAGAATACCAGATTAATGTATAATGTAAAATTTCGAAGGACTTGAAAATGTAAAAATATTTTATATATATATATATATATATATATATATATATATATCTCGACAATATAAAAGAAAAAAAAAAGGCATGCACATGTAAGTTTATATATGTATATATGTATATAATATTTAAGGATTAAAATAAAAAATAAATTAACTATAAAGGTTAAAATTACAATTCAATATAAAATAAATTAAGTTTATCAATCTTTATAAATGAATTGATTTATAAGATGTATTCTTAAATTAGTAATGATGCATAGTTAAAATATTATCTATTTTAATAATCTAATTTATATTTCCAGTCTCATGTGAAGAATTAAAACAATTTGAAGGTAAGTATTTTTAGTTTATTATTTTCTATTCAATAAATTTTAATTTAAAACATGTACCTGTAATCATTTTCTTTCATTCACTAATTACTACTATCAAAATAAACAATTTATTTTTGGAGTTGAAGTAGTTAACAAATTCCACTTCATATAATTAACATTCTATTATTGAAATACATAAAATAACTAAATAATTTGTGCATGTTTTGGTATACATGTGATTATATTTACAAGCTTATGGAAGTAGAACATAAAAAATTAATAAAAACATAGGTAAAATAAATTAATAATTATAAAAGGAATAAATTAATTTTTTATGTCATATGACACTTCTAATGAAAGAATGGAAGGAAAAATAAAATATGTAACTTTTAGAAGTCTTTAAATCTATTTTGTGGATAAAATAAGGTTTAAAAAAAATAGAAATACGAGAGTTTGATGATAATGTAATTGAGCAATAATGAAAAAAATTATTATTTCAGTTTATACTTAATACATATTAAAATAGTAAATATAATATATTATATTATCGATGACAAAATTGAATGTAATAATTGAATTATCATTTATATAATACTTATAATATCTTTCGTATCATTTTTGGATGAAATGGTAATGACTAAGTTGTACCCTACACACAGAGAATTATGGAATTCTTAGAAACAGGGGATAGGGGTAAATCCGTAAAACAAAAATGCAAACCCCATCCGAAGGCCTTATCCTATCTTCTTCCATTTCAATTGGACTTCACTTCTTTCGCTCATTTCTTCACTCTCACACACTTTCTCCCTCAAATCCCAAAACCAAAATCCTCCCTCACGAAATGGCCACAACAACGCTATCTACTCTCATCCTTCGCTCCCCCTCTTATCCTACGCATTCCTCCGCCAGGCCCTCCCTCCAATTCCCCCTCTCCGCTCCCAACCTCTTCCACCGCGCCACCCCTCGCCGCCATATCGTCGCCGCCGTCGCCGCCCCCGAGAAAATCTCAAAGCTCGGCGATGAAATCTCCAGCCTCACCCTCGAGGAGGCCAAGTCCCTCGTCGACTTTCTCCAGGACAAGCTCGGTGTCTCCGCTGCCGCGTTCGCCCCCGCCGCTGTTGCCGCTTCCCCTGCGGCCGCCGATGCCGCTCCGGCCGTTGTTGAGGAGAAGACGGAGTTTGACGTAGTGATCGAGGAAGTGCCGAGCAATGCGAGAATCGCGGTGATTAAGGCAGTTAGAGCGTTGACGAACCTGGCGCTGAAGGAGGCGAAGGAATTGATCGAAGGCTTGCCGAAGAAGTTCAAAGAAGGAGTTTCCAAAGACGAAGCTGACGATGCAAAAAAGCAACTTGAAGAAGCCGGTGCCAAGATTGCCATTGTTTAGCCATAGCAGCGTAATCGTCGTTTGTTTCTTTGTTTGATTTAGTTGAATATAGTGTAATTTTATTTGATTTTGTTTTGTTTTTCCATGACTCGATTTGAATTTAAGTTGTAATGAGAAAAAGAGGTGCTTTTATTTTTTATGCGTTCGAGGTGTTTGTTGAAATGGGGGTGAATGGTTTTGGGCGAGTGTTGGTTTGGAATGGGAAATTGAAAATGTTACGCACTACGCATCTCTTAGAATCGCTTGATAAATTTTTCTTACTTTCGTTTAGTAAGCTTACATTTTTCGGACTTACATTAACGATTTTTATTTTATTTTTTCCTGTCATTAAAACGTAGCAGTTTCTCTTAATGATACAATTCGTTTTCACTGAAAGGACGAGTAACTAAGACAAAAAAAAAAGTTTTCTGGTAAGAGTTATGAACGAGGCTTGCTATCGAAGAGCCACAAGCGGGTAGAACGCCCCTCGTTACAAAGCTGACTGTGGATCCTACTTAAACATGTTGATAGCACGAGCTCTTTTAAGTGTCAAAGTAGCTCGTAGTCCTTCTAGATTCTGGATAAGGGATAGGGAAACAACCTGATTTTTAGCAAATAGGTGTGAAGGTGCAGGGTGGTTACAAATATAATTAACTCAAATATTCATATCTATTAACTTTTGCTTTCTCAATATAGCATCATGGACTCAAAAAGTAAAACGTCCTTAGATATTCTACAAACACTTTAACACTTAGTGAGTACGTATATTTCAAAATATTTTCAATCAAGAAATATGAAAATTAAGATAAGTGTTTTTGCTGTGGTTGTATCCGCAACATGCTTGAATTAATCTTGTTTATTGAATAGATGTGCTTCAATCCATTTGTATGCTCTCTCAAAATAAACATGCTTTACACACATTTTGTTCCTTTCACATCAAGTATGACACAACCTTCAAAAAGTTGAAACACAGAATTTATATATTACAAATAACCTTCCTTTAGCTTTTTCATTTCATCTCTTAGCTTAATTATAAATAAATTTAAAAACTTTATCCTAAATTTAGATTTTAAGCAGCTAAATTTAGAAAATGTTAATATGTATAAATATTTTTTCATTTGTATTAACTATACATATATACACAATATAAAAAAATTAAATAAGTTTTATACGATAAATAAATAAATTTATAAATCATTTCTAATATTCAATATTTAATTGATAAAATTATCTAAATTTAATACTTAATTTTGATTTAAAAAAATTATTTTATAAATAAAAACATTTTTTTCAAAAAATACTAAATTCATTTTATGTATTTTTCCCATGGTTAATGTGAAATTTTATAAGATATGATAATTTCACAACTTTATTTTATAAATATCTTTTATAAGTAGGCATAAAATGTTCAATCTTTATGCAAAAATCGACATGAGTTTCAAATTGAAATTGTGTTAAGGAGCACTAATAACGTTAAGACCGCATCTAAAGATAAGCACGTCAATAATATTTAAAGCTAACCAAAATTTAATTTTCATAAATTTGTTTTAAATCTAAAAACGTCACATGCTAATATGCTAGCTCTCACGTTTCTAATCTTATTATTCCTGCAACTACATTTCTAATCATATTGTTCCTGCAAATCTAAGTTGGTGAAGGAACTTCCCAATCCTTTGACACAGGTCCCAAATCATAGATAATTTCTCTGTGGCAAGACCATACAAGTTTGATAGCCTCTGGTGTTCCAATTCCCGCACCTCTGGGATCCCCGGCAGGTCCAAACCTACAATGACATTATCGTTTTTAATCAGTTGAAGCATATTTTTGTAGGTGTATATGGAAAAAAAAAAGAGATACTAGTTTTACCAGTGGTTCTGTGGAGCTCCTGTCGTTCTTGCTCGGAGACCGGCATAAGTAGTACCGTTCACTGATTTTCCAATTACTTCCTATAAAAAGTGTATTTAATTATAAATAATGACATCATACTCTATGTAAAAAAAAAGAAGCTTAGTCACCTTAATTTTAGATAAGATAACTTCTGTTTGATTATTATAAAAAGTATTACAAGTAATTGATCTCAAATGCAAAATAAACTCTTAAAACACAATCTAATCTATCCCCTAAACAGCTACAACTGTGTTATAAACCAATGTAATTGATAATTTTAAGATAAAAATAGGAAAAAAAAACTGATAGATATCGTGCTAGTTAAGAACTAATAAATTGTGTCATAACACTTATAGTAAATTGAATTATAAAAATCTTACCTGTAAAAATAATGGGTCGTTTGAAACTACTGCTGCGGTTAAATGGGCATGCATTCTTTCAATAAGATCCAACACAACTGACAATTGACTGCTTTTGTAGTCGGTAATAATCTGAAAATATAAATTAAAATTATTTATCTTAAAAATATTCTTAAAAAGGGGTCACAAAACTTTATTTTGATGTTACAAGTTTCTCTTTCCATACCTGAAAGGGTCCAAATATTTCTTTTGTAACAAGCTCGTAATTCTTATCCTTCACAATTTCCTCAATAGGAACATAAACAGCCGTGGGTTTAATAGCACCATAAATTGATGGAATTAAATGGTTCTCTAAAGGCTGACCCCCAAAGAGCAGCTTTGATCCTGGTATCTCAAGTAATTTATTTGTGTGTTCTAGCATTGAATCAGTCGTAAACTGCAACACATGAGAAAAAGAAATAAAGAATGATTTCAAATGATTACTTAATAAAGCATGTCTACCAAAATGCATTAGCAAAATTGAACATTAAAATAATATTATAACAATCAAATGATATAAATAAATAAAAAACACACTTAAAAATAATAATCAAATGATATTAAAATTAACATTCTCCTTTTACAAGACTCTCAATCCATGTATAGAAAATTAGTTAAATGCAAATTACTGAATAGTCAAAAACATTTGATATTTAACCTAGAAGCAGGAACTTGTCCACATTTTGCTGTATCCCAAACACCTATTTTAATCATTACACAAAAGTGTGCATGAATAATTGAAACTGTTGCATGTGTTGCATTTAATAGCAGTTAACACTAGAATGCATTCATATAATTAAATTTAAAAAGCACTACAAAATAGTTTAGACTTCCATCAGTTAAAGAGCAAAAATTTCACCTTAAATAGACCACAAGTTGAAAAAAAACAAACATGTAAACATGTAATACGTACCGTGAGGACTGGGCCAATTGTCAAGTCCGCTAGCTTTCTTCTCTCAGCAAGATCTTTCATCTTACGTATCAAAGAAGTTGATGACCAATTCTGAACAGAAGAAATTAGAACCCTGAAGTTAGTAAGTAAAAACATAATCACAGAGTACATCTTAATAAATAATCAATTTACATCTTCACTCTAGTTCCTGAAGACTTCTACTTATGAACAATTTCTCAAAACAACTAATGTGACTAACCTCGTGCATAAATAACAATGATTGTGCTGAGCACTTTTGACCACTGCATGCATATGCATCCTGGTCACAGACCCATGCAATGTAATCCTCCTTAAAACAAGAAACAACAGAGAAATTATTATAGAATTGAAAATTAAGTCTATGCCATCATGAAATCGACAAAAATTTGTAAGAAACCTGATGGACATCAGGGCCAAGTATTTTCCAGTCAAATCCAGCATCTTCCAATTTAACGCGGCCATTTAAATCATTAGCCAACTTCTCTGCCACTTTAGAACTACCAGTAAAAAGGGTCATTCGTGGATTTCCCTATAAACATATCAAAAATTCATAAAACAATATCATTATCATACCACACAAAAGAAATATGTAATTTGTTACCATCCATATATTTATATATATAAAAATAATAAGAGAGTTCAAAAGGAAATAGAATACAACAAAATTACAAAAAAATTCAACGAGTTAAACATTGAGATAATCATGAAATGGAATCAATAAAGTAAATTGGTAAGTTTTAACCAATAGTAATATGCTACGCAGAATCAATTTCTTGGATGAAAAAACAAGTACTAAACAACCAACCTCCAGCAACAGTTTGTTCATTGTCTTTCCATCCGAATTTATGAAGTCTACATCTTCTACGGGTAAACCACATGTATGAAGCAGGCGCAACATTTGTTCCATAACAATGCTCACCTACAACAATTTGAGTTAATAATTCAAGATTACACTGAAGAAAGAAAATTCCAAATTTTGAAAGCGAATATAATTAATATTTTCAAAATGTAATGAAAGAAATCAAAATAAGATTATGGTTTTCTTAAATTGAATGAAAATACCAGCTAAATAAAATATATTGCTTGCCAGAAAAAAGACATAACCTCTACCAGGGAAAAAAACAACCATTGCATTTTAATTTTTTTCTTTCACAAGTCACTGTGACCGTCTAGAAGCTAACTTTATTGTATTGATTTTGTATTTAGATGTAATGTCATAAAAGTTTGCCAAAATCAAAACCAAAAGAACTCACTTTGGTGTCTACTTTAAGGACTGGCTTGTTGCCCATATACAGTGCTCCCATTAATTGAAGGACCGGAATCTCCAAGGGAAAATTAAAAGGAGTAATAATTGCCACCTGCAAAACACATTTCAGATTTTACGATGAATCTAGGATGAAAAGGTGAATGTTTAGGGTGAATGAAAAAATCTAAAGTTTCGCTTACTATACCAAACAGCTACGAGAATACTGCAAAACTAATCTAAACAAAATTCAATTCCAAATCTGGAAATATTTATTTATTTTTATTCCTTTTTCTTGAGTAGAAAGTCACGTCTATAGAACATACAAAACTTGTTTATTCCTTTTTTTGCTCAAAGAAAGTATTTACCTTATAAATACTCGGGTTTTCTAGTAGGCAAGAGGCAAGAATAATAAAGTCCCGGGTTTTGGCTTTCTATCTTGTGTAACTAATTGAAACACCTCACACATATTCCTTTTTCTTTTCTTTTATTTTCTTTTTTCCAGTTAAAAACAGTTTTTTATTGTCCTTAATAATCACAAGACATTTGCTTGATATACTAATGCTACTGAATTGACTTATTATACCACATTTCACCTTCTTGACCAAGTACAAGCAGGAGAAGTATATATTACTGGGTTTTATTGAGACCTTGATTTTTGTTCCATTTCTTTCATCTCTAGTGTTTAACCAAATAATGGCATTAACTAACTATGAACAAAAGGTAATTGATAATTTTGACACAATCAGCGTAGTACCAGTGGTGTGAAGAATGACAGATTCATTTCTAGTCTTCAGAAAAAAGTATATCAATTAAAAACAAAACAAAATCAAATCCTTACAGGACCATATGGCCAACGAAAACCATGACTTTGCTGGCCAAGATGATTTCCAGGTACTGCAAAAGACCTTGCAAGGAATCGAACCTGCCAAATTTTTGTTAAAATGAAGCAAGAACAAAGAAGAAATCACTAAACATATAATATGAACTTCATAACTTCCTAGGAAATCATATGAGCTAATGTTAGTTTAGTGAGTGTGCATGTGTCAGGGTTAAATTAATAAACAAATAAAGAATCCAGGCTTTAATTATAGAATTTAGAAGGAAAATTATCATTATCTACTAGTTAGGGGGCAATTTAGATTCTTTCATCATTTTATTCAAAAGAATGACATATTTGATAATTGTGTTTATTTCATTTATTCAATTCTAACATGTATTGTTTTGATGTACCTGATCTCCGCAAAAATTCTCTAAAAACTTCTGTGTCACATACACTTCCCCAAAAGCCTGTTGATAACTCTTTGGCGAAACTCTTTGTATTAGTCTTGTAAAGAAATCTGAAACCTGAGGATCATGCAATATAAATACTTAAATATTCTAATATAAAAGAAAAAGTTGATCATGTATACATACGGTGACAATACGTAATTTGTGTGTAACATAAAGCAAATAAAAATTAAAAAGCCTTTTTTTATAGTTTGAAATACCTTAGGAAGTGATAACATGTGAGCTGCCTTGGTAGATACATCTCCAAGCATCAGATATCTGCAAAGGATTTATAACAAAACAACACTTTAGACTTCATCAAGATGGCCAAAATAAGAATGTAAGATTTGATATCATGCTCTAAATCACAACATATTGGTAAATAAAATGTCTGTCAGTTGCATTCTTTATTTCAGTGAAAATGACAGGTGTATGACAGTAAAAAGTTTATTTATTTTCATCTTATCTTAGGCAACTTTAAAATACCAAGGTCCTGTGTATTTTAGTTACTCCTCTTAGCAGAAATTTGAAACCGACTGTGTTGGAAGTTCATTCCATAATCACTTTCATTCAAACGTTGCAAACCAATCATCCAAAGATCTCCTCACATTTCCATTTCAAAACAAAAACAACTACATTGTTATGTCATTTGCTATGCAAAAAAAAAAAAAAAAGTTGTATCCAGTTCAGAATACGGCTGAAACCTCTAGGAATAATCTAGATAATCCACCTGTCTACATCCTCAGGCAAAACCCATTTGAGCAAAATCTCCTATAAAGGAGAACGTAAGGCATAGAGGTCTATATATTGAAAGATGCAATTCCCATCAATTTTTTGTTTTTTGACATTTACAGTAATCATTAATCCAACAAATAAAAAAGACTTTTTTTAAGTTTTCATTTCTATGAAGAAAATCGAGATAAGGACACTGTGCACTTACCTCTCTGGTGCCTTAAAAGGATTGTGTACACCATGTTTGGGACAGCTAGACAAGCTTTCCACAAATGGCTGAAAAGTCAAACAAAAGAAAATTTTAGTCAAGATATCTGTCTCGAACCAACTGTTGATTTCCAACCAAGTAACAAAACATCTATAGCCTTCAAATTGAAATGTTTATTTCTTTTCTTTTTCCACAAAATGATCAGAAGCCAGTCTCACAAATATAGGTGAAAGCTTCAAACTTGGACCTACTATTCGAACAGTAGGTGTGGTGAGTGGTGACTAATAAGGCAATGCTCAGTCACTTTATATATTTTATAGTTTGAAGGGCAAGGAAGTAATAAAAGAGCACAGCCTTGAATAAATCAAGCTGAATTCTCAGTAAGCAGCAGTTTTTGCTGTGTGTAACAAAAGGAATATATTTCAAAATAATATATTAAGACAACAAGACAAGTAATTCATTACAGGGATGCACCTGAATTCCTGTTCCATCAACTTCTGCAACTTTAATAAATGATTCTCCATTTAAAGGATCCACAACGGTACTCCAGTTTGAAGATCCTACCCATTTACCTTGCACTGAAAGTGAAGGCAATACATTCAGAATGATGATCATGGAAGCATGGCAGAAAGAGTTCTATTAAAAATAAATTTATTGACAAATATAGGTAGTGCAGAAATTTAGAATACTCAGTACCATTCAAACTTTGATGCGTATAAGGAAATGAAATTAGGGAAAAGGTGTTCAACAATCCCTCCTTTTCCATCAAATTCAATTTCTTTGATGAACATAATATTTAACAAACTGCATTAGGATTTCATATATACTTGAAAAGCAGGTTGGTGATCTTGCAGACAAAATCATGGTAAAATAGAGATAGAAAAAGAGCTAAGTTATATGATATCCCTTGTCAATTTTTGCTCACCAAATTTATCTGCAGACAGAAGTACATCAAATTCTTAAGAGTAGTAATGCCTATCTGCAAAGAACAAAAGCATCAAAGGTTGTGGAGCCTACCCAAGTTCAAAACTTCAGCAGGCTTAGAACCTGAAATCTCTTCTGCCTCTACTGTGGCAAATGGCAACGAATGAACGCACCTGCTAGATATTGTAAAATCGAATTTAACTCTCAAAAGGCAAAATAAACTTACATTTAAAGTTGTAGTAATGCAATAAAGTAATAAACTACTTTAAATATTTACAAGAAACATGACCAAAACAACAAAGAATCACCAGTTAAGGCTAATACTTATATCTTGAAAAAAAATAAAATAAAGATAGTAAATTGGATGATATCATAAAATGGCATTTCTATTCTACCATCGCTATGAATTATTTAGCCAGACAATTATGGATTAACAATAAGACCAGAATAATAGTCAATTGGATCTCCAAAAACGAGTAAATTGCTTGTCAATAAAAGATTTATTATGATACTAACAAATCAGCGAACATAATTTTTGGTTTAGTGTTCTACCCTTGCTAAATGTGGAAAAGTACTCAGCTCAGGTAATCGTTCGGTAAAAAGGTTATTCCTCAGTTACTTGCACGGATTAGGTTTTTTCTCCTATTATTATTAGAATTATCACTTTAAAATGTCTTGTAAGATACAGTACTCTTAGGTATATGGTGTTTGTAAGCGGATCATCGACCTAATAAAAAAAATGCAAAAATAATTATTTTTTTAATAATTGATGAGAGACACGCAAGTTGATCGTCGAACGAATCAAGGTGCCACCGAGCACAAATTCCACTCAACTGTTTCACAGGTAACCGGCGGCTATTTCATCTAAATCACAGAACAAGTTGAGTATCGAATTGATCAACGAGTAAAACTATATAATTCCACTACCTAAACGAGGATCAGCATTACGAAAGCAATTGAACAAATTCAAATCCCTAGTCAATCAAAACCAGAAAAAAAGGATACCTAGAGAAATTGAAAGCTGCACAGGCATTGCGGTTGGGAGAAATTGAAACCCTAGCTGCTCTGTTAGCTAAAAGCTTGAACATGGTGATGGATCAGATTCTACTACCCTCACTCACTCCCTCCCAGTCACTTTCAGGTGAGTTCAAAATGAGGGCATGCACTCTCCCCTATTTATTGGTATGAGAGAGAGAGAGAGCCCAAAATAAAAACAATAAAAGTGTGTCCTATCAAATCGTTTGATAATTTCAGAAACCAATGTTCTAGATCCTATAACATGTGACAAACACGTAAAAATGAGTCACTCACAGAATAATATTAACCGGTCATAGTAACACGTGTAGATAGCATGTGGTTCCGTAGTAAGAATTTTGTTTTACATTTTTATTATATTTTTATTGTTTGAAAGGTTTAAATTATTAATTGCTACTGTATTTTTTTATTTTAAATGAAATTTTTGACTTTTCCATATTAGGCTACTCACATCTTATAGTGAACATTTTAAAGTTAAAGTGTGTTGAGAAAACATTGTCTAATTCAATTCTTTTAATACGTTTATAATATGAGCATTTGGTATATAGAAATTGTTTTAGTTCCTCAAAATTATGTATTATAAACTAATATCAATTTTATTAGTTTTTTAAAAACAATAAATTAATTTCATTAAAATTGTTACGAAATGTTTCCGAATTATTAGTGTAATATATACGTATATCGATTTTATTTCGTGATTTAAATAAAGCAAAATAATTTTCATTTATCCAAAAAATATTGCGAACTATATCAATCCTTAAAACTTGTAATTTAAATATATATTACTAGTTTAATTTTAAAAACGAGATCAAGTTAAAGATAGTTACGTAAGAGTGTGTCCGTCGCTGTTAGCGTAATGAACCTTACTTTATTATAATTTTCAAAGTGGATAAGTATCATCTAGTTGTTTTAAAATCATAAAAGGATTGTTATATTCTAAATCCAAGTGTCAGTACCCAAATGTGAGAGTTAGACCTTTTGTGACGTATTATCCTCACTGTTATTTGTGTTTTATGCATCGCACTTAATAATAATAACATGTTTTTTAATATACATTTTATAACTATTCTATTTTTTCAAAAAAATAAATATTTATTTATAACATGAGTGGTTTGTTTTTAAAATATATTTAAAAGTGTATATTAATAAAATTTCCAGGTACAAGCGTGCGCTTAAGAAGTCTTCTTACCAATAAGCCAAAAACTGATTCTCCGTAAGAAATAGTCCATTCCATTACTTAGCAACTGCGAGCGTAATATCATCAACTTCCACTTTTTTGTCAACTTCAAAATAAAATGTGGGCGTTGATTTAGCAAAGTTATAACTAATATTTTTAAAAATTAAAATGATACAGAGGGATCTTGTTGGGAATTTTGACTTCCAACAAATTTTAAAAACACACAACAAATCAAATAATCAAATGGTATTTAACAATGTATTTTGTTACAAGTAGTCTTGGAGTTAAAGTATTAATAACTAAATATAAAAGTACACTATTATGCTTTTTAATTAAAAAACTATTTTAATTTTCTTAACCAACAACACCAAGTTTTACCGCAGTTCATTCATACATGTTAGTAGGACAGATTCAAGTCAGCGATCCAGAATAAATTAATCACTATTATTTCATAGCATAGAATATTTATGATTGAATTAATAAAACATCGTTCTTCTTCTTTGTTGATTAAATTAATTATTTAAAGATTTTTTTATAAAATTTAAATAAATAAAAGTGACATTAATAGACAACGAAGGACGATAGTACTCCTATCCCGTGTCAATTTTGGACCAGCATGATCTATTTATTTTAATTAATCCATAAATTATTTTAGTACTTGTTTAATATTTTTTAAATTGTACATCATCGCTTTATTTCAACTTTAAACAAACTTAATTTAGACAACTATGTTCCACTCCGACTAATATATATTAAGAAGTTATTCATTAATATCTTGTTGAGTCAACTCTACTGATTAATATATAAGTATAAATGACGAGTAAGCGGGATAAATTTTTCATAATATATATGTTACGTCTCTTTCCCATTTTGCTATCTCTTTTCTTTATTGTAAAACTTATTACCAGTCTCATTAAATAAAACAAAAATAATAATAATAAATCAGGTTCACAGGCTAATAAATTTGAACTAAAATTAAATTTTGATTTATTTGTTAGTGGGATATTTGAGTTTAGCTAAATAATTTACAAAAACGCAGCTGATTTGTTTTTTTTTTTTTATTAAATCAATCTACTCAAATCCCACCTGCCTTTACTAACAAAGTATATCTTTTAAGAAACAAATTTTAAAATCATATTACGTATATGCTTATATTTTTTAACCTAATATGTGTATTCGATTATTTTCTTAATTATAATATTATAAATTTTCAATTAAATTATATATAAACTTATAGAAAAGTTTTCTTTGAATCAAGGATTGAAGTTTGTTCTGACCTTAAAGCCGTACAGTTTCATTTTAGTCGTTTTGGACTCCTCTATTTCCAATGTATACTGGTGAGAACCAATACCCGTCCGCCACGTCGGTCCACGTAAACCTTTTCGAATAGAAATTTCTTGGTCCACCTGTGTGTGTGCTTAGGTGTCAGGTTATTTTAGAAACAATTTTTGTTTAAAATTTTAATTTAACATTTTGTATAAATATAAAATTTACCAACTTCATTATTAGATTGATTTTATAAAAAATTAAATTCATATAAAGTTATATAATTCAAACAATAATGAATATTTTATTGAATAAATTTATTTTTATGTATAATTTTTTAAATATAAATAAATATTGATCATGAAATTATATAGTTATAAGTATTTAATTTATTTAAATTTAATATGTAAAATTGATATTATATTATTTGAGATTATAATTATTAAATCAGTAGTTTATTAAAAAATCAAATAAAACAATTTAGTAATAATTTTTTAGAAGAACTTTTATTTATATACTTGTGTTATAGAAAAAAAAAAATTTGTTAACAGTTGTATTATTTAATAATTTTGAAGTTTATGCTCAACTCATTATTTATTATTAACTTTTTATTAAGCTTAATATTTTTAAAGTCTGATTGTTTATTAATATTTTTAATGTTTTATTTTATATTAAGGTTTTTGACAGACTATAAGTCTCTTTTATTAAAAATACTATCAAATCATTTAAATAGGTTTATATTTAAAATAAAAATATAATAATATTACAAAATTTAATTTTTTTATTTTTATATATAATATAAATATATTATTGTATATATATAAAATATCTATATATTATTATAAAATTATTGAACCTTAAACTTAAATTTAACTTATTTAATTAATTAATTTTCTTAAAAAATTAAATTTAATTAATTACTTAAATAAGTGAAAGTAAAAGCTTTAAAGAAGTTGTAACCTCATGTGAGGTACTTTGTTCGACTGCTATTCGTAATATTTAAAAATAATAATAATGATTGCAATACTTATAGGTTTAAAAGTTGTTTTAAGGAAAAATTATCATATAAATACATAGATTAGCAATAACTCATATTATATATGTCTCATAAAAAAGTTTAATTTTAGTTTACTCAAATTATTTAAAAATATGTTCGCTCAAGTGGATATTATTATATATAATCGAACACATTACACAAAAAGGAATAATTACAGATAGTTGAATATATTACTATAATTAAACCATGTAAGCTAATCGTCTTTGCACAAGAGAGAACTGTTGTGTGGAGAACACTCAAAATAAAAATATATCAAAGAGTCAAAAGTTGAAGAAAAATAATATTTAATGTGTGCGTTTGATCTCATCATTTTATATACACATACAAACTTAATTCTAAGGAGCCTTTTTCACTTTTAACACACGGAAGAGGGAAGAAGGAGTAAGAGTTTAGGAATACTTATTTGAATTTTTGTATAAAAATAATTATAAATAAATTTCATCTTAATTATAATATATATATATATATATTTTAGATTTAGCAATCATTATTTTAAAAAAATATATACGAGCATGTAATAATACATAAATATATTTCATTAAAAATCAATAATTAATTTGTGATATTTTATAAATTTAGTAAGCATTTACTATAAAAAATATTATTATACTGTTAGATACCTATAAAAATAGTTTTCATATTATTATTTATTGTGAAATTTATATTAAAAACACTCACTTATTATTCATATGTTTATTTAATTAATATATAACTATTAATTTAATTATTTAATGTTATAAATACTTTAAAAATATAATATTAATTTACGTGTATGATTTTTTTTATTAAATTTTAATCTACTAAATAATGTTATTTATTTATTTATAAAAAAGGTGAGAGTGAGAAGTAGATGAAACATTCATTATTCAATTATTGCTCTTCAGGCTGTATTTGGGGATGCATGACATTACTAGACGTCAACGGAGTTGATCCCTAGATTGTCTCAATGCATAAGCATTTAAACAAAAAGATTGTTATTTTTTGTATATTACATACGATTACCATTTAGAACTACCAAACATGCAAGTGGATTTATTTACTTGTATTATTTTCTATCGTGTTTCTTTTCTTTGATATTTTAATATTTATTATTATATTATATCTTATATATTTAATTAGTAAACAATTATGTAGTAACATTACTATAATTTAATAGTAAAATTTTATAAAAATTAAAATATCATTTATTTTCTTAATCATTATTCAAAATTGTAGAGATTAAAAAATATTAATTTATACCTTTTTAACATGTTATAATAAAAGTTAACAAACAAATTTTTATTTAAAATTATAATATTTAATAATATTATTATATTAAATTTTATGAATTTTCATAAAGTTATTATTAAAAAATGTTATTAGATACACGTAAAAAAATAATTAAATTAATAATACACATATACAAAGTAAATGGCATGGCCATGAAAGTTCAATATTTTATCTCTGTCATTTGCCAACCTAAGTTGCCTTCCTCATTTTCTATGGCTGTGATGACGCAGGACATATACGATGCATTGATATTATATTAACAAGTTGTAATTAAACAAATATGTGACCACGTTACTTAATTACGTAATGGTTAATACAATAATTAATTGTGGTTCCATATGGAATTTATTTAATATACATCAATATAATTAGTTGAATAACATTATTATACTCTCTTAAGTCTTTTCCGTTGACCATTTTATATGTGTATGCGTCCATTTATAGGATTATTATATAATTTGGATTTAAAAGTTCGTTTGATTAGATATATATAGGGTTATCAGATTAATTCTATCTTAAGAATTCGATAATTGAAAAAATTAGGAGGAGAAGAAAGACTCTAAATGAAAGCCATATGATTCTAAAATTTCATATCACAAATATAGTTTATTCATTCTTTCTACTCTCCTACTAAAAACTATATACCATATGAAAACGTGTTTTGAGATGCTGACTCTTGGATATATTAAGTAATTAAAAAAGTCCACCACTGAGATAAATGAAAAAGAAGAAGGAGGAGGCTCAAAATTGATTATTTGTAAACATATTATAAGTTTTAGTAAGATACTATAGTATTTATTTGTAAATTTGTATTTTAAAAAGTTACTGATACTTATTTTTATATTTTTACACGTACTAATTTTGATTCATATATTCGTACTGATTGCCTATCTAAATTTTTATACTCATCTACATTATTTATAAATTATTATAATTAAAATGTCATTTTCAACATGTTTTTTAATTAATAATAATAAATAAATGTTTTTATAAAATAATAATTATTCTTTAAAAATACACAAATAAATTAATAAAAAATATAAACAAGATTATTCATTTACAGTAAAATAAAAATATAATAAGATATTAAATTATAACATAATATATCTACAAAACAACCAAAATATTCATATAAAATTTAATTTTAATTATATATATGCTTATCATATATGTATTTATATTGATTTATTTTATGCATATTAATATCCATAAATGTGCATAAGTATTAAATACCCATGTTGTGACCTAAATCGATTAAATGAATAGTTATCCAATTTATTATAAATATTTGTTTTATAAGCACTTAATGAATATATAATTATATATATAAAAAAAGGCAACTTATTCTGGTTAATATATAACTTTTATTTTGTTAAAGGTAATATAAATTTTATCTAACGGAATTTAAATTAATATAGATACTATAAATTTACGTTAATGGTCTGATATTTAATAATTAATATTACACCTCTATATATATATATATATATATATATAATTGTTTGTTAATGTGAAGCATATTAATAATTTATTTACATCTAAATTAATACAAACTGTATATAATTTTTTTTTTTAGTTTTTTATCTAGTTTAATCAGATCTAATTCAGGTTACATATTTGAATATAATGAGTAAGCTTATCACTAGAGTATATAATTATTTGAATTAAAATTTTATTTAAATAATATTGAGTCGCTTACTATTCAGACCAACTTTCTTAGTATGTATGATTTTTTTTTTGTAATGTATAAATATTTTTAATCTTCAGTTATATAAGTATGGATCAAATTATGTATACCTTAATAACTTCATTTGTTTTGATAGTTTTGTTTTAGTGTTTAAAGTTGTGTAAGGAACATTTTTTTTTTCTTTCAAATTACAAAAATATTACAATTTTTAAAATTTAAAACGATTTTTTTTCTAGAAATGGTAGAAGAAAATTATTACATAAAATGGTCACCATTTTTTGGACTTACAAACATTATACAAGTAGTACCACCCACAAGAAATCATAAAAAGAGGTGAATTTTGAATTTTTCAAAACATAATTCATTCGTATACTCATTCCATCATTCCTTTCCTTAAGTTGTTCTTACGTCAGCGAGCCAAGAAATAGCAAATAGATTATTTTAAAATGGTTTGATATCCATGAACAAGTAGGTGAAAGTTAAAAACCCTAGATATTATTAAGATATAGATTACCATCAATATCTCAGCATGAACGTCCAAAGAAGAATTCTCACAACGCTACTTTGACCCTCCCACCTGTGCTCTTTCTGAGTCTTCTTTTTCTATCTAGATGGTTGTAGTTGGGTCACTTGCAAAACGCGCGGGGAGAGTGAATAGTTGATATTAATGTAACGTTTACACCCAAATCCAAATTTACATTTACTCTCAAATTGGTGCATTTTTTCTCACGCCTATCACTGTTGAGAAAGAAAATGGACAGAGATAAAATTTGTTTAATCTTATATTCTCATTTAAATGGTGTGTATCTATACGCCAAAGGCAAGGAAGTCCCACTTGGTTAAATTGCTTGACTCAAAGAGAAGACTAAGAAATTAATATAGATACATAGAAAAAGGAAAGCCCCGGTCACCGGTGGTGTTGCAAAAAATTTGACCTGAAAACCGTTGTTGTTGTTTGGCCCATGTGACTTTACAAAACGTACGAAACTTCAAAGATGGCCCCAATCACTAATTTTCTTTTTATTTATTTTTTCATTTTAATTAGTCAAATATTTTCAAGAGTCAAATTCTTCATGCAGGCCCTCTTTCTCTAGACACTATATATTAATATAAAAGGAAAGGCTTTGTTTGAAGACCAACAACGCAGAAAGAGGCCAGGAATTAGAAGGGTCTGCGGAGAAGATAGAAAGAATAGCGCTATCTTTCCATTTATGGAGCTTGCTTCGGAGAGATCTGGTGACGGAGGTGGTGGACTCAAGGAAGAAAAGAGAAGTGAGTATAGTGTTGGTGATGAGGAAGGTCGTCATAAACAAGAGACTATTGTTGAGGTGAAGATTAATTCTCTCCTAATTAATATCGAGTTATCTATGGTGCCATCAGTTTTATCTTCTAAATGACAAAAACGTTTCTCCTTCTTAATTTGTGTTGATTTTTCTTAGATTTTATTTTTCTGATCGATTTCTTTCTTTTTTGCATCTGCAATCCATTTTTGTTCAAAATAATCCCACAATTACCATCAAGCTGTATTGGAACTATCTATATGATATGTGTTCTTAAACAATTTTTGTTGGGAATATTTCGGTTTTGTTTATTCATTATCATTAAACGTAAAACGGTCATACGAATACTTTTAAAGCCTACAAGATTTACATAAAATTAGACTGACCGATGAAATATATATTATCAAGTACTGCGTTAATATTATTCGATATTTCGATCATGTTGATGTTGATCACATATCAGCTCCTCAATTCCTTCTCTTTCATCCCTTTTTAATTATCTATATTGATTACATTATTTTCCAAAATTTAAACATATTATTATTATTTGCTTTTTGTGTCTTCAGTAGTGAAATTTTTTTCCGATTATATAATACGAGGCAAAATAATCATAATAAATTCAATTAGGGCATACGAATTAACAGTTAGAGGGTTTAATTTGTTTTTCTTATTAAAACAGACTCTGATTCTCAATTTTGTCTTATATCTTCATCATCCTCACCAGTAACAAATTGTTTATCCTAAAATCATAATATATATAACATCAATCTTTAGTAGTTATGCTTGCTATAATGCATAGTAAAAAATGTAAATACCTCCAAAATAATTTATCTCTGTGAACATTATCTACAACCTGACAAGTACATATATTAAAATAGTATTGAACTAGTCAACACCAGAAGATAAGATTTATATTAGAAAGAAGCCATCGATTGAGAAAGCAAAACACATGTCTAATCAGGGATGTAATTGGCAAAAATCTATTGGAGATATTATCAATTTTTGGCACATATAGCTACTATAAAGGGTTTAAATAATTAATCCACGCCTTTGATGACAGTTGACCCATGCAAGTGGCTGATATAATAACTCCTGAGATCTAAAACATGATAATTCACCCTGCACATGCAAGTAAACCCAATTGATTCTCACAGGGCAAAGAAATTAAAAACGGAAATTTTTTTCAGTTTCTCACATATACAGTTCCTCATTCAATACAATCATTTCCATCCTTGATTCCACTATTTGAATTATCATTTTCCTTTTTAATATATATCGATATTGAGAAGTACTCCCAAATTTTCTATTTTATTTGGAAGGAACAAGCTAAGGAATAAATATATTAAGGCCAAATTGGCAACAACCTAATTGTATATATGCCTGCATCCATGAAAAATATAGAGAAAAGCAATAATTACGGAGAAATTGTATTTGATTTGTAAATGTATATTAATATTGATATTAATTTGGTGATTGCTGGTGCGATATAGGATGAGCCACCCATTGCTAATACCGAAAGATTCACACTGGAGGCTGGACCAAGCACATCGTCAAGCAAAAAGGAAGAGGTTAAATTTATTATGATACAACGATTTTTTTCTTCTTGTTCTCATTTTCACTGTTTAAGAGTTATAGAAACTAGTTTTATATAAGAATAGTTAGTACTTATATCATATGTACCAATGGGGTTGTAGGTTGATGATCAGATTGAGACTACTAAAGCCGAAATGAGCGAAGTGCAAGAAGAAAATCAACGGCTAAAGATGTCTTTGAACAAAATAATGAATGAATATCGGACACTAGAAAGGCAATTTCAAGATATAGTTAAGCAAGGAACAAAAAAGAATGATGATAAAGGAAATGGTAACCATCAAGAAATAATAGAGGAATCAGATCTTGTTTCCCTCAGTCTAGGAAGAGTTCCGAGTAATCCAAAAAATGATGAGAAATCCAAAGTTTCTAAACCAATGAAGGATGAAGGGTTTAACGAAGAGTTGACTCTTGGACTAGATTGCAAATTTGAAACATCAAAATCGGGAAGCACTAGCGAAGCTTTGGCAGATCCAAGTCCAGCAAATAGCTCTGAAGTGCCGAAAGAAGAAGCTGGGGAGACTTGGTCACCCACTAAGGGAGTCAAGACAACGAGAGATTCAGAGGACGAAGTTGCTCACCAAAATCCTACCAAGAAAGCTAGAGTTTGCGTCAGAGCAAGATGTGACACTCCAACAGTATAACTCTTCTCACAGCTCATTAATTCCATTTGGCATTTATCTTTTAACTTTAACTTTTACGTTCTTATACTCACTTTCTCTTATATCTTTTTTTTTTTCAATCTATCTTTTTCTTCTTTTCCATCATATCTTTTATCACCACTCTCTTATATTTTTCCCTACCTGTCCTTCTTTTTCTACCCATTTAACATTTAAAATTTGGAGTCAAATGATCATTTTCCTTTCAACTTTGACATACCGCGCAAATAATGGTATTTTGCAGTTTCTACGTTTTACACACTTCTCCTTACCTTATAAAGAAAAAGAATAAAAGACTTACTCCTTTTTCAAAATTAAGGATGGGAGAAAAATATTTAGATCTTTTTAAATATTTTCTGTTTTTACTAGTTTCTATGCGTGGTGTCTCTAAATAAAAATTATCCACAAACAGCCGTGATATAAGAGGGGTGTCAGAAAAAGAAAAATATAACGTGAAAAATGATAATGTTTGGAGACATATATAGAATTATAAACTCGTGAACAGTTTCAAAATATAGAAAGCTATTTATTCATGTTTTGATATTTCTTGAAACAGATGAACGATGGATGTCAATGGAGAAAATACGGACAAAAGATCGCAAAGGGAAATCCTTGCCCTCGAGCTTACTATCGTTGCACAGTTGCACCATCATGCCCAGTAAGAAAACAGGTATCTATCTACCTATACAGACATTACACTCATTGCCATTGAGTTTCAATTCATCAAAAATTCGAAATTCTTTTGTGACTTATAGAAACACACTATCAAAGAAAAATGCAGCCTCGTGTACCTAAAAATTGTTATATTGACTTCAGGTGCAAAGATGTGCTGAGGACATGTCCATTTTAATCACCACCTACGAAGGGACTCACAATCACACTCTTCCACTTTCAGCTACTGCCATGGCATCCACAACTTCCGCAGCTGCTTCCATGTTGTTGTCTGGTTCATCAAGCTCTCTCTCTGGATCAATACCTTCAACAACCACCACTGCTCCTAATACTCTCCATGGCCTCAACTTTTATCTCTCAGATGGTTCCAAATCAAGGCAATTATACCTGTCCAACCCTGCACTATCATCTTCACCTTCACATCCAACCATCACTCTTGACCTCACTTCAAACCCATCCTCTTCCTCATCATCCCCTTTTGTTAGATTCACTTCAAGCTACAACCAACCCAGGTACCCTTCTTCCACAAGCCTCAGCTTCAGTTCCTCCGATTCCAATGCAATGTCTTGGAGCAACGGGTTCCTCAACTATAGTACTCAACCATATAATAACAACAATAGTAATAATAAGAGTAATAACCTTAGCACTTTAAACTTTGGAAGACAACAAATGGAAAATATCTACGAATCCTACATGCATAAGAACAGCAACTCAACCGTCCCTCAAGGCGCTCTACCAGATACTATATCTGCAGCAACCAAAGCGATCACAGCAGACCCAACTTTTCGATCTGCTTTGGCAGCAGCACTTACTTCATTTATTGGGGCGCAAGGTAGCATTGGAAGCACGCAAGGAAATCAAAGTGTTGGAGAAAATTCAAGTCAGAAAATGAAATGGCCAGAGGCTTTTCCTGTGTCTAATTCTACTTTGTCTTCTTCAAATTCCAAAGTCAATGGTTGTGCATCAAGCTTCTTGAACAAAACGCCAGCAAATACACAGACCACAAGTTTGATGCTTCTACCACCGTCTACTTTGCCGTTTCCTACCTCCAAAAGTACTTCTGCATCTCCTGCGGAAAATAGCGACACTACCAGTTAATTGGTGATATATTTCTCTATATAGCTATAGCTAGGTAGCTACTATTTTTCCCTTGCGTTGAATTGATGTAATTAAGATGCTAAGTAAAATTTAGCATAGACGCATAAATAAGAAACGTATATGTTTTTTTTTCCCTTGATTTAGGGATGAAATTTGATATCCAACATTGAATCACAACTGCACTGTTAGGGTTGGCTTAAAAAGAAGTTTTTTTAGCAGTGGTACGTACGTATATATGAAGATGCTGTGATGTATAATACACACACGGGATCTCGAGCACAACCCAAAATCATTTTTTCTTAATATTCTTATTAGTATAAATTATTCAATCTAAAAATATTACTCGCAATTAATTTTGATAGTTGGATTCAAGGTGGTGTTGAATAAGATGAAATGATAGCTACGAACCAGTCAATAATCTAAGAATTCATAACAAAAATTACGTGCAAAACTAATTTTATTAAAATTAATAAAATGTTTAACACATTTACATATCTAATACCCAAGTTTAACATTGTTGATTAAATTAAAATTATTATTATCAATTAATCCACAGATTAACAGTGATTGGTGAAATAAATTGACAAATCAATCGAATGAGACTGACCGATTAGATTGAAAATTGAGAATGTTAGATAATTAATTTGAATAGTTTAGAAAACTAATAAAACAAAAAAAAATAAATCAGTTAATGACTGATTAAATATTTGGACTAAAGACTGATTTGGACTTTTTTCTAATATATTTTTAAAAAACACGGTTTAACATATTTTTTTAAAATAAATTACTAATTTTTTTAAGTACTACACATGTATTATTAAACTATAATTTATAATATATTATACAATCATTTCAAAATTAAATAAATTTTTAAAATATTAAAAATAATAAATATTTATTATACTAAATAAGACTAAAATTAAAGAAATAAAATTTTTAAAATAAAAAATAAATTAACAAAAAAGTAAGATTAAATTTTAAAAAATGTTTAATGTAAGAAAAATCATTTATTTTATTTAAAATTGTTCTTGAAAATATATTTGTTTAATAATCTATGATGATCTTGCATATAAAGATAGATAAAGCTACATATATGAGATTTACACATAAATTATTATTATTAATTATATTTTATTTAACTATTCATAATTGTGAGATTTAGTCTTAGAAACATTATTTACATTTTACAAACTTGAGTTTGTTTAGTTTTTTTGTAACTATATTTGTCTATTTAAAATATTTTTAATTGCCGCGTATCTCTTCAAAATGCATTATAATATTAAGGGTTTTTTTTGCATAATATAATATATATATATATATATATATATATGTGTGTGTATGATGGAATAAAAGATAATATAAAATTTATACAATTATAGAATTATATAAATTAGTGATATTTAAAAAAATTAATGATTTAATTAATTTTTTAACAATACCAATAAATATTATATAGTGAGTAAACTAAATTAATGTAAAAATTCAAATAAAATAATAGTAGTCTGGTATACGATAAACTAAAGGACCATTTCACACTTAGGTCTTAGCAGCTATTTCTCACACTAAAAGAAAAAAAAAACTACTTTTATAAGAGAGTGGAGTTACTTGTCATCTTAGTTTCTTCTTTTAATTAAGAGGTAAATTACTTAAAGAATCGAAGCAACTATGTTTATTTAATTTTTGTGTAACAATTCTTTGCGTTATAAAAATACTCAATATATAATCACATAGTTCATTTTATGCTTTTATGATATCCCTGTATTGCACAGATATGAGGGCTTGTTTCTTTCACATTTAAAATGATTTTAATAATGCATAAAAATAATTTCTATATATTTTAAAAAATAGTTAGGATTATAACATCTTTTTGGAGTTATATGATTAAAACAACTTTCCAAAACTTAAGTAAACATATTATGTTTTTTTGTAAAATAACCTTTTGAAAAAATTATATAAAATCCGAAACAAAAATCACAAAAATAGTTTTGTATTGATTTTGTTTTTCATGTAGCTGTAAATTGTCGTTTGTGAAATTACTTTCTTGGATAAAATGAAAAATAGGTAAGAAATAAATAGAAAAATATGTGTTGTTAAGCTTAATAAAAATAGAAGGTATAGAAAATCCCATATGGTTTCTCACACCATTACCCAAAATCACAAATCTTTTGTGAGAAAATAAAATTGTAAACCCCACATTAATGCTTTTCTTCTTTCTACTAAAAGATGATGTTGTCAAATCATAGGAAAGATTTTATCACACTGGAATCATAAGTCGAATTCTCTTTCACATAATTTTCTTTGCATCCAAACAATACCTTAATGCAAACTATTCATGGAATGGAGATGTGATAGGGATACTTGATCTAGATTGTGGATACATAAATCAATGTGGATTAAAAGAGTTTAACCAGTGCCACACACACTAGTTCCTCTCTCTGTCAATCGTTGTAATACTCCATAAATCTGATAAACAACTATGAAAGTCCACTATACGATGTTACTTACGTTGACTAAGACCTATCTTGTCCTATTTCAGAGCCAAATTTAACGACCAAATCATGATATGTCTCGAGAGTTGGTGCTGCTTGTTTGTGCAGGATCCAAGGGTATGTTCAGCGGAAAGACAAAATAGAGAAAAAGAATAAAATAATAATAATATATTATTTGAATAAATACAAATAAATTTATTTATTTTTTAAAATCAAAACAAGTATTTGCTAATATTGTGCACGTGAAATCATAACAGTCTATTAATTGGTAAAAATCAATTAAACAAAGCTTATATATGCATAGATGTTCTTCTTGTACACACAATTTATTGTAACATTTTAGTTGTCTCATAAAGATATAAACGATCAATAAGTCTTAAAATAACTTTTGAAATTATATTATTTTTATCCTATTGATAAAAAAAAAATACTTAATTCATTGACATTAATGAATTTTATTTATTATAATTGAGATAAACACACGCATAAGTAATGAAAAGATAACAAAAGTTCCCCAAGGGGATGTAGCTCAAATGGTAGAGCGCCCGCTTTGCATGCGGGAGGTACAGGGTTCGATCCCCTGCATCTCCAGAGAAGTAGGTTTTACAGCTACCTAATATTTTCATTATATATTATTATCATTTTTTCTATTTAATATTTTCGTCCAAATCCACGCAAAAAAAAGTTAATTCTTATGACCTCTCTTTACGCTAACTATTATAAATTGAAGCAATTTTTTAAATTTATATTGTGATATTGATCTTACAAAAATAAATAAACCTTACCAGTTTCTCCAAATGAACCAATAGTGTCACAGGGATTTGTTGTACATGATAGTGGAAAGTGTCACTCTCATTCCAATCTTATCAAAACTCTCCAGTCCCCACATAATCGATCGCATTAAATATAACAATAAAATTTAATTTGCCTAAATAGAAAATGAAGTATACTTGGTTCAAGTCAACTTGTCTAACAAAAAATCACATCTTCTCAAATAATAGTTTCAATTGTTTAGATTTATTTAAAAGACATTTTTTTCAATCTAACCAATGATTATTCATTTTATGAAAATATAATATTTAATATAACTTTTTCTTTCTAACATTTCCTTGAATATTAAGATATTCCGAGCATAGAAGTAAGAGCTTTGAATGGGAGAAATATAAGCAATTTTATCCTGCTTCAATGTCAGAAGATTTCTTAGGTTGATTTTGGACCAGTTAATTAAAAATTTTAAAGAATTTAAATTGTTTAAATATTTAAATTAAATCGTTTAAATTTTATTATTTTAAACTATTTTATTTGGATAGAATAATTGGGTATCCTTCGTTTTAAATATTTTTATTTAGATAAAGTAACTAAATTATTCACATTTTAAAAAAAGTAAAATTATCACTTTGATAAAATTAATTAAAATTATACAGTTTAAATTATTGAATTAATTATACCTGAAAATGAATGAAATAGACAATAAATAAATAATTTATTCTTCACTCTTTTCGTTAAAATTTATATTTTTTAATTTTAATCAATTAAAAATTTCTAAAAAATATTAAAATTTTAAATTTTTTGAATTTCAATATTCAAACAACAATTTTTAATCTATAAAACTATAATTTTTAAAATTATTTACTTAAAACATTTCATCTAATCACACTCAACCGATAAATTTAAATTTCTCTAAATTAACTTAACTTTTACAAAATAGAACGTGAAATTAAAGTATGATAAAATTTGTGTAAGTTATACTAATTTTCATACTTTTGAATAATTTAATTTTAAAATTAAAAAACTCAGTTACATATTATATATATATATATATATATATATAATTTGATGTTTTTAAAAATATATATATTTGATAATAGCAATATATATATATATATATGTGTATTTCATATTTTATTTATACTTATTAAAATTAATATAATATATAATTTTTAAATTTTTAAAAATAAAAATCATTTGATAATAATCTTATAAATATTAATTTAAAAAAATACAATATAAATAATTTAAATAATATATAATTATAATTTAAATATTTGATTAATATTTGTATATTAAAATATTAAACAGTATAATAATGCGTGTAATTATATCAATATAATTTGATATTATGTATAAGAATTGTTATATTTTAAACAGAATACTAAGTGTTTAAATTTTTTTTTTTTAAGTTGCATAAAAATAGTCAAATTAATAAAATATTTTTTTATTGTTTCTTATATAAATATATTTTTCAAAATCAACTCAAGATAAAATTAAAATTATATATTTTTTATTATTTTAATAATAATATCTTATAGAGCTAATTTTACACATCTAACAATTAATAATATTTTTACTAAAAAATAGTTATTAATTTTTTTATTTTAAATGTAATGAATTATTTTTCAACCCTTTTATTGCTTAAAATAAAAAAAGTACAAACTTCATCTTTAATTAAATTTAAAAATCAACAATAAATTTTATTTTTTCTAAAACCAAATAAGTTAGCATAACATTGACTAAACTCTAGTAATCTTAAATAAAAAGCAGCTCAACTTTAGATTTTGAGAATTAAGATCAAGAGATATATTAGTAATATAATTCTACTATTAATTAAATTTTTTAAAATTATATGTAAAATTTATTAAATGAAATGGAAATTTATATTGTTTAGTCTATTTTAATAAATTTCAATTAATAATAAAAAAGTAGATGTAAACAAATGATTAAGAAAATCAGTTAAAATTTTAAAAATTAAAACAAATTATTAATATTTTTTAATTTCTAGTTCACTTTATCATGATTTTAATATTTTAAATTTTAAAAATTTTCAGCTAGAAATTTCAAAATAATAGTTAAGAACATCCTAATAAAAAGCATGTTAAGAAATTATGCTATCACTTTTACTCTCAAGATGAATGGACGTTGATTAATTAATTATAAAATGTTAAAAATTATTATTATGTTTCAAAATAAAATGTTGATTAATTAATTATAAAGTTTATTACAATTAAGTTGATGAATAAAGTATAAAAAAAGAGAAAGACTAAAACAGAAAGATATTTTTAAAATATATATATATACACATACGATATATTAAGCTGAGAGTGGGGAAGGTTGATTAGACTGCAATACATTAACAAATACAGCACGCATCCAAATTCTGAGAATGCATATTGAAAGATCGAAGCAATAACTTTTTCTCTGCCGCCACGGGTTTGGATCCCACACCCATAACCCTTCATCCATTGAATGATCTTGCTTTTCCCTTTCAATCTTAATCCGACTCATACATAACGGGTGACTCAATTTCTTTCTTTTTTTCCTCCTTTTTCAATTAAATTGTTTTTTTTTTTTGGGGCTTTTGTTATCATTTGTTAATTTTGTTTTGTCGTATGTTCGAGTTTATAATTTTTATGTCCTGGACGGTGGATGATTGATTCCGAGGGTGGATCTGCATTAAAGCCCCTTTCTTCTTTATGTTTCTTGGAATTTCCCACTGTTTCTTGATCTGGGGTTTTGTACTCTGTTGCCGACGAAGCTGTTGTATGAGAAATGAGACTAGTGGGGATTTTTTATTTTTATTTTTATATTATCATTATTATTTGGTGTGAAATTTTTGCCCTAGGAATGATTGTGGAAATTTTGCGGAGTTGAACTTTCTAATTAAACGTAAAGGGTTTCAAAATGTGCTCTCAATCTTATCCCTCATTTTGCACGTTGTATGCTCTTTGCGTACAAAAATGAATTATGGTTTGTTCTACTGGTGGAATCAGAATCGGCCTGTTGGTTGGGTGTGTCTCTTTGCAAATAGTGAACTAGGTTCTGCTGTGCGTGTGTGTGTGGGCGCGTTTTGTTGTAAAGAAAATTGAAGTCATTTTCGTTTTCGCTGTGGTGGTTGGTTTTTCATGGTGGTAGCAATGTCGACTCCTGCTAGGAAGAGACTCATGAGAGACTTCAAGAGGCTGCAACAAGACCCACCTGCAGGAATCAGTGGAGCGCCCCAGGATAACAACATAATGCTGTGGAATGCTGTCATTTTTGGGTGAGTTGAATTCAAATTGGATAAATATGCACTGCTCTGTTGCGTAATATAGTCACTTTGTTTTATTTCATTTTTTCACTTTGTTAAAGTATGGATGGATAAGCAATTTCTGCTTTCTTGTCTGCTTTGGATTGCAGTCCTGACGATACTCCATGGGATGGAGGTGAGTCTGTCCTTTTGCTATGGCTCCTACCTGGAAACAAATTTGATATATGTGTCAACTAAGTTTTTCAGCCATCTCGTGTATTATATGCACTTTTAATGATTCTGTTGTATTAGAATATTTGATGAGCTTGCTTTGTATATGGTATTAGAATCATGTTGCAAAGAATGTCATATCCCTTCCATCCTCTAAAAGATTTTGGGAAGCTCTCAACACGTCACCAACTTAAAAATTGAGATTTTTTGTAGAACTGACATGTAGATATTCCTTGATGGTATGTTGTGGTTTTATTTCTCTCGTGTTTTTGGTTTCCAATTGGTGAAGACTTGGCTGTTGGTGTTTTGTTTTCAGTTTGCAACATTAATTACTCCCTGCAGTTTTTTTATAAGACACTTTCACTTAAATCATATAGATTAGGACAAGTTGTTGAAAGTAGTTGATGTATTGTTTTTTGAAAAATTAATTACAACATTCTAAGTTCACCCCTAGTTAAGGTTGAATTCTATCACTATATTAATTGTTAAGAAGTTAGAAAGGTTAAATAATGTAGGGCAAATATGTGAAAAAATAATGAATGCTCCTAAATCTGTGTAAAGGGTCTTATATTAAAAACTAACAAAATCTTTAAAAGGTTCTTATATAAAAAGGAGCGAGTATAATTCCTAGCATGTCTTATTTATATGCTGCATATATTTGTGTAGGAGATTGCATTTACATTTACAATAGCGAGATATATTCTGTTAGACTATTTGGCTGATTTTTTTTACAGCATGAGCTTTGTTGTACTTTAGTTTTGAAAAGTTAAATGAAATTTGGGAGCTCATGGATGGGTAGTCTCTATGTATATTGAATGTCAATTTTGTCACTTAATATTATCATATTAGATATATTTACATACTACATGTCTACATATTTTGAGTTATTCAGGTACGTTTAAGTTGACTCTCCAATTTACTGAGGATTATCCAAACAAGCCACCAACTGTACGATTCGTCTCTCGAATGTTTCATCCAAACAGTAAGTTTTAGGTGGAAAAAATTATTCCTCTTATCCATAAATTACCTATCTAGCTACTAATGTCATTTTTCTACTCTGGGAAGTTTATGCGGATGGAAGTATTTGTCTGGATATATTACAAAATCAGTGGAGTCCTATATATGATGTAGCTGCCATACTCACTTCTATTCAGGTATTATCTTCTAAAGTATATATGATTTATCACAAAATCAGTGGAGTTCTATATATTACAAGCATGCATATTTACATAACTAACACTATTGAGTTTTGGAATCTGTGCGTTGTCACACCAAAACTTTGCACAAATTAATGCAAAATCCTGTGGCTCTGCAAATTACTTATTCCTTTTTGTGGATTGAAGAATTATCTACTACAAGGCATTACGGCATTACCTTTCATTTTAAATGTCCCTTTGTTTGCTGATTCATGTCTTGATCACTTGATTTTTTAACTTGGCTTTGCCTTTTTCACTATTAATTTTACTTTTTCAAACGAAGTTTGTAATATGCAATTCTGAACTTGAATTTTCTAAAAGATTATCATTGTCTTCTTCTCTTTACAAATCATAAGGCACATTGCTTTGTTGTACTGGCTCTCAATTTTAAATTATTCTTATATTGTCTGCCAGTCCTTTCTTATCCAATTAAATATCTGATCTCATTAACCACAGAATTTTAAGCCTTGAAGCCTTTTATTAAAAGTGTTTGTTTACTTAGTTTCCTTGTTTGTGCTAAGGGCCTGGCTGCCTGTAAGAGGTTTTTTAGGTCTGACATGCAAAGAGATCGCATTGCTGTTCTGATCTGATGACATTTTTCCAATTTTCTTTCTTTCATGCATCTTATAGCTACAAGCTATCATTGGCACATACATGAATTGTTTTACTCAAATTTCACTCTGTCAGATTAATATTTACACAATAGCAATTTTACTCTCAATATTTCTATCTTGCACTATGTTCCCCGATTTTTTTTCTTTTTTCAGAACAAGTTAGAGATACTGGTGCCAGTATGCTCTTATTGTGAGAGTGCACACCACTTAATAAAATGACAATGTTTGCCATTCTCAGAGTCCAGGGTGGTTGAGAAGTCCAGTTTTTTTTTTTTTTTTTGTGTGTGTGTGTGTGTGTGTGTGTGTGTACGACCATATTGCTGTCTTCTTGATTCTACTATTGGATATCTCGATATTGTATTTGAAAGTTTCTGGGGAACATTTTTTCCATGTTGAAATAGAATATCCTCATGCAGTTTTTTAATTGATTCATTCCCTGCTATGGTAGTAGTCAGGATGTTATTATAATTTTCTGAAAGGTAATTATTACTTGTGGCAGTCATTGCTTTGTGATCCCAACCCAAACTCTCCTGCGAACTCAGAAGCAGCTCGAATGTTTAGCGAGAACAAGCGTGAGTACAATCGAAGAGTGAGGGAAATTGTGGAGCAGAGTTGGACAGCTGACTAGGCCAATCTTTATGTGGTTGTGGGCCGTTGAAGACATGAATTAGGCTGCATTTCTACATATAAAATGACCGTGTCAACCTACCAAATTTTATGTCGTATTCCTTACTGTTCTGAATGTTAGGATCATCTTATCTTTAATTCATTGTAGTTTATGCATTGTTCATGTCAGTTCATGTAAAATAGAGTTTTCTGTCAATTTGCATCAGATTGTTCTCAACACGGTTCAATGTATAAGTTGAAGTTTCCTGAATTGGTTATGATCACAAGAATTTATAAACTACGTTCAATTTCATTTACATTGTATGGTTTCTCTGTCACATCGTAACTTATATCCTGTTTTCAACCTCGTATTGTGACCTGAACTGACATTTCTGCCATGTGATATTGGGTGATCAATCTTACACGAGATATAAGTTGTTTTCTGATATATTATAATCACAAAGATTTAGGAAAATAACTTTTATATCATTTCCATTGTATGGTTTTTCCTCTGAAGTTGATGTTTCTGATCGCGAATGAGGTGATTAATTATTTGCTATTTAGAATTCCCTTCCTTTGAATAATATTTGGTTTTGGTTTCGATGTTACTAGTCTGATGCGATGTATGATTTTATTACTATTTGTTTCAAATAGATAGTAATTTACGTGATGGCATATTGTATGAGATAGGCATATTTTAGACGAGACGGTATGCTGAAGTTGGCTCGCAGTCATGTATGTGAAAGGTGGAGAGGAGTTGCTAAAGAGGGATTTAGCTCATTTAAGAGTAATAGAATAAATTAGTATTTGAAATAGTGAGCACTAATTTAGTCTTATAGATAATTGTTTTAATTTAATTTAATTTTAATAACTGAGATGTTCGTTGTTTGGTAGTTGGGAGTAAAACAATTGTTTTGTAATGTTAGGACTTAAAATGATAATTTTAGAAATTAAATTGTTAGTATTCAGAAGTTTAGGAATTAATCTGCTGCACGGTTAGTGATGTAATTAAAACGTGAGAGATTATGAGGATAAGTGTTAGTACTGAATCTATTCTGACTAAGGATTGAACATGCAGTCGATTAAATTGAGAAATAGGTTGAGCCTGGTTTCTTTAAAGTGAGTCTTCTTATTGTAAAATGATTTCATCTTTTACCTTTAAATTTTTATTGGTTGAGATATATCATTTTTCTTCTTGTTTTATCTCAATACACCGCAATATCTAGGGGATATATCCAAATATGATCGTCTAAATTTCACTTATTTGCTTATTAAGTCTTTTGAGTGTCTATTTTTATAAATAAACTTTTCACCATTCATCAACAATAAATATTGTCAAAATCAAGATTGTAAAACAAGAATGCATAGTTGTTTTTTTACACCAAACAAATAAACTGGGCACAGCAGGGTCAAAGACTCAGCAAAATGAGATTATTGAAAATTAAAACACGATTTTTTTTTCTTCTTAAGCTCTGGTAAAAATATTCTCAGCTCAGGTTAAAATACTATTATAGCACATTTTTAACTCATGTTCCCCCCAAAAATCAGAAAATGTTGGAATTCATATAAATATACTAGAAGAAATAATTACAAATCATGCAAATTTATGTCGGAAATCTATATAAATATTATAAAAAGCACATATAGACACGACAAACCATGATATTGAAGACAGTTTGGTTTGATAAACGATATTATGTTAGGACACACAAAATATGCCAATTGCCAAACACTGCAGAGAGGCAAACGGTGAGAAAACAATTTTCATCTGTCTTCCTGTAGAGAGACAAACTGCACACGCGTAAAACACTGCAGACAAACAAAGTTTGAGAATGAAAAAAATTCATAACTGCAAGCTTGTTCACCCGACCACTTCTGTCAAACTGATCTCATCAGATTCAGGGGTCTGAACGTCCAATGAAAGAAGCAATACGTTAGCCATATATTCTTTTCTTTTACACTAGAAAATAAAAAGTTGAATTATTAATTTAGTTTCTAGATTTAGTCCTTGTACGAAAATGTTTTAACAAACTGGCTTAACAACTATTTATTAAAATTATAACAGAATATATTTTTCTTGGAGTTATCTTAAAAGGATAAAAAAAAAATATTCATATGTAAAAACTAAAATATAAAACTTCTATAAAGTGGAAAATAAAGAAAAAGTAATTTAAAGTATAAGGATCAAATTTAACACCTGTTACATGAAAGTTAAAACGAAAAACGGTGCATGAATAGTAAATTTATGATTAAGCCAGATAGAAGTTACACTCCATAGTGACTTACCATATTTTCTTTGTTTGCCTGTAGATTATCTTCAGCACTTGTAGGACTGATCGGAACTGTGAAAGCAAATAATCATACGAAGGCATTAGACTAACCAAACTAAAAAATTTCGTTAGTATAAAAAATGAAATATTGCTGCTCCCTTGCCTTCTTTGACATCAGACTTCTTTCCCTTCTCCTTATTTGTTTGTTGCTTAGTATGTTTCTCTGATTTTTTAGCTAACCTACGATTCCCACTGCCAGAAGCAGATCTTGAATTTGCAGTGTTCTTTCTGAGATTTTCTCTCAACCTGGATGCATCATTATTCTTTTGGCTAGTTTCCTTCACAGCAGGAGCAATAAAAGCAGTGTTACACTTGGGTTTCAGTTTTGCAGTATCCATGGTAGACGAAGAGCAGCAATGCACTTCATCATCAGAGGATCGAGTTCCCTCTTCTGGCACTAGTGAAATGCTTTCGGACACTTGGGTCTGCTCTATAGTTTCTGCAATATTATAGCTTTCAAGCAGTTCTTTCACTGGTTCTCCAAGTTCAGTTAGCTGATTTCGCCCCACATAAGATTTTAGCTCATCTTGCATCTTCTGAAAAGGCTATTTTTGATGTTGAACAAAAAAAGCTTCAATTAATTAATGGGCATATAAAGATAGAGCTAACTGCTGCAATCCATAAGAAAATAAATAGATATATTTGAACTACAAAAGTTAACAATTTTTTTTTATTACCAAAAGTTAACAATGTTCGTGTGTTTGTATTTTGCGTTGCTTATTGATATACGGGGGTTTACCTCACATCCTGCCTCCAAAGCAAGTTTGAAGAATCCTAGTGAAAGTGAGTGTTTGGCAGCGGATTCAGATAGCTTAATCTGGCTTAACCAATATGAAGAAGAAGACAGGAGATTGAACTTCATTCGGCTGGATGTTCTGGGAATGTCAGAAATGGGTGTTTGGGTTCTGCTTTGAGAAGCTTGGCTATAACCAGACCTCATTGTTCTGGTCTCTGAGATTGGAGTAATGTTGCCAACCAGCTTTGGGCTCAGAGTGGTAGATGCTTTGACTGGAATGGAGAGCCTTCTTGGTGGTTTAGCACTAGTAGACTTGTCCTTGCCAGAGAAATCAAGAACACCTACACTTCTGCTTACACTTGGAGTACTTGTCCCTCTGAAAATGAAAGCGAGAGTTTTTGTAACATACTCCAATTTCACAGTTCACATGCACACTCATACCACGAAATTTTTATTTTTTCTTCATGTTGCCTTGGGAGGAGACAGAGCACACAGCAAGGTAATTACAAAGTAGTGTAACGTTAGAACAACTCAGAGATGCAACTGTACAGGTAGATATAGCCATTAGAATTAGTAGACTATTTATTTTTGTTTTTGATTAAAGAGGGGGCATAGCCCAAACAGAAGAAAATTACACAAATGATTTGGAGGTAGGAAATTACACTGAAATAAACTAACCTAAACTTCCTGGAAGGATCATTAATCATAAGTAGAACTATTTTGAAAACGTATATACAACAAAATTTATATATATAGAAAATATATACAACGATTTTGAATTTAAAAATTCATTAAAAATTTATTATACTTCAATAATATAATAATTTTAATGTAATAAATATATTTTTCTTAAATTGTTATACTTCAATTCTAAGTACTACTTTTAAGTATTTTTTTACTACTTAAATTTAATCCTTCACAAAACCTTTATTTAAAAAGCTGAATATTTTGTTATTTTATAGAAAGACAAAAATATAATAAATAATTGCAACTTCTCTTCGCAAAACAAAACAACGAATTACAAGGTGTCAATTTGAGACTCATAACACAGATCAACCTCTTGTTCTTTTAAAACCATTTCCAATGCTGAAAATTGTGCTATTGATGATGAAATCAAACAAAAACATATGAAAGTACCTTTTAGATTCAGAAGAATTGGAGAAATCGGGTTTGTTTTCCTTGAATTTAGAAGAACGAAGTGCGTATCTCTGAAGCTTGGGTCTCGCAGAGTTCCCTGAAACATAAGCACCCGATTAAACTGTCACTACTGCCTCTGAACATTGGCATGCATAAGAGTGAACTAGATTCAATTGAAAGTGTACCAGAAACACCAGCAGAGGGAGGCTGTTCCTTGATGGGCTCTTCCATTGTCTCGTTCTGAATTTACGACACTCGTTTTTGAGATTGGAAGCTTCTGTTCTGTAACTGCTCTGCTTGTGTTCTATGTTTGACGATGATTTAAATTTATTTATATGGTTGTCTGCTTTGGACACGTGTCTTGGGAGCGGGAAAATGCAATGCAAAACTCAAAATTTGCTGCTACACCGTCACCGAACAGTAACTGTAACGGGAGTTCGCTGACGTGGCAGAGAGAGTTTGGTTTTGGCAAAGTGGGAGGGACCCATTTGCCATGTGTCGTGGGTGGTGCATTCGAATTTCAAATTTCAAAACGCACTCGCTGTTATTTATTCGGTCTTTGTTCCATTACGCCTCGTCAATAACTGCTTTACGGTTTTGCTTATTCACGAATTCTCAACCCACCTTCTGCACAAACAAATAAAATAAGGTTACTGCTACAGTATCAGTGGAGTTTAGTATTTTTTTTATATGTGAAATATTTTTCATTAATAAATAATAAAATCAGTAATTTAATTAAAAAATATCTTAATATTTTTTATTTTTAAGATAATAAAAAATTATAATCATTAATTTAAAAATATATATAATATTTTTTCAAATTTTCAAGTACCATAATAAATATTATTTATTAAAATTGTAATTTTTTATTATTTTAAATATTAAAAGATACTAATGTTTTTATGTATAACAAAAGTTTTAAGATTTAGAGTTTAAAATTTAGAATTTAAAATTTAGTAAATTTTACATAAAATAAATTAAATATTAATGAGTTAATTTATATATATATATATATATATATATTACTTTTTTTATATTTTAGAAGTAGGTTAAAACTTAAAATTGTCTCTTATATAAAATGCTTTAATTATAGTCATTAATTATTTTACTTATAAAAATAATTATAATTAATTTTGGTATATATCAATATTTAATTGACTTTAATATATGAAAAAAAGAAGTAAACTGTAATCGAATAAAACAGTTTTAGGAATATAATTGACTTCTATCTGGAACAATTTTACTCCACTTCTTACGTGGATTATCACAAGTACGAACATGTAAATGAGACTCGGTGTAATTAAAACATTTAGAAAAAGGAATAGAAAAAAAAAACATTTAGAAAAAAATAATTGTAGTCAATTTTTATCTTATAAAAAATAAAATATATATGCAAATAAATTAATTTTAAAGATACAAGTGCTTATCACACTGTTAATAAATTATATGTATATATATATATATATATATATATATATACATATATATTTTAAATTAACGGTTGTAATTTTTTAATAGTTCAAAAATTAAATAATATTTATATATATTTTTAAATAAAATATCAATATTTAATGTTTATTATACATATTTAATATAAAATTAACAATAATACATATTTTCTTATTTTATAATTCTTCCTTCTTCTTTTTTTTGTTTACTTTCTTTCACTTCTAATGGAATAAAAGATAACTGAAACAGCAATAACGAGTAAATGTGTATTTAAAAATTAAGTTAAAATATTGTAAATATAAATTTAACAAGTAAGTTATAACATTAAAATAAATATAAATTTATAATTATTTAAATATTAAAATTAATATTTTTTAAAACATTGATTTAATTTAAGTTTCATGTGCTTTTTATTTATAATTTTAATTTTTAACACATTCAAATATATTTTTGCTTATAATTAAATACGTATGTGACACATTAAGTTAGTATATTAAGTAGCATGTAGATTAAAGAAGGTAATGTCAAGTGCAATTAATAGTTTTCTTAAGAAACACACATTTAATGAAAAGAAAGCAAAAAATATGAGATGAAAAAGAAAACATTAATGAGCAGTTAAAAGACAACACTGAGCAATATGTTGATATATTTATAATTAAAATTAAAGTCACTTCTCGCATAATAAAAAAAAATATTAAGGATCAGCGTCAATTATTAAAATAAAATATAATTTAAAATTATGAATAAGGATTAAAGAGTTATTTAGAGCAATAAATAAGAAATTAACAATAATAAATATTTATAAAAACACATTACTAATGTATGTTATTAAATTTTAATAGTTAAAAACAAACATAAAAACCGGTCAGATATTGGTGACAGTAGTTAAATACAAGAACGGCATGAATACGGAGTGTTTATGGAGAGTAATAAGGTGGGGTCCGTAACTGGACTACACTACCGTCGCCTACATCCCCTGTGTTTCTCTTTGTCGCACACACAACGCAATATCCCATACTAGTATTCCTGCCAGCGTGGCTCCCGTATCTTGCACCACGCAAACCCATTTCACCCTGCGCCACGCGCTCTCATCTTCACCTCTGCGATCCACCCTATCTCTCATCAACGGCTCACTTCTTCCAAACGCGTCTCCGCTCGTGGAAAAAAGGTTAAGATGCGGGGCATAAGCGTCATTTCGCTATGCTTTGGAATAAAGATTAAAGAAACTGGAACACTTGGTTTTGAAGTAACTGCGCTGGGACTCCCAGAAACAACTCTCTTTTAATCACACCCACTTCGTGTTTTTTTAATATGTTATCGAGTATAACTCAAACTCACGTATCCACCCTTCGATTAGACCATTTACTGAGGTCAACGATTCGAACTGCATCAAGACATTGCATCGGACGGTGATAGAGACGGATGTACTTGAACTGATCACACCTCACCATTTCCCAAGAAATTATCCAAGCTTTTCAGTTTCAGACAATTTTTTTTTTATTTAAATTTTCACTCCACCAGCTAGCACAGTTTACAGAGAGCAACAAACAAAGGAACCACAAAATTTATGTAATGCAGCTTTAGATCAATCTCTCACTTTCTCTCTCTGTCTTTCTCTTCCATGGTACACAACCTTCTTGTGTTCTCTCTCTACTACACTTCAGTGTATTATTATATATTTCTCTTTTTGTTCTCGTAAAGAAAACAAAACAAATGACAAAAAAATTAATTATTTTAATTTTGTAATCTCTTGGTTTGGTTCTGGTTCGCAGGAATGATAGATTTCAGGTAAAGGGGTTGCACATTGGTCAGGTAATCCTCAGATCTAGCCTCACTCTAGCTGGTTAGCTCCAATTTTAGACACTGATTCATGGACCAAGCAGTTTTCTGTGTCTGCTAGTTCATGCTTGTAGCAGATCTTGTGGATTCTAGGGTTTCTTTCATGGTCACCACGTGCTTCATTTTGATTTTGAACCTTATTTTGCTGTCTGTTAATACATTCTCTGGTATTGCGGCATTTCTCGTAATAGATTTTTAGTTTGGTGAAATTCCGCGTAAAAGATTTTAATGGCCATGTTTTGTGCTTCTATCTCCTTGAATGATTATTTCTAAGCTGTAATTTGTTTAGATTTGTCGCGCTCAATCAAAACTCAGCAGGTTGGAGTCTGAGAGATCAAACGTAATTTGCCTGTGATTTGTTTCATCATTTCATTTCCGTACGCTATTATTGTCGGTGATACATAGCGCCTTTTTTTTTTTTTTGTAGAGGGGTTACGGTGGTGGTTACGAAAAAGTCAATGAGTGACGGTGCATTATATTAAAAAGGATGTGTGATATGATATCATACCATTTTTTGGTGCTGTATTATTGCATAAGAGAAAAGATGCTATTAATTGTGCATGATGTCTATTTACTATTGATAGTTGATTGGTCATCATTTATGTCATCCTAAGTTGTTGATAAGTTGATCTTTGGCAAGGAAATAATTGTTTTTTATTGTTAATTATATATTTATTGTGGATTTTTCTTTTCTGATAAGGAAAGCTATTTATTCTCTGAGACTAACAATATCCTCATGGAAGAAAAAGCTATGGTTCCGTTTCACCCACAAGAGTTTTCCGAAAGGGAATAAGTAGTTACTAGTTTACAAGTTATTTTCTTAGCATTATTAAACTGAATGAGATGCCATTACCAGATGCACTTTTTATATGGGACAAATAAAATTTATATTCTCCTATAACTATTATTTTTAAGTTCTGTATTATCTTTGACATTTTTCATATGGTATTGCTTAAATATTATAAATTTACTGATATCTCCTTTCTTGTGATCTCCTAAAAGCATGTCTTCGTATCTGAAAATCTCAGATTATTTTCCTGAATAGTTTAGTTGACCAGCAATGGAGCTCATGCTAGTTTCAATAATTTATCCCACCCATATGCCTGCTTACCTAAAGCGACTGAACAGTTCACATTTTTTTTAGTTGCAGTAACTAAAGTTATTTGAATTTGGTGATCTTGTTAAGCAACCAAGCAGACATCTTGGATGTTTTCAGGATTGAGTGTTTTTATTTTATTTTGTTTTATTTTTGTATATGCTGTTTAATAATTTGCTACTTACAAATTTACTAATCTGAAACAATAATCGTGGGATTCAATTTAAAGATTAGTTTTACTTTGTTATGTTACAGGTCCTGGTCTTACAATGGGGAAATCACCAGGAAAATGGATCAAAACTGTACTTTTCGGGAAAAAGTCATCCAAATCAAATATTTCAAAAGGAAGAGAGGTAATGTTACGATGGTTAAGGCATCATCACAACTCTGTTCAATGTTAGATTATATTGATATTACATGAATGTGGTCACAAGTATTCTTTCAAATTGCATCACTGGTTACATGAGACAAATAACAACTCTATAGTTACTCTTTAAATTTTAACCCAAATGGCATCATCAGAAGTGTTAATCAAATTTTTCATGGATAAAGAGAATGAAGGGAAGAAAAAGAGAACACAGATTCTGTTCTCCAATAAATGATACATTTTGGTTTGGTGCTGTTGTCATGGGACTAAACTTTGACTGATATATTTTTTGCACTGTGCTGAGCTTGTTAGCAACATTTGTAAACAACCTAAGATTGCGCATGGCAATTGTTCTTGGGGTTGTAAATTCTGTTACATTATTAATTTTTTTAACAGTATCATTTCTATCTAATAAATGAAAGTATTTTGATGTGATCTTTCCCTTCTGTAATGAAATACCTGACTTAGTTTATTATAATTTCATTTAGAAGCTTGTTAACCAAAAAGAAGGAGTAATTACTTCCAATGTGTCTGAAACTGGTTTGGCTTTAGAACCAACCTCCAATACTATTGCCAGACACGAGGAAGACCTAGAGCTGGATAATAAAGAAGCAGAAAATGGTTTACCTGAAAATCAAGAAATAAACATAGTGGGATCTGTTCATCAAGATGCAGCACTTGATCCAGAGAAAATTCAGCTGGAGGAAGCAGCAACAAAGGCACAGGCTGCTTTCAGGGGTTATTTGGTATGCAACTCACTGTTAAATAGAAATAGTACAATACTTCATAGTGTAATTTATGATTGTCTTTTAGTGTGAAAAGAAATTGAACTGTAAACATTAAAAAGGTATTTAGATGTATACTGCAAAAGGATAAGTGCATGGAGTTGATTTTCTGTTATGGTTGTAAGTTAATTCTGTTAACATCTGATGTGGAGGCTTTGGTGGATCAAGAAACCAAGAAGTTTAGAGGATTTAATGTTATTAGAGCTCGGCATTGAAGCTTAATGTGGTATTTAGAGTTATAATCCCTACACTTTTATAATTTGTCTTGCCCCCTCCCTGTGTTCTTTCTCAATTTGGGATCTTATTTTATTAAATTTATCTGAAAATCTGACATGTTTATTTGTCAAATCAATGTGACAACTTCATTCATTTTTTTCTGAAATAAGCAGAGTTAATTATATCTTTCATGTTAAGATTATTTCTGTAATTTTTTCTCAATGGAGTTCAAGTTTACCTGGTTTGGTCGTTCCTGCTGTTATGACAGACTGTATAGAAAACCATATTTCATCAGTAAGTTTGTTACTGTCTCAAGTTCTTCCTTGCTTCTGTCTCTGATAAATTGGCACTTGATAAATATGTCCACGAAAGGTTGACATATAAACTGTTTCTTAACTATCTCTGTTGAGTTTTGATTGTATGAGTTCTTGTAAGCTGTAATGTTTGGTATTATTCCTCAACTGATGTCAGTGTCTTTCATGAAGGCTCGGAGAGCATTTAGGGCCCTAAGAGGCATAATAAGGTTGCAAGCACTCATTCGTGGGCACTTGGTTAGGAGGCAAGCTGTTGCTACATTATGCTCTATCTATTGTATTGTGAAGTTTCAAGCACTCGTTCGGGGAGGAAGAGTTAGACAATCTAATGTTGGATTTGAAATCCATGTGAAGTGCAATATATTGAAGCCTCTGGTAATTTTTTCAAAAACTGAGTGCTCTGTAAATTATCATTAGTTTGTCATATTATGATTGGTGTTGTTCTGCTTAAACCTTTCTGGGAAAAACATGCAAGTGATAAATGTGCCTGGATCATCTTGGTAGTATTATCCTTCTGATTTGGATGGGGGGGGGGGGGCGAGATATATGTGAATTTATTTACCTGATTATCTTGGTCAAATTAGGGCTAAATGGTTCTATTAAATATGAGAAAATCTTGCTGAGCTGTATCACATTAAAAATGAGGACTTACTGTATATTAAATGTGTTTATTTTGAACTATTCACTACTACAAGAATTGAAGGGTCTCTTTTGGTCCAGTACTTCATCCTAATCATACTAGTTGGTCGAATACTTTCTTTAAACTACTTAATGTACCCTATGAAATGTTGCTGCAATTAGATAATTTCTATTTATCAAACAATTTGTGAAAGTTCTAATGAATGTCTTCTGGTTGTGGGGTTCATCAGTTTGGTATTGTTAAACTGCTTCAAGTTTATGAATGTCTAAAAATCAGGGATCAGTAAGAGGGGGAGATTGCAATGGTAATATTTTTCAACCACTGCTACTGCTAATGATTTTCTTTCTACATGTGTTGTGCCTTTAGGATGCCAAACTTCTCAAGCCAATTTCTATATCCACTAAAATAATGAAGCTGTCAGCAAATGCTTTCATTCGCAAGGTAACTTCCATTACACCATGCATGTAATAAATTTATTTCTTATATCTGGCCACTTATTCTGGATAGGTTTCATCCTTGAACCAACAGTGGTATAATTTTTTTGACGTAAGAATATGAATCTCCATAGTGAGAAAACTGCAGTGTGAGAGAGACACAGTACCACAACCCTGTTAATTTCTCTCAACAGGGATTAATTCCAAGAAAATTGTAATTTTTGCTGCACTAATGCAATTGATTTCATCAGCTAACTGTATCTTTTGTTCATTTTATACTTAACGAGCTATCATGCATAAAAATGATTGCTTAATAACTGTAACTTTCTGAGTCCTGAACCACAGGATTTCAAGTATAGGCCTAGGATCTATATTTTCTTTTTGTGGTACTTCAGGAATCAGGATTTCAAATGGCATCTATTTTATTTGTAGAAGTGTAGCGTTGACTATTCAAGCTTTATTGTATCAACCATGAAGTTGGGCCTGAAAATGGTTATGCGAGGCCTGTCATTTCCATTCTCCCACCCAATATGTGTTGTTCAGAACAATTTTGTATTACATGACTCAACATTGTTTAAAATAAAAGGAACCAAAGGTTTTGCTTGAATGTAGCAGGCTGGGGCTCATAGTTTTGAAGTTACTGCATTTTATGAAGTTTGTGGTTCTTAGGTATCCCATGAAACACTAGTGTTATGTCAAAGACTTGTTTGTTTATCTCTTTATCGATGGGAAATGCAAACACATTCTTAAATATATCAAAATTTTCAGAAAGCCCAAATTAAAATAATTAAATCAGATGGCATGATTGTAAAATCAATTAGTTGTTACCAGAGGGTGTGTGTTCTCAATTTTATTTGCATGGGCAGCTATTTACTATCTGCTAGTTTTGTGATCAAAACACTTGGCATTTATCAGTTATCACAGGAAGGGTAATGGAAATAAATTCTTCTGAGGCGTAATCATGTAAAAGGTGGATGAATTCATATCAAGCTACTATGATTACGCAACTTAAAGTGTCAAAACTGTATTTGTTCTAAATGGGATTGTGTGCAATATTGGTCAACTGTTGCGATTTTTGAGTTTGTGAAATCTGAAAACAAAGAATTTTCACTTTGATAAGGCTCCTTGAAAGTGAGAAAATAAGGGATTTTCTGCCATGATTTTAGTTATATGGTGATCTTGCTAAATTTAAGGGTGGATATGAAGTTCTCCTTTTAACTTATGTTTTGCTGCATCAATTATCAGGAGAGCATATTTCTTTTACAGTTTGTCATTTTGATGTGTAAATTAAATTGGGCTTGTGAAAATGTTGGTTTTTTGTTTCAGCTTCTTACTTCATCAACTACAATAATGGCATTGCGGTTGCAATATGTTCCTGGTGATCCAAATTCTGTCCTAAGTTGGTTGGAGCGCTGGTCAGTGTCTCGCTTTTGGAAACCAGTTCCTCAACCCAAGAAAATTCGGGATATGAAGTCTCAGAGAAAGCATGGTAATGTCTCAATTGGAGATACTCAAATGAGCAAGTCAAAACGTACCCACAGGAAGCCTGCTACTGCAAGTCTTGACTCAGTCCCAGCGCAAGCAAATCCTGAATTGGAGAAACCAAAACGAAGTGTAAGGAAAATTCCAAGCCAACCCTCTGATCCTGTGCAAGAAAATCCACAAAGTGAGCTTGAAAAGGTTAAGCGTAACTTGAGAAAGGTTCATAACCCAGTTGTTGAGAATGCTGTTCAGCCAGAAGTTGAAGCTGAGATGCCGAAGCAGAATATTGAAAAGGCAACAGTTACCTCAGGCCTTACTATTTCAGAACAAGAGGTCATTAGTTCTAATGAAAAGAGCAAGAAGGAAGCAACATTAACCATTTGCAGTGTGCCAGATATAGAAATTACTCCTAGACCTTCAGTTAGTAAGGAGGTGTCTGACACCCCAAGCAGTTATCAAGTGACTGTGGAATCGAAACCCTTGACAGAGATTACAAGTAAGGATAAAAACATTTCTGATGAGGTGAAAAATGAGTCCATAGATATACCAGAGCCTACTTGTAAAGATGAAAATTCCCACTTAACAAATGGAGATTTGAGTCACAAGGAAGATCCAATAGGCAGTGAAAACCAGAAACCAAACCGAAAAACCTCAGTTGTAGCAAAGCAGGAACGTGCAGAGAATGGTTTACAGAATAGTCCAACATTACCGAGTTATATGGCAGCAACTGAATCTGCGAAGGCAAAGTTGAGGGCACAAGGATCCCCGAGATTTGGACAAGACGGAAGTGAACGAACCAACCATACACGACGGCATTCTCTGCCATCTTCAACTAACAGCAAAATTAGTTCGCATTCACCTAGGACACAGAGACCCGTTCAAGCAAGTGGCAAAGGGGGCCAGAAGAGTGACAGAGCTGTGTCATCTTCTAAAGATGGGAATGGTATGATATAATTCTTCCTATGTGGTGGTTTGAAAGATTCGCTAAAAAAATATAATGGTTTAAAAATATCACATGATAGTTTCACCTATTTAAAATTACTGTTAGCTGAATTGCCAGATTAGAGTAACGTCTGCTTTCTGTATTGGGACAAATGTTATCCTAATCATGCCGAAATAAAATATTCAATTCTAGTTGCACATTCCAAAACTGATACAGTACAACTTGGTAGAAGGGGACATCTAATTTCAATTCGAATCAGCTATATTCTTGCGCATGTCTTTTCTTTACTTTGATTGATAATCACCAAATGGTATGTTCATCTTGCAGGAAAGGTCATTCAAGCAGAGTGGAGGAGGTAATTTGAGGAAGACTAGTGTTCGGGAGTTGAGGATGAGGAGGTTGGAAGTCGTGTGGTTTATATGTTTCTTTGATGAAAATTGTTGAATTGATAGGAGGTGTGCTTGATCAGGTTTTTTCTTCATTTGCTGCATTTTGGGCTTTGAAGGGTGATTTGTACATTATAGGTTTCTAGTCTTGCATGCTGCAACTATACCCAAGTTTAATCGTGTTTGTTTTCGGCATAATTTCTAGGCTGTCCATATTGTGTTTTTTCCCCATCGTGTGTATGATCACTGACACCACCTTCGCACGCTTTACAAAAAAGTTGTGTGTTTCGACCTGTAATGTGGTCTGGCAACGTGAACATGCTCATGCGAGACTTCTATTAAAAAGAGGATATTTATTATACTTTTATATTCTCTAATAAATGTTTTTTTAATAAAATATGCCACCTTTTTAGTAAATTAAAATCAGTTCTTAATACTGCATGTTAATTTTTGGCATTTCAACAACCTATCGTCAAGGATGGAGCATCTTGTAATGCTGACTTCTCACCAGCCTAGGATGAGAAAATCTTTGAAAGTTTCTGTTTGTGTTCGCTTTCGTGTTAAATGTTTGATGTTATAAATAGAAAGAGTGCGTTGGCGTGTGTGTGGAAAAATGTAATGGGACGTCGAGGAATGCCCTTGGATCATACATTTTAAGAATTACATACATTTCATAGGATTTCCACAATTGTATTAGACTTATTAGACTTCTGGTCTCTCAGATAAGATTATCTTTCAATACCTTTTTTGGCTATTTTTTTAACTGATACAATCAAATCATTTCGTTAATTGGTATTTATTTCAAACTTTCAAACCGCTATTTTATTCTAGTTTTTTATTAAATTATTTTCAATTTTTGTTTGTCTAAAGTTTATTAATGAAATCTTTACATTTTATTTTAAATTAAAAAATTTGCAACTTTCTTTTTGACAACTTCAATGTTACAATTAAAATATATTTTTTTTGTTTTTCATATATTATTTGACATTGAATATTTTAATCCTTTTTTTTATCCTAAGTTTGACATAATTTTTAAATTTAGTAAAATAATTATACAAGATTAAGAAGTTTCGAGTTTAGGTCTTGTGTGTAAGAAGATAAATATTTACTGAGAGAGTTAGTTTTGTCATATAGATGAAGGATTGAAAGCTGAACTCAATCATGATTTAAGCTTATTAATTTTATTGTCTTGAAAAGAAGTAGCTTTGTTTTGATGTTGCAATAACAATGTTCTTTACAAATAATCATGAACTTACTTTTTTCCTTTATTTAAGCCTTATCTTCTTGCCTTCTTTTTTTCGTGCTTCGTTGCATAATTAGTTCCATTAAACAGGCCTGGGTCGTATATTGCACTTACGCTGGTTACCTACTTGCGTCCTGTCTAGAAAAAAGTGTGTGGGTGCGTGTACAGAAAGCAAAGGTAAATATTATTACAATCTAAATCCGAAACGAAATTTATATGATGAATTATTTGATCGTGACTTTATAAATACTATCATCAAATTTTTTCAATTTTCCTAAAAAAAGGATGGTTGTAGCTTCCGAACAAATACTTTAATAAACGTTTATTTAGCAATTTTGCTATTTGGAATCTTATACTTAATTATGCATAATTTTAGGTAATAATATAATCAATTCGTGGTAATAAAAATCCTTTTTGGGCAGTTTATTAATTTCTTCCGATATCTTTTGTTTTTCATTCCTGATTTGAGATAGTGTTGCATTTAATTGCTTGTCAATGGTTTCTGTACTTGACCCAAAAAAATGGTTTCCCTAGAATGTCCAACGATTGATGGGAACAGTAATACAGTATATTTTTCTTGAGAAAATTAGAAGGCAATTTTGTGGTAGAAAATTAATATCATTTGTTTGATTCCTTATAGAAAGTTGTAATTCTATTGTCTTCGCTTGCAATTTAATCCGAACATATATATATATTCATCCAATATTAATCTGACTTTTAAAAACAAACGGCTTTAAGCTTCTCTGATTCTAAAGGTGGGGACAAGTTTGGAATATATAGGTACCATCCTGGTTATAGAGAAATAAAAAAATAATAAAAAATTGAATGTGTATTCATGATATTACAGAGAAATTAAAACATATGTGAAGTAACCAAAGCACAGTAAAAAATTTAAAAAAAGTTCCACGGTGAAAATTTAGCAAAGAGTGTTAGAAATATATTCTTAATTATTAAATAGAATTTATTAAAAACTATATTAAATATATTTAATTAATGTATTAAGAATATATTCCTAGCATTTATGTGCATACTACACAGTAAGTAGAAGCAGCGCACTTAAAATTAAATCCAAAAAAACAAATATTTAAAGGGATGAGTTGGCGAGGGAATAAGCACGCGCTATATAACGGTAAGAATGCGGGAATTTGGCTGCAGAATCGGAAGATAGATTACGAACAATAGCAAGGTTGCGTGTCCCTGGCACGCAATCTCAAAGAAAAAGAAAAATAAAAAATGGTGAATCCTGCTCCTGCGAGCTTCTGTACCCAAGCAAATGCTCTTCTTCGGAAGAATCTAATATTCCAGGTTCCATATTATTATGATCGTTTTATTTATCACCGCCTTGTTGAATTGTTACATTACATGACACGCTTTTCTTGGTTGTGAAGAAACGGAACGTGAAAACCAACGTTCGGCTAATACTGTTCCCGTTGCTCCTTTGCGTTTTGCTTGTTATCATTCAACGTTTGATCGACGCGCAATTGGACACATCAGAGTTCAAATGCGGCTGCGTTTGTGCAAACGACAGAACGAAAGGTGCACAGTGCGACGATTCCGAGAAGGTTTGTGGGGTCCAGTATTCCGATTCAACTCAAGCCGCCACGTGTCCCATTCCTAACCCACCGGAATGGCCACCGCTGTTACAACTTCCCGCTCCTCTGAACCGCGCCTTGAGAACCGCTTTTATTCCCTTTTCAGATTTGCCCGATGCGTCGTGCCGGAAAACCGGCTTGTGTCCTCTTACTATGCTCTTCACCGCAGACAATCACTCTTTCGCAGAAAGTATAACTTATAACATGCACGGATCAATTGCTTCACCGTGCTGTTAATGTGAATGTTTTATTATTCATGCTGTGTTTACTCGGTTCTTTTTTTCTTTTTCTTTTTTTTGTTCAGGTGTGTCTGCAAATATGTTCCCGAGTGCATTGAGTATGAATGAGTCTGGTAGTGATATCATGGGTAGTTTGGCGATGAATGTTCTGGTGAGTTTGATGCTTTGCATGCGTGTTTGTTTGTTAGGTTTCGAATTTTATTTATTTTTGTGGATTTTGTTTGTTGGTGCTGTGAAAATGATACGTAGGGATCTGAATCGAGGCCTGGGAGCAACAATTACTTTGAACCTGCCTTTTCTTCGGGTCTTCCCATTTATTATGTACAAAATCAGTGCATGGGGAGTTTTGGACCCTCCTTTTCCTTCCCGGTAGGAGACATGCAGCTAGGTATGGAACGTCCTTGAATTGGCAATGTACTGTGTAAAATGTGATAACAGGCACTTGGGTCAGTAGACATTGCTGGGCATGCTTATGGCTATTTTATTATGGAAGTTTACAATCTTAGTCGTCATTATTGATGGCTGTGCTAGCTTGGGGTATGCTTGCATATGATGTGGACTGTCGGAGAATATTTAGATGCAGACTTGTTACTATGCCTTTTTCAAAACTTTTGTTTCCTCTTTTTCTTAAGGTGGTTGGTAGAGTTCTGTTTGTGACTATTTTATTAATGTGGCTATTTGACTTGAACTTAAATGTTCGTGCAAGTTTTGAAAAGCTAGGGAATCATCAAATGGAGTTTTAAAAAAAAATATGTAAGGTTCAGCTTTAAATCATAAGTGTAACCTTTGTGTTGTTGCATTTGAAATACTTGCATAATGATATTAATTTTATGTTCATTTTTACTCAACAAGTGCACCAAGAAATTATTCGAATGTATTTGCATGGAGTACATTGGTGTTTTATATATAAAATCTTGTTTCTGCCTTAGATATATGACCAGGGCCTGCTTCTGACACAGAGTACTGTTATTAATTGAATTTATTTCCATTGAATCTAGAGGTCAGATGTGCTCAGGGTTTACGTTTATGGCGTAATAGTTCTTCTGAGATCAATAGTGAGCTGTATAAAGGTTATCTAAGAGGTAACACAGAAGGACAAGCCAATGAGATAGTTTCAGGTACTGGATATCATTATGTTTCAATTTAAGAAATGTGTGGGAAGACTAACTTACTTTTTTTATTGTTTTTCCAGCTTTTGATTTTCTAAATTCAAACAGGAATGGATATAATGTTAGCATATGGTACAACTCAACCTACAAGCGAGACACCAGATATGGCCCTATTGCTTTGACGCGAATTCCTCGCTCTGTAAATCTGGTATATATATCTTAATCTTGTTTTATTTGTTGCATCTTCCTTGCTGTTATCCTAACCATGTATCATGTATGCAACATAATGAAACAGAAAGATCAATCTCAGGTTATAAAATAAGAACATGTGACCTGCTAGCCTGTGCTACTATTCTATCAACCTTTTATATTAAAATATTAACTTTAACATCAGAACACATACTTGTTTTATTATTGATGGAATACATTTGGACTACTCAACTACATACTTTCTAAAGAAAAAACTTGCTTAGCCATTACCATTTTTAAATGAATAATTTGAATGGAAGAAGTAAGTGGAACTATGTTCATAATGCACATCAGTATTCAATTATAGTATTGAAAATTTGAAAATTAATTGCATCAGTAAATTTTACTAAGCTAATATAATGATAGTAATATCCATCAATATTCATTTCCCACTTTTTTAATTTTAATAGTATTTGGGTCTTATATTTATCAGCACCTGGCAGATTGTTGCTGGGGACTGACATTATCTACCTGCATGCAGCTATCAAATGCGTACCTGCAGTTTCTGCTTGGACCTGGAACCAAAATGCTATTTGAGTTTGTAAAGGAAATGCCAAAGCCTGAGACTCGAATTAGGATTGAGATAGCTTCTCTTCTAGGTGCTCTCTTCTTTACATGGGTCATCCTGCAACTTTTTCCTGTAAGTGAAGTCGTATTTAAACCACCAATATATGAGCTACGAATTGTGTTGTGTGTATAAAAGAGAAGTTAACAGCAATGAGAAAATACTGCCATTTATTGCAGAATGGGCTGCTATTTTTAATTTTGATTTTTTAAATAGGAGTCACATTCTTGTTTTGTCCTGTATATTTCAAATTTTTGCAACTGTGTAAACCTTCTTTTTGGATGTTTCTTTCACACGAGCAATACTCTACTCAGGTTTAAAGTCAACAATCATATCTAACATCTAATTTTTCTATGTAAACACAACAGAATATATTTTCAAGTACATTTACCTGGTGTTCAACATGATAAGCTCTATGTGTTTTTATGTAGGTTGTTCTGACATCACTAGTATATGAGAAGCAACAAAAATTAAGAATCATGATGAAAATGCACGGTCTAGGTGATGGGCCATATTGGATGATTTCATATGGTTATTTTCTTGCCATATCAGTGATCTACATGTTGTGTTTCGTAATATTTGGCTCACTCTTAGGTAAGAAATATAACCATTAACTGTTTCCTCTTCTAGGCACTTTCTTTAATGCTGCTGAATTTAATTTCAGGATTAAAATTCTTCACATTGAATGACTACAGCATCCAATTTGTGTTTTATTTCATCTATGTAAACTTACAAATTGCACTGGCATTTCTGGCGGCTTCCATATTTTCAAATGTTAAGACTGCTACAGGTTTGAGGATAACTACTTTTATGTAGTTTATATTAATGGGCATATTTCTATTTTATTTTCTTAGATCTGATTACTGTCTTGTGTTCTTGATAATTGCAGTAACTGCATATATAGGGGTCTTTGGAACTGGGTTATTAGCTGGATTTCTTTTCCAATTCTTTGTTCAAAATACATCATTTCCAAGTAAGTTACCGGTTTGATGATAACTACTTTTTATGTAGTTCATATTAATGGGCATATTACTATTCCAAGTAAGTTAAATGACCGAGGAATGATATCTGTCCTGGGTTATAGTTATGGTTTTCATGTATAGTTTTATGTGCTAGTATTAAAGAAACCATCTTTGTATGGATCCTTTGGGTACAATGGCAAAATTATCTGAATGGCTGCTGGATAACATTGTTGACGTTACTAATATCAATATCATGTTCACATTCTCATTAATAATTTTATTATTCTCTTAAGGGAATAAGTAAATTGAAAAAATGTTGAATGTGACACATAAACTGACACCTAGTTTTCTCTCCACTTTCTCAACCTGTTCTTGTCCCACTAGTCATGGAAAGGAAATTGTTCATGTGATCAGAACCAAATCAATTCAAATTTAGGTGGAAGGCTGTAGTTTATTTATTCTAATGAGACACTTTTGTCATATTGAAAGCAACAATTTATTATTAAATTCTCCTAGGGATAACTTTTGTTGAAGTAGTTTCTGTGTTGGAATTTTAGGGTTTTAGACAAGGACAAAGAAAAGGAGAGAATGTGTTAACATTGTATTATGAGATTGACAGTAAGTAATAATACGCAAACACAGAATTGAATGCACCTCTTTATACTTGGACTAGTACTATAGTCCAAGCTGACTAATGACTAATAACAATTTATGCTCCAAAGCTTAAGTTTGCAAAATTTAAGCTTGTTACAAGTAGCAAACCCATAATTGAAATGGAGGGAATGGGGGGGAGCAGGGAAGAGATTTAAATGGAGGGAATCCTTAAAATAAACAAGTCTAAGTCAAGTTCAATTTAGTCTAGTTAGTGTAGAAATTTCTCTCCTCTAAATCTTCCAATTTTATGGGGGAGTCAAAATTGATTGAGGAAGGATTTTGGCCCCTCCATTTCCCTCTCTTCCCCTCCAAAATTTTGAACCAAACAAGAGATGTTTCTAAAAATCCCTCCCATCCCATCCATTACTCCAACCAAGTGCTATGTAAGGCAACAGGTACTACCCCTGAATCACAAATTCTGTCAACAACAGTGGTCTCTTGTAGATAACTCCTTGCTTCTCATCAGCACACATTACTAGCAAACATCATGGAGTTTTTGACTTTTCTCCTCAGTGACTCGACAGCCAAACTGATCTACAAAACAAAGTCAAATCTAGTACCACCCAGCAACACTCGGTGCTTCACTAGTGTCCAAAGTCTTTACTCTACAAGCCCTTGACAGCAACAGAAGGAAACCTATAACAATAATCTTCACACAAATTCCACAAAATTACTCTCAGAACTTCTAACATGACCAAACTGAGACAGACAAGCAACTAGAACATCATTGCCACTGGCCAAGTGCAACCAAACACCATCAACAGGAACTCCTCAAGTCTCACCTCTCTTGTTGCAGACAACTGTGGCAACACTCCTCAAGTCTGCCCTCTCTTGGTTGCCTTGTCCATCCACTCTTGTCCTAAGATCCTGTTTGTCCAAAAATTAAAGTTCTTTGAATTTATTTGTGATTCTGTGAGCCCTTGTTTATTTAAACCAATAAACAATAATTGGAGCAGAAGGAAGACGTGGAGTAATGAATTGGTTTTGGTTGAAATGAGAAGAGCCAGTCTTTTTTACCTTTATAATAATGAAATGTTTCTCTGAATTGATATATAAGAGTGAACATGTTAGTGATGTAAATAACAAGAAGGGGAGCAAAACTTGGAGTGTACTCTAGAATGAATAAAAAAGACAGTTAAAACTTGAGCGGTTAAGAGGGGTAAATTGAGCCAGTGGGGGAAGCATTTTCTGGTAAAAGTTCAGGATCAAGCCATTGCTCTGGTGTAAAAAGGGAACCCTTAGAGGAGCTAGTCTTGATTTTTTTGTTTCAATGACAGAAAACTTTCTCTCTCCCCCCTTAATCTTTCTTTGTCTCTCAATCTTGCTATGGTCCTATCAGAACAAAATGAGTTGGCATTTGAAGTTGCATTGCTGAATTGGAGGGCAATATACTATATCACTACCAAATTCAGAAATTATTTGATTATCTGTGGATTGAAAATAATGGATTGATATGATCACTTATGCTGTACTTGGATTTCACATTTGTCATATTTATACTAATTATATGTTGATGTGTTGGAAGTTTCTAATCTTCTAGCCTGTTGATTTCCTATGCTATTTCTTCAGGAGGGTGGATCATTGTTATGGAGTTGTATCCTGGGTTTGCTTTATATCGTGGATTATATGAGTTTGCACAATTTTCCTTTAATGGGAGTACTTTGGGGACTAATGGTATGCAGTGGCAGGATCTGAGCAATAGCACCAATGGCATGAAGGAGGTCTTAATCATCATGTTTGCTGAGTGGATTGTATTGCTTTTTGCGGCCTTTTACATTGATCAAGTATTGTTATCAAGAAGCAGAAAAAGTCCTTTTTTCTTCTTGAAACGATTTCAGAAAAAGCCTCCTTCTTTCCAGAAGCTCAGTAGTGAAAAGCAGGGATCGAAAGTTTTATCTCAGATAGAGAAATCTGATATCATCCAAGAGGTGAATTTTACTTAATATTGAATAATGTACTGATATTCTTTGTTAAAGTAAGGTCTATCAGAAGGTGCATTTCACATATTTCCATATTGGAGAAATCTGATATCATTCAAGAGGTGAATTTCACTTAATATTGAATAATGTACTCATATTCTGTGTTCACCTATTGGATTATGAAATTGAGTAAAGTAAGGTCTATCTGAAGGTGCATTTCACATATTGCCATACTGGTTCTATGTAATGGTGCTGCCTTAATGACGAGTAGTATTGGAATGCATAACACTTCAATAACTTTATACAACTAAGTGGAACTTAGGCATGGATTAAGGAACAAATAACTTCCGTTTCAATTACAATCTCTGTCTGTTTACTAAAGTTATATTTATGTTCAGATTATGAGAATTAAGGTATTGAGGGAGTTATATTTATGTTCAGATTATGAGGATTAAGGTATTGAGGGAGGAAAAAGGGAGAATAAAGTTTGAATATTCTAAAATTGATATTGACTTAATATGGCATGATCTGTTAGGTGTTACGATGTGAGTGACATGATACGAAAGACAAAATATTAAGTTCTATTTATATTAATAGAAGACTTCTAATCCTAATTAAATTAAATTTGAAACTAATCCTAGAAAAATCTAAATTAATCCCAGATACAATCAAGATATTGTTGGGTATTTTTCATATAGTCTAATGATTTGTAATGGGGGAAAAATGTAACACGAAGGTTTGTGTTTGACTTAGTTTGTATTTGTCACATAAATTTAAATTATGTAACCTTATATTTTCTCTGAAAGACCTCATGTACGTGTTGCAAGTTTGGTTACACTCAATATCTAACTTAGTTACATGCATAATGTGTTAAATGCTTTCTTCTTTTTCTCTTCAGAAGGAGAAGGTGAAACAACTGCTACTTGAACCAAACATTAATCAGGGTATTGTATGTGATGACCTCAAAAAAGTGTATCCAGGGAGGGATGGAAATCCAGATAAATTTGCAGTGAGAGGGTTGTTCCTTTCCGTGCCTCAAGGGGAATGCTTTGGTATGCTTGGTCCCAATGGGGCTGGGAAGACTTCTTTCATCAGTATGGTCAGTTAAAATTTATTTTTTTCTACCAATATATACATTAGAATTTACTTTCATTCTTCCCCACCTCCTCCCCCCCCCCCCGCAAAAAAAAAAAAAAAGAAAGAAAAGAAAAGGCTGAAGGTTCCTTTGAGTTGTCGGAGTTCACCTAATAGAAAGGAATAACATTGAAAATACATTAAGAAATCTATCCTTTCTGAATGAATCAAAGTGATAATTGGTTTATATACAAGGAGATATAGACCTGTAATGTACTCAATTCACTATGTTATGAAATTCTACAAGAATTCCATGAATCATGTTTCTTTCTGTGAATGGTTTTCTCCTTAATTCATATATCTAATCAGGTTTTGTATGCTTATAGATGATTGGTCTGACAAAGCCAACCTCTGGCGCAGCATTTGTTCAAGGCCTGGACATAAGAACTAATATGGATGGAATATATACTTGCATGGGTGTGTGCCCACAGCATGAGTAAGCTGGAAATTCTCCAATTTTTATGTTCTCTTTTTCTGAAATAAAACTTGTAACAACTGAAAAATGTTTTCCAAATATTTCTCACTTTTTATATTGTAGCTTGCTGTGGGAAAGTTTGACAGGTAGAGAGCACCTACTTTTTTATGGCAGACTAAAAAATCTTAAAGATTCAGCCCTGACACAAGTAAGTTGTTAGAATATCAAGATTATTATCATCGTGTAAGTAGTCTTACCATGTTAGGACTTAGAAGTGTTAAGTGGTACTACCCTTTTATTTCCCAAAATATTTAGTATAGTTTTAGGTTAGTCGGAGGTCAGTCCTTGTGCTTATTTGTTTCTGAGGTATTTAAAAATTTGGTATTAGTACTTTATAATCATGGTATGACATAATAAGATAACAAAAGTGTGTGGAACATCATTCTAGGGGGACTATGAGTTTGTCGATATCTTCAGAGCTGTTCTAGTTATTGAATGAAGTTTTATTTGAGGATCTAATCTTCTTTTATAATAACCGATTGAGGGACTAAATTTTTATCATCACGAAATAAGAATCTCAACTTTATTTTAAAAATGTTGAAAAGACAAAAACATATAACTTGATAAATGAAAATAGTTTATAACATGAGCAGAACACGACATATATGACTTAACTTTTTATTTTTTATTTTTTATATTTAATGTATGATCCAAATACTTTTTCTATTAAGTTGAGGTCCTTAGTTGGTTATCAGCTTGAAGTCTTAATGAATTATACACTAGAGTTAAGGTGCTTCCACAGCACATTCTCAACTATCATTTATTGCTTATTTTCTGTTTAAAGCTGGATCTATAGAGGATGATTGCAGTGTATAATGTTGATAAAATTTAAATAACTTTCTACTTAGCTATTATTTGGCAGGGAATACTTGAGTAATATTTAGCTACCAACAAATCTATTGCTGCAGGCAGTAGAAGAATCTTTGAAGAGTTTAAACCTTTTTCATGGAGGAGTTGCTGATAAACAAGCTGGAAAATACAGTGGAGGGATGAAGAGGAGGCTTAGTGTTGCAATTTCATTGATTGGGGATCCCAGAGTAGGTTTTTTGTTTTCAATCCAATCCCATCATTTCTTTAAAGAAGATTCAAGTTAGGTTTCCTTACTCTCTAAGCACAACAAATTGTTAAGGTTGTTTACATGGATGAACCTAGTACCGGGTTAGACCCTGCCTCAAGAAAAAGCTTATGGACTGTTATCAAGCGTGCAAAACAGAGCCGGGCAATCATTCTCACAAGTATTCTCTCACTCTTTTATGGATTTTGATTTCAAAGAACATTATTGCTTCTTGTCTATGCTTATCTGTTTTTGTCTCACAACAACGCAAATGTTTTGCTCTCTTTCTCTCGTCTCCACATATATATTGATATATCTTGGTTTTATGCTCTCAGCACATTCCATGGAAGAAGCAGAGGCCTTATGTGATCGATTAGGAATATTTGTAAATGGTAGCTTGCAGTGCGTAGGAAATCCAAAGGAGGTAAACTTGCTTAAGTGATTTGCTGTATCAAAATCTATTGCAAAATAAATCTGTTAAACGGGTTTGGATAGCTTGTGACCTTGAGCATGACAACTGAATTAGGGTATAGTTTGGATAAATTTCTCAATAAATACTTATAGTAAAAATATAATTAGGTAAAATACATCAAACATTTCCTATAAGTTAAAAATCAAGTTATGAAGTTGAACCTTCTTAGAAGTTTTTCATCCAACTTCTCTTTATTTTCTTTTTTTATAAGTATTTATTAAGAAGTTTATCTGAAATAAGTCTAGTTATGTTACGTGCAATTTATGGGCATAGATTACAAAAAACATTTCACTTTATTTGTCATTACATGGTTCACGGATGCAGCTTTGAATGCAACTCCAAAATTCTTTGCTGATCATACTATTTCTCTGTTTGTTCATTTAATGTGAAGTTCCAAAAATGCCCATGTAGACTTTGAGTTTTTTGTTGAGACTTGCTACGTATGTTGGTTTCTCATAGCTGAAAGCAAGATATGGAGGAACTTACGTGTTCACAATGACATCATCTTCGGATCATGAAAGAGATGTGGAGAGCCTGGTGCAGCAACTCACCCCAAATGCCAACAAGATATATCATCTCTCTGGGACCCAGAAGTTTGAGCTGCCAAAAGAGGATGTTAGAATAGCCAATGTATTCCAAGCTGTTGACGCTGCAAAGAGAAAATTCACTATTTTTGCATGGGGTTTAGTTGACACCACATTGGAAGATGTCTTCATTAAGGTAGCACGCGAGGCTCGGGCTTTTGACTCCTTGTCATAAACTCATAATTAGCATACACAAGAAGGTGTATAAAAACTGCTAGTGTATGCGGGTTTATTATAATCTGGTCCGGGTAGTAGCTAGTGGCCACTTATGCAGAGTGGTCTATGAATATTGTATTTATCCATTAATCCTAGCTCTTCCTTATTGCGAGATTGGTCTTTACAAATGCAAGCGTTTGAGTGATTTTTCTACTGAAGAATGGAGCTGTCAAAAATTTCAATTAGCTCGGTTGTAACAAGTTCCATAAATCAAAAGTTCTATGGGTCAAAAAATTCACTTGAATCAGGGTTAGAGTCACGGCTTTAAGGGCTAAAAAATTTCAACAATATTTTTAACTTAAATTTAATTTTATAATCAATTATTAATTATTAGTGCAATAATAACAAAATAGAACATAAAATGACTTATTTAAACCATTTATAAAATTTAAGGATAAAAATAATTAAATCAAATTAGAGGATGACATTGAAATTTTTTTAAAAGTAGAGGATGAAAACATAAATTTTGCTTAATTAATATGTTATTTATTAAATATTATTTACTAAATAAGTATTAATTATTAAAAAATTATAAAAAATATGATAAATTTTTTTAATTATGTATAAATTTTATATTCATTTATTAATAAAAATTAAATAAGTAAAAAATTATAAAAATAAAACTAATACATAATCGATCATGATATACGAAAAAAAAAACTTTCAAAATTTAATATACAAGTATCTTATTATTTAGTTAATTTTACTATAGAACATTGATAGGAGAATGTGAAAAGGTTATAAAATTAATTTATAATCGACATGGTTTCTTAATTTATATAAAAAATTACAAATCATAAGAATTTGTTAAAAAAAGCATTGAATTAAGGTGAATATCATGCGCGCCTTAATATATAAAGACAGCAGGAGCAGGGCGCAGGGCGTGGTACAAGAGTATGCAATTAACTTGGGAGAGAGAAGCGAACACAAACAGTCCCAAAAATATTTTTAATTATGCATTTGAAAAATTATTTTTTAATTAATATCCTTTATAATTGAGAATTGTAAAATAATAGATATTTTTGTCTAAAAGAATAAATACCATAAAATAATGATTATATAATTTTGTAAAAGTTAAATTTAATTTAATTTTATAATATAATTATATTTGATATTATTTTTATGATAAAATTTTAATATATTGAATAAATATATTTTTATTTTAAAAAATATTTTTTATATTTTAAATATAATTTTTAATTCATTTAAATAAAATAATACAATAGTTATTATTTACTTTATAAAATAAGTGAGCTAGCCCACTTCTAACCTTGATCCTAACTCACTATTTTCTTTATTTTAGAGTTTAGGGCCAATATAAACCCACTAATTATAGGATTTTAAAAAACATAAAATTATATATAGGACTAATAGGGAAGGGCTCAAGGCTTTAACCCATTTTGACAGCTCTACTGAGAAGAATTGTTTTTGTAATGACATCAAGCCTCAACATAAATGAAAAAAAGATTCTCACTATAAATTGTGTGTGCTATACTAAACACAGGTTAATCGATTCATTTAATGTATTGTTAACCTAAGACTTCATATCTTAAGAGCGCTCTTTTAAATTGAAAATAAAATGTCTTCTTTAAACAACAAAACATATTGAAATGTTAAGTAAAATTAGGGAAAAGAAAACTTCATTACTTTTTTGGTAAAAATATGTTTTTACTTTGTATATGTAACATTTTTTATTTGCAAAAAAAAAAAATAAAGGAATGAGTAACTGCATATTATTTTAAACTTTTTTTTCTAATTAGGCTACGATAAGGATAAGGCAAATTTTAGTTATTATTTTTAATTATTTTTTTAAAGTTAAAATATAGATTTTATTTCTATAGTTAAGACTTATTTATAAATTAGTCTTTATATTTAAAGTATTTACATTTTAGTTATTATATAAGTATTTTATTATAATTTTTAAATATTTATACTAATTTTTAAATAATTATCAACTATAAATATCAAGTATGCATTTCAAGGGCTTTAAATTGATAATTTAATAATTCTTCCTTTCTATACTCATTTTGGCAAAATATATTAAAAATAAATCATTCAAGTAGGATCCTGCAGAATCAACTCTATATATCTCTATGCAAGTATGCGCTAAATTGAAAAATGTATTATTATATGTAATCTTTCTTATCCAAACCATATATGAATTGAAGGACCGCAAAACCTATATGTAATTTAACCATTTTTACCTCTTTAGTCCTCCTGAATGAATATCCCTTCCCAGTCAAAAAATAAATACTGTTATTTTAAATGGAAAAATATACTATGATGACTAAAATAAAAGGCATAAAATCGTGAATTTAATTTTATACATGGTTAGTGTAAACATTTTTATATTATTAATTAATTAAAATTTATAATAGGTCCGACTTTTAAATTAATTATTATAAAAGTTATTTTTTTATTAACATAACCCACGTAGATAGTTTTTTCCGGACCTGAAAAATCGTGCCGGTTTCTCGTGAAACAAACTATTATCCACGACGACGATAATCTTTCGCACGAGACAACATTATCCAACTAACTCGACAAATTTTAAAGTTGTTTGATATCTTTAACGGTGTGTTTGGACTTTGGAGGAAAGGGGGAGAGAGAAAAAAATGGAAGAAAGGAGAGAAAAGGAAACTTTCAAGAGTTCCACGCACAATCTCCCAAAATGAAAGTGGAAGTGAGAGGAGAATGAGGAAAGTTGGATTTTTTTAATTTATTAAAATTATTAATATAATATAAAATATCATAACTATAATAAAATTAAATTTTATAAATAAATTTTAATTTTTAAACTTAATTAATTTTTTGCTTTTGTTATTTATCAAAAATTTGTCGGACTTTTTTTTTCCGTTTTATTCACTTCTATTTTGAAGTAAGTACCTTAAAATTTGAGGAAAATATCCTCTTTCAATTTATTAAAATTTTTTATTTGTTAACATCTTTTAATTATTATTATTATTAACTAGTTCTTTAATTTAAAAATTAATATTATATCTCAACTTTTTAAAAATCTCTAATTAGTTTTTTCATTCTAAATTTTATATTTAATTTAATCTGAATACTTTGTTTGCCCATTTCCCATCTCTATATATCCATGGTTTGGCGGTCAATATATTATTCGGGAAGAACTAGAGAATTATTTACTTTCAACAATGTCAAAGGTATTATTGTTGCTTTGTTTTCTAGCGGAGCTTCTGCTCCTTGCTCAGGCACATGAACATCACAAGATTGGATTTTATGAACTCAAGAGAGGAAATTTCATGCTGAATTTCACAAACTATGGTGCTACAATTATCTCTGTTATAACCCCTGACAAACACGGTTTGTTTTATCTTCTTCCTATTCTTAATTATCTCTCTCTCATGCTCACACAATCACATACCTTTTTTGTTGTGACTTTCTTCACAGGGAATTTAGCTGATATTGTTCTTGGCTACGATTCCATTCATTCTTACGAGGTATGATCCATTAATTCAGCTTCAATTAGCTAATTGAAACAGAGAAACTAATATAAAAATAAAATAAAGGCTTCTTTATGATTCTGTCCCTTGCACTTTGCTTTTGGTTCTATATTATGATTTAGTTAATTTGTATATAGCACTTGATCAATCGAATAGTATTAACCCATTAAATTTCTCATTGATCAAATTTTGATAAAAAAAAAAGGTCTTGTTCTTTTGATCACCTCGTTTTAAATAAGTAGCATTTATGATTTGTCACTCTACTGAAGTGTTGCCATGTAAACACGTTACAGCATTACCTACATTTTGTGTTACACTCGCATTAAAAAAATTCGGCTAGGTTTATGTCAAACGAAAGTGAATAGCTTAAAATAAAAATAAAAAAGAAATGTTATTGTTTACTATGAATATCAACATTTATGAAAGTGGGTGTAATACACCAATAATTACTGAAACTTAAGGCCTTGAAATTTGTTGTAGAATGATACATGCTACTTCGGTGCCCTTATTGGACGTGTGGCAAATAGGATTGGAGGAGCTAAGTTCACTTTGGATGGCAAAACCTACAAATTGTCCGCAAATGATCACGGGAACACACTCCATGGTATATTGATATATTAGTGCATTGTAGTCTTTCACTTCATCCAGTGTTGCATTATGTTCATTTTCTGATTAATTTTTGACCGATTCATGTTAACTGTTGAACAACTTGCACATATGAAATATCAGGTGGTATCAGAGGCTTCAGTGATGTTGTTTGGTCAGTGAAATCCCACAAAGAGGACAGTCATATAACATTTACCTACAACAGTTTTGAAAACGAAGAAGGTACTTTAACTACTGGTTCGAAGTTTGACTATTATGTATTTCTGTGTGTGATTAATATATCTCAAGCTGGTATCAGATAATACTTTTGAAACTCGTAATTTTTAAAAAGTAATTAATAGAAAATTATAATTTATTTTGGTTTAATTAATTATATATTTTACATAATATTTGTTGAGTTGCTATAATTTATTTTGAAATTACATTAAAAATGTCTTTTTATTTTAATTTATTTAAAAAATCTTATATGTATTACATAATATTTAAATCCACAGTTTTATCTAAATATCACTCTAACAATAATTGACTCTAGTTTAAGTTCGAAAATTTGGTTCCATCAAAATATCTCGTAGCATATATATTATTGAATAGGTTATTCTTAGAACATAATCGTACAACTTCAATTTTTTTCTTTATTTTTCTACAACATTAATACTTATCTCTTCTCGTATTTTGTGTTCCTATCTCTCGCTTAATTGTATAAAACATTATATGAAAATGTTATGTAGGAAACAGGATAGAATGTTCCAGTATTATTTATCATCCTCTGCTGCACTCTAACTCTTGTGCAAACTTTCCAAAATATTTCCAGGATTTCCTGGGAAACTTAAGGTTTCTGTGACTTACATGTTCATTGGAACAAACAAATTGGGTGTGAAAATGATTGCCAAGCCGGTAGACAAAGCCACACCAGTGAATCTAGCTCAACATTCATACTGGAACCTTAGGGGCCACAACAGTGGTGACATTCTTTCTCACATTGTTCAGATATTTGGCTCACACATCACACCAGTGGACAAGGAACTCATTCCCACTGGCCAAATCCAACCTGTGAAGGGCACCCCATATGATTTTCTTGAACCAAAAGAAGTTGGAAGCCAGATTCATGAGCTTCCTGGTCTATATGACATGAACTATGTGCTTGACAAAAGAAGCAAAGAGCACTTAAGTAAGGTCGTTGTGGTGAGAGATCCTGTCTCTGGGAGAAATTTGGAGCTGTGGTCAAACCAAGTTGGTCTACAGTTCTATACTAGTGTCATGTTGAAAGATATCAAAGGCAAGGATGGAGCCATATACCACAAGCATGCAGGCATTGTCATGGAGACACAGGGTTTCCCAGATTCTGTGAACCACCCCAACTTTCCATCACAGGTTGTGAATCCTGGGGAGATTTACAAGCACTATATGCTTTACAGATTCACAGCTAGCTAAATGGATTTCAGAATTTACAAATTAGGCTGCAGTGCAATATGTTCTTTCTTTTTTCCTTTCAGTTTGCCTTCATTTATTTATGTTGCTATGAATTTTCAAGTAATGCTTCCTGCTCTATAGTTCAAATTTAATTCGCTTCAAGTCTATAATATTGTTCTCATCCTTAATATCAATCTAAATTTTTCTTTTAGAAATCGAAGTTTTCCACCAATACCATATTTAGAGAAAATAACTATTCAAAAGAACTAGAAGAAACACAAAAATTATAGAAGAGGAATCAATAGAATTTGACTAACTGAGCTTATCAGTAACTGCAAACCCATTTTAAAACCAGTTATTTTACGCAGAAACAGGAGAAACTCAGAGATAGTAAGCCAGAATCATTTTTCACGCAACTAAACTGAAATTCTTGTCATTGAACATTTATCTCTGCCAACTTGTATAAGAATACTGTTATAATGGCATAAACTAAATGATTTCCTCCTGATAGAGAAATGATTAGACAATGCAATTTGATGCTGATCATATCTCTATGACCAAAGTCCTAGATAAAGTACCAGTTCACTAAACTCTCATGGGGCGGTCACCTAACACAACCATAAAACGAAGGGATCTAAGTTGAAGGGAAAATACACCTACATTATATTGTCCCCTTTAGGATTTCACAACTCTAGATTTTTTAGCTCTTAGAGCTGTCAGTAATGTGACTAGAGACATATTTCCCCTGTGCTGAATGAATGATGATTGTGTCTAAAAGGGAATTCCACGAAATAACTTCAGACCATCTCTCTCATGGGACTTGTCATGGACTTCTCTGCACTAGATGGGTTAGCTGAATGTCTATTGACTGTCAAGTGTTCCAAGGTGGCCAAAACCTCAGACATCAGTGGTCTAATTTTGGCCTCACTAATACATTGTAAAGCAGTAATTGCAACTGTATAAGCTGCTCTCTGTGAGTATTGCCCTTCTAACCTTGTGTCCATAATTCGGAACAACTTCCTCCTATCACCCAAATAGGGTCTTGCCCAATCTACAAGATTATGTTCCACTCCTGATTTCGTAGTATCAACAGCATAGCGCCCTGACAGTAGTTCCAATAGCACAACTCCAAAGCTATAGACATCACACCTTGAAGTAAGCCAACCTGATCAAAGGTTTTTTGAAGCTCTTATTCAAGAAAAAAGCATAGCATTGCTAAGATAATATCAAAAAGAGGAGAAAAAGTCACTCCTATGAAACAGTGCGTTAATTAATGTGATCAATACGGCTGGTAAAGGGGTAGAAATCATTTAATCAATATAAAGAAAAGGAACAATTACTTCATAAAGGGTACTTACCAGATAACTAAATTAATCTATATGTAAGTGTGTTATATATGTATATAAGTAGGTATGTATAAAATGCAGACTAAGCAATAAAGAGATACATAGGAGTGTTTTGATAATTACCTGATAACTAATTTTATTACTGAGTTAAAAGAATTCTTCAATATTTTGGCCAGACCCCAGGATAATAGCAAATACGAACTATTTTAAGATCAATGGCCAATGTGGCATGGCAACTACATTATTTTTCAAAAAAATACAACCTGGAAATGGTCCACTTGTACAAGAGGCTCAAGATTCTCTATCACCAAAAGAGTAGTTTATTCTTCTTCTCACCAAAATAGTGAGGGCATTTTATCATCAATTGGTAAGATCTACTCTACACTACAACACACCTCAAGACGTGTTTGCAAATGAGTATGAATAGAAATGTCTGTATACATGTAGTTAATGTTCAAATGTTCGTTTTAAGTTGGTTGGTCTGTCATTCACCTTAAGCCTAGAAGATTTCATTCATCACCTAGTTGAATCACAACTTTGAGTGACTCACTAGTTTGCTTTGAAATGTCTATTAATAATCCAACAAAAGATATAAAAACATTAAAGAAGAGGAAAATGACAAAACATCAAATTTTTATGAACCAAGAAGCATGAAAATATACTTAAGAAAAAATAAAACCTGTAGCAATATATTCAGGAGCAGCATAGCCCTGAGTTCCCAGGACTTGAGTTGAAACATGAGAATGATCACCAGTGGGCCCAGCTTTGGCCAATCCAAAGTCTGAGAGTTTTGCATTAAACTCCTGAATTTGTATAATAATATGTTAAAATGCTGAACTAGTCTGTTAAAATTAGGGATGCATTTTATTTCAAAAGACCAGAAAAAGAAAGGAAGATAGCTAAAGGAAGGTACCACCAACCCACGCACATTTTGCAAGCAATTTCCCTAAAAGCCCACAATAATAAAGGCAATGTAAGCGTTTAACCAACATACCGAATCTAATAAAATATTAGAAGCCTTGAAATCACGGTAGATAACTTGTTGCTTAGAGTCATGTAGGAAGGAGAGACCTCGAGCAGCACCGATAGCAACCTTGATTCTTGTTGCCCAAGGAAGTGGTTGTGCACCCCCTGCAATTAATAGTTCCATAGTTATTCAAAGTGCAATTCAGTGGCAAGGTTAAAAAAAAAAAATTAGGTGATACCACACATATCAGATTGCTTGATTTACAACATGTTAAATCATAGTGCAATCAGGTTTGAAGTGTATTACTTTCTGAAACTCAAGCTACTAAAGGCATCAACATACTGCGAAATAGATGATTTTCCAAACATCTGTTGGGCATGTACTCATACACTAGAAGCCGGTTATCTCCTTCTAGGCAGTATCCAATAAGTTTGACAAGATTTGGATGGCGAAGTTGGCCAAGATAATTGAGTTCAGACTGTAAATAAAGAGAAATATGATAGAATTTGATTCATTTAGAACAAAAACAGGAGAATTAAATGCCAATGAAAGCAACCTACCAGCCACTCCTTATGCCCTTGAAAACCTTCAGGCTTAAGCTTCTTCACAGCTATAATCATTCCAGATCCAGGCACTGTAGGCCCAAAGGAATGATTAACAATCCACCCCTTATAGACATAACCAAATCCACCTTCTCCAATTAGATTATCAGGACGGAAATTTTTAGTGGCATTCATGAGATCGTTTAATGTGAAGGCTTTTAAATGTGGGGATGAAAGTATGTCCCCTTCGGATCTTGGAGTGGGGAGAATCTCAGGTTTTACTTTTTCACTGTATCCATACATTGTTGGACTTGAATGAGCTAACAAATCATTGCCTCTATGGGGAACTGTAGTAACATCTGGAAAACAATTTTCATTTTAGTAAACAATAACAACTTATTTGAAGAAGCAGAGAAGATAATATTTCCTCTTGGAATGAATCATCTGCAAAAAATTACCAAATGAGATAATAGATTGACCAAAGAAAGGTTTAAAGTCCTCAGGTGAGGAAAAAGAAAGAAAATTTCAAATCTAAACAAAAAGGGAGCTGGAGACTGCAACAGCTATTGATTTCCCAATAATAGCATCACTAGTCCAGCCTACAACATTATAAAGAGAATGCACAACTAATTCAATAAATTATACAAGTACGGTTACATATCTTATTTTCCCATACAAGTGAATGAAAAGGAGCTTATGGTATAGCTATTAAAGATACCCACCCCCCCCCCCCCCCCAAATTGGTCATCTCTGAATTTCCCAGTTTATGCTTGGTAGTAGTGAATATAGGAATGCAGAAATGGAGAAACAAAAAAGAGGGGTGCATTTAGACTCCAGTTTAAGTCCATACCTTGTCAAATTTGAAATTTCATCCCCTAAGCTTCCTATACTATAAATCACAGATTTAAATTGACTACAACGTTAAAAAGAAAAAGACACTGGAAGCATCTATATTGTATGAATTTTAATTCTTTTAACTTTGTATAGTACTACTACCTCTATTTTACCTTTATTTTATATCTCGCTCTTTCTGTGATAACACATCACACGTTACATCTTTTAATTTTTTTCTCTGTTCTCTTCCTATCTCTCGTTGTGTATACATGCATGATAAACCATTTCCCATATTGCATTTCACTAAAAGCATCTATGTTTTGTTTTAAATTCAGTCATACATAATAATGAGAAATCAAATCACAAAAAAAAAAAAAAAAACCTGAACAATAACAAAGGAAATGCGCAACCACAACATTTCCTTAAAAAAAATCCATCAGGAACTATCCACACTCGTAGGCAACGCAAGACATCATCCGACAAATCAAAATATATCCATTACATACGTAATAATCATATAACACAATAAGTTGACCAAAAAACAAAAAACGTACCAGAACAAGGTTGGGAATGTGAGTTCATAGGGTCATCAACCTTGTTACGACTTCCAAAGCAATTTCCCATTAGAGGAAACAATTAACCCTTTTCGAGAAACCAAGGAAAATAATAATAATAATAATAATAAAGAGATTCAATGGAACTTAATCCTGACCATGCAACCTGACCTCGATATCAATCTCCAAATGCATTGTGTTCTTCTCTGGAATTGTGTTCTTCTCCGTGATTCCAGAGAAGAACATGAATACAGAGAGAACCAGATTATAGTGTCGTGAGTTGTATTACAAAACGGATATGAACATTAGGAAATAAAGACAATGACATACAATTTTATTAATTATTATTTATTGTTCTTAGGAAGTTAGCGATTGCCAAGTAGACACACATAATCGAACTTCGCCTCTTCCACAAATGCCCTCGTCTGGTTTTGTAACTAACACTCTTTCCTTCCTTTTGAACATTCTATCATCGTAATTTGAAGCCATTGCTGAGGTCAAATGGTGGAATGTAAAAAGTAAATAGACAAGTTTTTGAGCTACTTCTTTGATTCTATTTGATAAATTAATTAAAATTTATAGTTTATAATTTATAATTGACGTAATTTAATGATTATATTGTATAATTAATTGATTAAATTAAAATTATTTAATAAAATCAATTGTATAATTAGTTGAGATGTGTTGAATGACTAAAAAAATGTTAAAGTTATTTTTAATTAGTGTTAACTTAGTAGAATGGTATTAGAAAAACAAAACAAAACAAAACAAAGCTTACTAGAATGGAATCTGTATTATGTACGGCTTTTTAAATTTTGTTTAAATAAAATATATATTTCAATTGTATAATTAATTTGACATGTACTCATAAATATTTGTTTTGATATTATTTTTATTAGTAATATAATAAAAATCCAATCTGTGTAAATTTTTAGAGAAATTCTTATAAGAGAAAAAATTAATAATTTTTTATAAGTTAAAAATAATATATTTTTTATTTTTTAAAAAATTATTTAATTTCTCTAAAATTTGAGAAAATAAATTAATTTTAACTTATAAAAATAATTTAATAATTTTTTATACTAATTTTTTTAATATAGGAATTTCTTTATAAGTTTAGCCAAGCCAAAATCACTTCAAGTGCTTCTAATATATTGCTTTTGTTATATCTCTGTGGGCAAAGAAGCTTATGTGATAGTGTTACAGTCCACTTTTCATGATTCTTTTATTGGCTCAATTTTTACATAAGTATGATAAATGTTATTGATTAAAATTGAGAGAAATTACAAAAACAATCCCCAATGTTCATTGTTTGATAACACATGTACGAAGAATTCTAAATAATTCTAATTTTTATTTTTAAAAACATAAATATTTATTTAATATTGAATATATTTTAAATACATAAACATATGCAATTTTATTTAATATTTATTTTATAATATAAGAGAAATATTATCAAGAGAACAAATAAGATATGATAAAGTTTTACATGTATTTATGATCTCCTGATTAATTTTTTTTATTTAAAATGTACCAAGCAAAATGTTTGTTTGTTTTATAGTTAAAAATATTTTTTTATACTTTTAATAAAGAAAAAATACATTTTCAATAAAAATGTGATTCAAATTATTCATCTATTCTAATTATATTCAACTCCGAATTAATTATACTCAACTTAAAGCTAAATAAAAACAAAATTATCTTATTGTTGATGGTCAATTCGATATAGCATATATATTCCTAAAACCTTAATTATCAAATAGTATTATGATCATGATTGAGCCTGAAATTGGAGTAATCTAGTTATGCCGTATGATATTGTTGCAATGTTTGTCGTTGATGATATATAGGACCAATAATGTTCATAAGAATTTAATTAAAAACACAGACTAACGAATACGCTTACATAAGAAAATTGATAACACACATCTATGGAATTCATTACAAGCCTATATCCCATGAGATTTGCATCTTCTCTAATTCACGTGAATCCAGTCTCACTTTTATTTAAGCAAACTTACTTTGTTTAAGGGTATCTTTGGAAGAAGATTTTTGGAGAAAAAAGAGCTTTTTTTTAAATTTTATATTAAAAAATTTATATATTATTTAGGCTGATAAATATATTATTAATACATTAAATTTTTTTTATTATATTAATTTATATTTTTTATTTTTAAAAAATTATTAATTTTAAATATATTTATTTAAAATATAAAAATAAGTTATTTTTTTCCTTTCTCTCCTCCCAAACATATTCTAAGTGAATATCATAAATTTTTTAAGGTTTAATTATATTTTTTTATCTTTATAAATATTAGTTATTTTATAATAAGTCATTACAATTTTTTTTTTGTTAGAATTTAGTTTTTAAAAAGTTAGAAAGTCAAGATTTTGTCTCTGTCATCAACTCTATCTCTTCTGTTAGATGTTAAGCTAACTACTCGTTTATAGGAAGTTAGCTCAGCACTCCTACACAAGTCTCATGTGACATGTCACGTTATTTAATTTTATAATAATTTATTATTTAAAATTAATATTTACAAATAAGTTTTTAAACACATTTTTAATATTTACAGAAAAGTTCACCGAACCCAATCCCCTTCACTCCTCTTCTAGCTCTCACTTCCTCATCCCCCAACCCACTCTCACTCCCACCTCTTCCTTTTCTCTTGTCGTATTCCACACCTCCACATATACTAAACTCTTTAAACTTAATTATTTCTTGTTTTCAAATCACTTGCACAAATTTCTTTCACTACCTTCCACCAATTAAAATCTAAAAACATACAAACAAAAAATCTATATCAAAATTTGAGATATAACATACAAACTTGCAGATGGAGTTGGGTGCAAGTAGGAAAAGTGTGATGATAACCGTGGGAGTGTGAGGTGGGGTTAGAAAGAGAGTGGAGAATAGTGGGGTTAGGAGGGAGGATGTGAAGAATGAGGTGAGGAAAAGTGTGGAGTTGAGTGCGGGATTGGAGGTGAGGGTACGAGGTAAGGTGGAGAATGGAGAAAGGAGTAGGAGAGAGTGTGGAATATATTGAGTGTAGAGTGGGGAAAAGTGTAGTGTTAAGTGCAAGATAATGAAAAGTATGGGGTTAAGAGTGAGATTAGGAGTGGGGTTGGAAGGGAGGGAGTGGAGAATAGGTTGAGGTAAGGGTGTAGGGTGGAATTGAGTGTGAGAAAGAAAAAAGGCTAGAGAGGGTGGGTTACAAGAGAGGAAGGGAGAGGGAATGGGATTGGAGAAGGAGAAGGAGAAAGAAAAAAATTGAGAAACGAGGAAGGGTTACAAGAGAGGGAGAGAGAGGAAATGGAGTTGGGGTGTGAGAGTGGGGAAAGGGAAAGAGAGGGTTGGAAGAAGGGATGAAGGCTTTGAGAGAAAGAAGAAGGGATGAAGGCTTTGAGAGAAAGAGAGAGGAGTTACGTAGAAGGAAAAGGTAGAAAACTTTTTTGTAAATATTAAAAATATGTTAAATGACTTATTTATATATATTAATTTTAAATAATAAATATTATAATGCTCAATATTTATAGGAATTTAAAATATTATTAAACTATTTTTAAAAAAATCATAAAGAAGGAAAGCAAGTTGAGATGTATAGGATTGGAAAGCAAAAGTTTAGAAAAGAAAAATTAAGAATGAGGAACTAATGGGAGGAAGAGAGAAAGGAAGTTAGGTAGAAAAGAAAAAGAAATTTTTTGGAGTAAGTAAAAATAAAATTAAATCATCTAGTTCTTACAAAGTGTAGTGAATAATTAACTCTATTTTATAGTATCATAATAATTAACTCTATTTTAAAATAATTATTAATATTTTTTTAATATTAACAACTAAGTTATATGTGAGAAATTTATCATCTTTTATATTTTAAAATTTTGTTAATAATTTTTATTATTAAAAAAACCCTCTCAATATTATAAGTATTAAAACAAGATGAATCAATTTATCAATTAAATTAAATCATAATTATTTGATTTTCTATTTTTGTATATGATAACTAAAAAAGTGTTGTTATAGTTTAAAAACTTTAATGATAAGGTATATCAATCATGAAACGTAAAGAAAAAATTTTAAATAATAAAAAAATATTTTTTATTCATAAATAAACTTAAACTTAATAAAAAATAATATTTTTGAATATCTATAATTATATTTTGCATAATTTTAAACACTGAAAAAATATATAAATATAGAAAACATTGTTTTCCTCCCCTCCACGTCCACGACTACTAAACCCATCACCCCAGCTTATTCATCGTTTTTCCACCACCTCATCATCCTCCTCCGCTAACCCCCCATCACCGTAATCACCTCGATCCACTTCCACCTTTGGAAATCCCGCTCCGCTTATGTATCCTATTGCATCATCTTCTGCCGTACCGATGCTACCACTGCAAAAAAAGAAAGATAATATATCTCTATTGAAATGCTTGGTAATCTTTCAGCGCCAAATGACTTCATTGTACTGAGAGCAAGAATGACTTCATTGAATCCATTCCCACTCTGTCACGTTCTCACTCCCTTTTATCCTTCTTCAACAACACCTAAGCATCTTCATCCCTAATCTTATAAAAGTGCCGCAAAAGAGCAAAATCGACCCAGGAATGAGGATCCACCGAGACGATGAAAATTTGAGGCAAAGACTGCGCCGAGCTATTGGAGGCTTTGGGGAAGGTGGTGTTGGCGGTAGAAGAGGAAGAGGAAATGGTGGCATTGGTGGAAGAATAGGTTGGGGTTCAAAATATGGTGGGGGCTTTGAAGGAGGTTGGTAGAGGTGACTGAGAACACAGTGGGTGGGAAAGAGAGGGAAACAGCATGCTTTTGCATTCAAAGTAAAATGCATACATAATACATTTTGAGTTATACAAAGGCCTAAGGGATCTTTCTTAAAACGAGCTGAAAGTGGAAGCTCATGGCAGCTTTTAAACGTAAAATTAGCTAAAAACTGTGGACCTAGACTGAAAGTTGATAATTATATAAATAATTTATGAAATTAATTTGTTTAGTAAATTAGTCATGTAAATTTATGTTAAATGATTCAAAACAACCTATAATATTAAAATTAGATATAACTTATTTTAATATATTTTATTAATAAAAATAATATTATTAATTTAAACAATAATTTAAATTTTTTAAAATTATTAATTTTAACACATAATATTAAAAAAAATTATATGAATTGATTTAAATAAATTTATTTTTATAATTTTTAAAAAAAATTAAAGTTTATTTATCTAATTAATTTATTTCTTATGACAAAATATATTATTAGTTATTAACAATAAAAAATTAAAAAAAAATTATTATAAAGATGAAGAAAACAAAATAATAATAATAATAAGATTAACATATTGAATTTTAATTGTATGAACAATAAGTTTTTATTTTTTAAAATATGAAGAGTAAGAATGTAATAGAAATATTATAGCTATCTTTTGAAAGTAAAAATTTTTCTTTTTGAACAGTTTTTTTTTATAAAATTGAGGGTGTTTTATTTTAAATTTTAATATTTTAATCATAAAAAACATTAATTATATTGATTAATTTTTAGGTCTAATTTGAATAAATTTATGTAAGAATTTTTATAAAAGAAAAAATTAATATGAAAAATAAATAAAATATATTTCACAAAATAAAAATAATTTATTTTATCAAGTTTGAGAGATATTAAATACAAGTGAATTTAAAAAATGAAGAAAAATAAGTTAAAATTAAAAAAAAATTATTTTATTTTACTAATTAATTTGTGATTCATATAAGTTTTTATTTAAAACTTTAGTGCATTTAGACTTAATTTTCATTGTTACCTAATATTATAGTTTAATATTTCCTTTGTTGCTAGTAGGTTATTGTATTGTAGTATGCTTGTGATTTTCTTTAGTTTAATTTAATTTTGATTATAAGAATTAAAAATTGAATAAGTAAAAGATGTCACTCATAACTTCGAGATAGTATATAAAAAATAATTGAATGAATTTTTTAATATTATTAATTAGATAATTTTGAATTTGTAAAAAAAATATATCAATTACATTTATTAAGTTCACATGTTTTATTTTTTAATATGATTTTTTTATTTGAGTAATGTTATTATATTTTTTTAATTTATAATTCTTTATTTTAAAAAATCTTTTTAAGTTGAAAATTTTAATATAAATATTTATATTATTAAAATATAAAGAATCATATATAAAGATATAAATATTTATATTATAAAAAATACAATTTACCAAACATATAAGTATTTATTTAAAAATTAGTATAAAAATATATTTATTGATGAAATAAATCACTAAAATTGTTAATTTTATCATATTTTTAATAAAAATTTAATTATTATTTTCTATATTATTAAATTAATTTAATATAATTTAATTATTGTAGAGTTCACATAAAAAATATTTTTTAAATATATTAAAAGTATATTTATATATATATATATATATATATAAAACACGTAAAAAAATTTTGATTCACACAAATATTCTTATATAAAATTATAATAATATTAAAATATTAAATAAATTTATTTTTATTATTTATTAATAATATATATTTCATTTCTTAAATTTTGAATTATTTATGATATTATCTCATGAAATACACGGATAAAAATCATAATTCATTTAAAAAACAATTGTTATGTAATGTAAAGCGAATATTGAGTTATATATATATATATATATATATATATATATATATTATAAATTATTTACTATACAAATATATGTTTTATGTAAAAATTGTTGAAATTTTTTGGATTATTACATTATAAATCAAATTTATCTTATTTATAACACTAAAAAATCATAATTCATTGAAGAAATAGTTATTATATTTATATAATAAAAAAAATTATTATGAAAAAAATAACAACATTTATATCAACAGTCATTGATTCTCTTAAAAAATTTAATGAAATAATTTTTATAATTATGTCTATTATTATAAAATTAATGTAATAAATAATTATTATAAATTTTATTATTATAAAAATATATCATTAGAATTAATTTAACAAAAATATGTATCTAATATTTAACTTTAGTTACATGTTAAAATTTTCTCAATTTTCTAGTTGTATTAAATTATATTTTTAAAATTTAGACAAAATTAGTCTTTTCATCCTTTAATTTTAAGATAAAATTTTCTTTCATCTTCTAACTTTTTTATTTATTTATTTTCGTTTTCAAACTTTATCTTTTTTTCCACAATAGTTCTTTCTTTTAGTTTTGTTACACGGTTTAACAAAAATATCCTATATAGCACAAAGATGACCTTAATACAGTTTATTTAATCTAACCTGAATTTTTTTATTGAAAAAATTATTGAAAAAATGGTGAAGTTGTGCTAAGTGCAACTTTTCCTTCCCCTTTTTCCTCTAGCAACCTCTCATTCCTTTTTTCCTAACCTACTAACCTTGTCTTCCCTTCCTGCAGCCTCCTCCCTTCCCCTTCCATCTCTCACACCTCTTCCACTCTTTCCCCCAACCCACCGACCCTGTCTTCCCCTTCTATGCCCTTGTTTCCTTTTTCTTTCCCTGCAACTTCTTTCCCTTTCTCGCAACACCTCTCCCCTTCCCTTCAAATCCCCTGGCTCTATCACCCTTTTTCCTCTCAACTCACCCGCTCTTTCTCCTTCTCTCGCAACCTCTCTCTTTCCTTCTTACAACTTCCTCTCTCTTGTTTTCACAGCCTCCCTCCCCTTCAATTTCTCCAATCTCGAAACCTGGAAGTATACCCTATGTCAATTAAGAACATATATATCTATGGAAAATTTTAGAACAGTGAAATTTATAGTCCTTAGTGAACAAAAGTATAAAGAGTATTCTTATAAATTTAAATTTAAATTTAGAAGTCCATAAATTTATATGATTATGAGAATCTTATATTCATTTCTTTTAATTATAACCATGCATAATGGATAACTGAGTTGATCCTTTACTAGATCCTTTCTAAAAGTTTATGCAACAAAAATAAATTTCAACTAAGAGAAAGAGAATGAGAGAAGAGGAGGGCTTAAGAGAGTTGAAAAGGAATAAAAAGAAGAGAAAGGAGACTAAAGGAATGAACGCAAGGGCTAGGGGAGGGGAGAAGAGCTATGAGAATGGAGAAGGAGAAGTTGTGAAAAAAAAAAATAAGAGCTACAGAAGAGGGAGATAAAGAGGTTACAGGAGAAGGAAAAAGGGGAAATCTGAGAGGCAAAAAGGGAGAGGAGAGGTTGTGAGAAGGGTTGGGGGAGTTGCGGTAAGAAGGAAAAGAGGGAAAAGGACTACAAAAAGTGAGAGACAAGGCTAGTGGGTTAAGAAAAAAGTGAAGTTACACTTAGGGTCACTTCATCATTTTTTTAATAATTTTTAAATAACAAAATTAAGTTAGATTAAATAAACGGTGATAAAATCGTTCTCAATGCTACCTACTGTCTCAACGCTATCTAAAATATCTCTGTTAAACCATATAAAAGAGATATTAAATAATTTTAATATATTATATTAAATGTATATTTATTATTAATGAGAATTTTAATGTACTATATTAAATATATGTTTTTATTACAAGTAAATATTAATTGGTTGAATTGAATATTTTTTATTGTTTCATGTGCGTACAAACATTAAATAATTTTTAAATTTTCATATTATTATTTTTATCATTTCTAGATATGTTTCTATAATTGGTGAATATGATATAATAAAAATATATAACACAATAATTAGATATATTTTATTTTATTTTATGTTTGATATATATTAAAATAATAAATTAATAAAAACATTAGAGTGATAAATGTAAAAAAATAAAAATTATAAATAAGAGATATAAGAAATAAGAGAGATAAAATATCCATAAAGAAAATATAAATATTTATCATGTAAACAAAATATAATGATATTTTTTAATTTATAAAATACATAAGAAATAAAAAAAGGAATTTATTAAAAATAAAGCATTAATTATTCTAAAACCTCAAAAGTCACATAATGCTTATTTTTAAATAATTTAATATTTTTTTAAAATTATATATTTAACTTTTTGCACCATATATATCTCCACATATAATTGAAAACTCTTACCTTAAAATATAAAATAAAAGGAAAAAAAACAAAAACAGTATATTTAACTTTATTACGTAATATATATATATATATATATATATATATATTTATTTATAATTTTCAATATATTCAACTATACCTTCTTTTAATTTAATAATTTTCTTAATAATTACTAAATTTGGATATTAGATAATAAATATTTATTATATTATCTATATCTATCTATATATCGATGTAAAATTGACTGCACCTACTTATTATTAGGAGTATTAAATTTTAAAACATAAAAACTTATTTTTATATATGTAACTTCATCTATTTATTACTCTATACATTAAAACATAGAATATATAAAGTTACTCGCATTGACTACACTAACTTATTACTCTGTGCATTAAAATTCGAAACGTATAACTTACAAATTAAAATTATATTTTATTCACACTTATTATGTTTGAATTGTATTTAAAAAATATTTATTAGTATTGATGGTTATATTATGTTACAAACGGCAATATAAAAATTTATACTATAAATTAACTTAAAGTATCGTTAGTAAAATTAATTATAATATTTTTCATGATTTATGAATTAAAATTATTACTATATTTTAATATAATCTATATTTTATTATGTACTTCAAACACTAAAATATATTTTGAATTAAAAAATTAAACTTACAAAATTATTAGTTTATATTATTAAT